TTATTCGGAAATGCCAACTGACCGGTTACAGTCCATTGAACAAGGAAGCAAAACTCTAATCTGCATCTTAGTTACAAAACATGGACACAGATCTTCTCCCGAACGAGTCTTCCTGGAGATTCATTGCCTCCAATCATTCGTTGGTCAAATAAAAGCAAATGTTACAAAGTGGCCCCACGAATTCCGCAACAGAATCGACGTAAAGCGAACTTCTACGAACAACACATACTACTCGCGTGCCTCCCTAATCAGTAGTATCACCGTTACATTAGTAGCCGAAGAGCAGTGTGCACATCCTTATATTTGGCATTCAGTGTTGAACTACTGGAGTGAACCAAGTAGAAGACAATATCTATTGTGTAGCAAAACGGACAGTTTGTCGATCAATGCGAGCCTTAATACATTAATCACTAGTACTCGCCCACAAGTGCCCAAAATAACGTGCAACAAATTCATATTGGATTCGATTTCTATTTTGCCACAGGAGTTGATGCATTTTTCTCCAAAAATCCCTTTACACAAGTGTAATTTACGCCAACAGCACCATGTGCACAAAGTTTCGGGGGAAGTGTCAAAAGCCAAGCTGAATGCGTTCGTGGGATGATTTTACTCTAATTCATCGAAATGGAAATCTTCCGTCTAAACCAAGGGACTATGGGGGCCTAGTAGAAAGATACTTGTCGACCAGAACGTGTACTCGTTCGCTGATAATACCAGTACATTTGTGATTAAGACTACGAGCTTCACTCGACGTTTTCTGATCTAGTGTTATTTATGATAATGTAGTCATGGTTAAGGATGACTTTGAACGGTGATACTGTCTTTTAGGAAGTGAAACTCATCTTGCGAGAATATAGTGGTGACCAAATTGTTTTGGTCCACTGGGCATCGCAGTCTTGTGGCATGAAATGGTGTAGGGTGACATAACTAGTGCGTCGTTGAGGGCGTAGCGTACCAGTGCGTCAGTGGTTGTATACTCACCATAGCGGCGTGTTAATGTGTGCACTGCATCCATGGCTGGCCTATTATGGCCTATTGTTCGGTTGGGCGATCTACTGGTTGGTCTACCACCCTGATTCCTGATTGGTTGATGGCCACGCAATTTTTCAGCTCAACCTTCACTATTGTCGCTCTTCGGTATGTGCGTTGATCACTCCGAGCCCAATACTTTAGCCTTTGCTGATGTGAACCCAATGAGGTTCGTCTTCCACTGGCAAAACTTACCGTACTCAGTTGGTTCCCCGCTCTCAACTCGAGAGTGAAGAGTGTCCTAACAAGCCTACGTCCTCAGAAAGGAAACTACTCACAAGGTTACTGAAAACTCTTCGATAGCAACCTTGTGACTAAATTCCTCTATAAAAATAAACCGCAATATTTTGAATATCAAACTAACTGAATCCCTAATCAGTAGTATCACCGTTACATTAGTAGCCGAAGAGCAGTGTGCACATCCTTATATTTGGCATTCAGTGTTGAACTACTGGAGTGAACCAAGTAGAAGACAATATCTATTGTGTAGCAAAACGGACAGTTTGTCGATCAATGCGAGCCTTAATACATTAATCACTAGTACTCGCCCACAAGTGCCCAAAATAACGTGCAACAAATTCATATTGGATTCGATTTCTATTTTGCCACAGGAGTTGATGCATTTTTCTCCAAAAATCCCTTTACACAAGTGTAATTTACGCCAACAGCACCATGTGCACAAAGTTTCGGGGGAAGTGTCAAAAGCCAAGCTGAATGCGTTCGTGGGACGATTTTACTCTAATTCATCGAAATGGAAATCTTCCGTCTAAACCAAGGGACTATGGGGGCCTAGTAGAAAGATACTTGTCGACCAGAACGTGTACTCGTTCGCTGATAATACCAGTACATTTGTGATTAAGACTACGAGCTTCACTCGACGTTTTCTGATCTAGTGTTATTTATGATAATGTAGTCATGGTTAAGGATGACTTTGAACGGTGATACTGTCTTTTAGGAAGTGAAACTCATCTTGCGAGAATATAGTGGTGACCAAATTGTTTTGGTCCACTGGGCATCGCAGTCTTGTGGCATGAAATGGTGTAGGGTGACATAACTAGTGCGTCGTTGAGGGCGTAGCGTACCAGTGCGTCAGTGGTTGTATACTCACCATAGCGGCGTGTTAATGTGTGCACTGCATCCATGGCTGGCCTATTATGGCCTATTGTTCGGTTGGGCGATCTACTGGTTGGTCTACCACCCTGATTCCTGATTGGTTGATGACCACGCAATTTTTCAGCTCAACCTTCACTATTGTCGCTCTTCGGTATGTGCGTTGATCACTCCGAGCCCAATACTTTAGCCTTTGCTGATGTGAACCCAATGAGGTTCGTCTTCCACTGGCAAAACTTACCGTACTCAGTTGGTTCCCCGCTCTCAACTCGAGAGTGAAGAGTGTCCTAACAAGCCTACGTCTTCAGGAAGGAAACTACTCACTCTATAAAAATAAACCGCAATATTTTGAATATCAAACTAACTGAATCATGAGGTGGCCTTTGTGCGGCACATTCAGTTGGAGAATGTCATAAACGAGAGGTTCAATATAGTCTCCCGTGAAAACCCAACTGATGTGCAAATGAGTGTATTTTTCGAGAAGCTTATGCCTTATTTCGATTTGGATGGGCAAAAGGCCCTACAGTGAACAACGCTGACTTAGAACAAAGTGGATCAGGTTGGGGACGATTGATAGTCTGTCCTCAGACGTTACTGTGTCAGCTGTTTGTAAGCTCCCTGACATGTCGATTTCATTATATCTTCATCTTTAGTAAGTAGAGTCGATGCCGGATGCCATCAGCTCTAAAGTGTACATAATATCAAGGCCAGTATCTCTTTGAAGGGAGTATTCCCCACTCCAAGAATCACATTTCCTACATTTCGTTTTAGATTCGGTTCAACAACCTAAACTCGCAGTGGGATCGTTCACGCCAGGCTATCCGCGTAAGGCTCACTCTGGCCGACAAATTCCTTGCTGTTCTTCGACGAATCAGAGAGGATGAGTATCAACAGAACTTACTGCTCGAACGGATGCATCAACTAGAAGGAATCGACACCTCGGTAACCAGTTCAGATCTTGCAGGATCTGTTGGAATGGAGGGTCCGGATAAACTGCGCAGTGAAGTCACACTGACTATCAGCCGCTTGGAGGATCAGCAAACACTCTTGCGGGATTATATTGACCAGGTAGGTTGATACATTGAAAATCACAAATATTTAATAATGAAAGACTTAGAAGTTCAGTTTATTGCCTCCAAGATCCATAGGTTGCAGAACCAAGCGTGACCCTGCGCTATAGTTATTCATAGGCTATCAGTTGAAAACTCATTTGAAGTTCGGTTTGGAAAATATTGGCTCTTAGTTCGATGTAGTACAATAAAAGACATAAATCTTTATTTTGGTTTCCAAAAAGGTTACACAGCGGGCAGACCGCGACCTAAATACCGCCGAACCTGTGCGATATTGCCAGCTCCAACTCGAATTGAACGCCAGACGATTGGAACAACTACGAGAAAGCTGGGTCGGTTGCGAACGATTCTGGGAACAGTGGAAGATGGCTCGCGAATATTGGCTTGCATTCAATGAAGATGCACGACGGGTACGTGTTTCAACTGCCATGTTAAGCAATGCCTTGATCTTATCTTCCAAACGTTTATAAGCCCAGTGATAAATCAGGACTGCTTCTCAGACCACTCTCAATTTCATCACCTTCATTTTAGCTGGATGATTCAATGGCAGCCTCACTGTCACGAATGTCACACGCACCACTGCCAAACAAGCCGGTCGAATGCGACCGTGCAATGCGGGAACATCACAAGGAACGAGAAGATATCGATCATTTAAGTTCAGTCGTTCTCTCACGAGCTGCCCAGTTGGGAAGTATGATCGGAGTACGCCCAGATGACCGAGCGGAAGACGGACGTGGGTGGCGCCTCACTGAAATCCCAGTTGGACCAGAAACCGGTCTTCCAGCATCCGCTTTGGGCCGTCGAGTTCGGAGTGAGTTGGCTCTGCAGCTCGCTGGTCTTGAAACAAGATGGTCAGCCTGGGATAAAGCATGGACAACCAGAAGAATACAGCTTGAAAGACGAGGTCTCCAAGTTGGACGGCTTTCTACCATCGAAGTAAGCCTACTTCGAAACGATCTTGTTTTTTCTTCTCTGTATATGCTAGGAGCATTTTCCGCGTGTAGTGCCTATCATCAGACAGGGATTCGGGATAAAATCTCAATGCCCCTTTCGTGCTCCACTAGTAGACAAGTAGTTGGGCGGTTCTTGACTGGCTTCTATCACCAACCAGCTCGCATACATCCCAGTGACCTCGAAGCATACTCGGACACTTTTCCAACATTTCTAAACTAATGAATTTTCCGGCACATGTTTAGCTACAGTTATCAAAATTCAATGAGTCGAATTATATAATCTTTGTTTTCTTTAAGGAACTGGAAGGAGAAGTTGCAGTGGCTGAGGATAATCTACAGACCATCTCCAAAAAAGTCTCTGTCCAGGCCCCCTTGGAACAGGTTGAACAAGCTGAACGAGATCTGAACCAATTAGAAGCAACTATACCCGTGAGTTACTCATCTGTTTCAGACCGACTAACAAGCGTTCTCCATTCAAGCAGAAGGTGCAAAGGCTTTAACCCCATAATCTGAACTACTCATCTTTCAGGTATTGCAAACCCGAGTACGTTCCACTGCCCCCGGCCTGAGAATGGAACTGATTCACGGAGAACCATGTGACACCAGTTTGTCCGAGTTGCCGTTTGACGTGACTGACCGTTATCAGCAACTGAGTACACGGTTTGAGAAATTAGCTGATTCAACCACGCGTTGTCGTGTGGAGCTCAACTTGACCTTGAGACTCTTACGCGCAGTGAAGGTGGCGGACAATGCCTTGTCCCAACTGACAATCAGCTTGGATGGAGCGAAGAAACGGATTCACGAAATTCCACCAGAAGATCGCGTGGCGACTCAACAGTTTCGCTCAGAAATCGAGGAGCAACTCGTTCGTGGTCAAGCCTTGGCAGATATGCACATTCCTACTTTGGAGCAGCTCGCTGCGCAACACCCTCGAAGTAAGCTTATTGTCATAAACGATGGTGACGTGTGGTATTCCATTTTCCAGAACGTTGTTATCATTAATAATATACCTCCACTCACATGTGTGTTTTCTAGCTGTTGAGGCACGTGAACGCATCCAACCAACGGTCCTCGGCTTTGTCTCCACCATTGATGAGCTTCAGCGTGTATCGAACGAGATTCGTATACGATCAGAACAGTCTGTTTACCTGATCAGACCCACAGGTACTTCACTCGATAGCGACACAACGACGACCCGATTGATCAGCCCGGCTTCTCCAAGACCCTCCGGTCCAGTGATAACCAAGCCTCTGAGGAACATGTTTACGGATGAGGGAATAACCGTCCTGCTGACGACGGAGTTTCAGTCTGGATTGCCTCAAGGTAAGTTGTATTCAGTTGTCCACCTTGTAAAAGGTACGAATGCCAAAGCATAAATATAAAATCATCAACCAGATTTATTCAAATTGTAATACTAACGCAAAAGTTTTCAAGGCACCCTATCCGCATCGATTCCATCCTATTTCCCCGGGCAGGATATTGTGTGAACGGTATTGAGTGTGAGACTTTATGGAACTGACGAGTCTCCCTTTTATTCTTTTCAGATGCTAACCCTTATGATCAACAGCAGCTACAGGCCATCTGGTTCAAAGACGGTCAGCAGGTGGTCACACCTGACTACGAACCCCGATTGACACCAACCACTGCAGAACTTCGGATTGGCGAAACCTTATCAGAGGATACCGGTCTATTCATCTGTTGTATTCGTACACCGTATGGACAAGCGGAAACATCATGTAACTTGGTCGTCAACGAAACACACAGTCCTGTTTCAACCAGACCTGTGGCCGATGAGTCCGCTGTTAGGCCCTCAAAACGTGCAAGATCGAGTCGTCCACCCGGTCACATGACCGGGCCACCCAGATTCGTGAGGTAATTTTATTATCCCCATAGTCCTGTTGCTAAATCTTACAGTTGGGTGTATTTAGTCAGGTGTTCGTTAGTCTTAGAAACATTTCACTAGTAGAGTAGCTAAGACCTACCCATGCGTAACACTGTTACTGTTCAGACTTTGCCCGAAACGACGCTTGTTCTGAATCATTCCCGTGGCAATCACCATGGCTGATAATCTTGACCCCCAACACATCCCTTAGGACTCCAATGCTATTTGACTACAAACGTATGTTTTTTTCTGTTTCTTTAGTGTTTTGACACTTGTTTCTGCATTAACCCGTGATTTCCACCTTTCAGAGAACTCACAAACCAGACTATTCGCGAGCCAGAAGAATTGAACTTGCAATGCCAGGCAGTTGGTGAACCAGTCCCTCAGCTTCAGTGGTTCAAAGATGGCACATCTATTCAAGCGAATCCCGATTACATGATCACCGAATTAGCAGGTGCTGGATCCGTGAAGGTAAGCTTCACCGAGTCGCTTGACCAAAAAACCGTTATCAATTTATACATGCTGAGACCAAAACTACACCACAAATAAATCACGCTATGTGCTAAGACACAAGCGTGTTAGCTAAGGAGCACCCTTGAGTAGAATGCGCCAACCTATCGTCGTTGGAATCAGAAGGTTCGCTACTTAAGTGCAGTTGTGTTGCCACAAAATTGTGGGTTAGACAGTCAGACTGTACTGGTCACGACAACTGACAACCCCGAGAATTCCACATACCATACGCGAAAGCAAGGCATTCAGTGAGAAATCCTCTCACTGTCCAGTATGTATGCAACTTTTGTTTGGTGTGAAACATTGCTTCAGCTTCAGTTTTTTGGATGACATATAGAGTGCAATTTTTTTGCCATGCACCAGGCAGCATTTACGAATTATGGATATAAGGTATGCCGTATCCTCGGGCGGTGGTAAATCCGTCAGTGTGCAGCACCTGCGGTTCGAAGTGCTCCCCTCTGAAAACGATGTGCTCAATGACGGAAGTTTGTGTTTGGTACCTCACGAACGACATAATCGGCGGTTTGCGTTCAGCCTTTACATATGCTAACATGTCTGATCGGCTAGCGAAATCAGCAAGGCAGTAATCGACGCACATCATGCGGCATACTACATGCACAATCGCACGATGCATCGAACGCGGAGTTTAGGGGGAACAAACATTGATAAGACATTAGGGTTAGTGATTATCACCGACAAATTTGATAGCCACGAAGTCGATAAAGGTAATCTGAGATCACTCCTATCACATTCCTGGCGGTCTTTTTATCTCGGAATCGGTCAATATTACTTTCCCCAATGAATACGCGAGAGAGTAACCGAAATTCCGTGAGGATGAGCTTGTATGTCGATCAGTAATACGCAACCTGAGCTGTTTATCCCATGAAGAAGGCGGGAACATGGGAACACCATACTTGACGCTCAGAATTCTGACCGCAGTTATTAAGAGCACACGTCAACAGGACAAGACCCGGGTTTCTCGGTTTTGACCCTGGTATTCCTTCAAATGGAACAACCTTCGCGGATTGTCTAATGGTTGCTTCGGAGCCTCAAATAAACCCACAGTCAGAGGTTCACTGGCTCGGGTGAGTGCCGAGAACTTTGTTCAACTATACTGCGTTGTCCAGTCGAATTTTCGGGAGGTTAAGCTTCCAATTTAAAAATATACTCTCCAGTTAGGAACATATATCCTGTTTTCGGGACGGGAAATATTTACTAAATGGCATGAGGAACTGTTGAAGCATCCGAGAACTTGATACTTCTAGGAAAATAGCATGTGGCAAATGGCACCCTTGTTCTTACCGAAGAACAAGTAAGGTCTCACCGGTGATTACTTTTAGTTCAGGCCTAGGTCATTAGTTATGCACCGAACTAGAAATGGCTACCAGAGAACTGCAAAGGTTTCTAAGTGGTCCATACCGGGGGATTCGATACCGTTCCACCACAGTACTATAAGGCTGATTGCTGAACAGACGCCGGACAGCATCACAAAAACGGCCTCGATCATCGGCCTCAATCTGTTGAAGCCATACAGCTTACTAAACAGGTAGTTTATGTCCCTTTAAGATCTTGTATAGTGCACTATTAATCAACACATATTACAAGTCCCACAATGTTCTTTTGACTTCTCACAATGCAACGCAGGAAATCATAGTACACGACTACGTCTAACAGCACTCTCGGTCCTCCTGGTGGATGTCCCACTAATTCCGTTCGTCTGCAAGAGATTTCGCCACTGAGAAACTGTTCGTTTTTGCTCTCATCGAGCTGTTGGCTATCATACGTTGACACGCATGTGTGCGCGGGTTTATACAGTGAACATCACTCCGCTGCTACGTCTTCATGTTGTGTACCCCATTTGATGAAAAATCCACATTCGGACTGGCACCTTCCAAATGAAGTAACACATACAGCTTCGTGGAATAACTTGGATTTAGGGTTTCTCAGTGGCACTGCTTGGCCGTTTGGCTTGTTTATTTGAACAACGTAGACGGGGTAGAGTGATTCACGTCGTGGTTTTCTACATGGGGTATCGATTCCGAAGTCAAACGCGAGACCGAAACTGCAAAAATATATTCCCCGTTATCGTGGTCATGTGCGTGAAATTGTACCACAAATTATGGCTATTCGATGTGTACCAGAGTTTGGATTTCTTATGGTCCAATTCAAAACTGATAGGGGTAATACTGGAATCCCACAGCTTTCCAAATAACGAAACTAATTGTTTGTAGAAGATTCTTCGATAATATGGATGAGACGACCTTACATGAACTCTAGTGTCGCTTTAGGAACATGAAAGTGGCTCTGCATTGAGTGAACTCTGGTTTCAGGATGGATTCTGGGCACCTCTTCTGAAACTTGAAAGTTAGTCCCGCTCAACTCGCCAAACATCTCATCAAGGCGTCTTGGGAGGACCACAAAGAAAGATTTTGAACAATAAAGTGAAGAAATACACTTACCTCACAGAGTGGCCGACAATATCATATCTATAACCCCTCTTTACAGGTTTTGGATTTCCTGGCTCAAGGTAGGTTCTGTTTGGCTGATGAGATCTTTGTCTTGAACCTTGCACGAAACATCACTTGGGGATGAGACTTCACTTGACGAATCGCGAATAAGCTGTCGCACTCACTGGTCATTTGTTGTGAACGTCACCTTACCGAACAATGGGTACACGCACGCTCACTCACCTTGATTTGAATAAAGGACATGTGTCACTGGGTAGGATAATTGGACTTCCATCAGCTTATTTAGCAATGTGTGGTGCATCGAGTTACTGGGATGCAGCATACCACAGACCGCAAACTCATCTAGTAAATTCTCTCAGCAATAATACTCCATACTGACTTGAACCGTTGTGAAACGCCTAGGTTGTGAGAAATGGATTAGAGTTGCATTATGCCAAAAAGAGCCAAAATTGAGATACAGTACTCCTTCTGTGTGTGCCCTCCCTGAAAGAACTCTCTCTCCAATGTGACCTCGTGACTGCGCACTCGCAGTATCAGGTTATTCGTAGCTTCATACCAGGCTACTTGTACAATTGGTTGAGTTCTGTTCAGGAACGCCCAACAGTCGATTCAGTTGTGTCCTGGCATCGTGCTGTCCTCTCGGTTCTAATTTCACGCAGTTCTCTAAACCAAAGTGTGGTAAAAAGACCTTGTCCGGATAAGAGCTAAGAACACAGACAACAACTGGCAAACAACATCTGACAACTCCATTTCCACTACCGTAGTTTACTTTGTGACAAGCCTAACTAAAGACAACCATCGAGTCCAGGCTTCAAGTGAAGGTCGTTCCTCATTTCTGCTCGTATAATTGGAAGCGAAACGGTCATGTGAACAAACGGAAATTTGTTCGATCAATTCTTGTTGACAGGGTTTCGAATGTTGAGCTAATTGGTTTTGAGTTTTTGGGGGAGAAGACTCACTTACTACCTTATTTATTCAAGGTTCGCCAAACACGCATGGTATCGCATGAGGGCACCTATACATGTCGGGCGAAAAACGTGGTGGGCGAGGCGGTCACTAAGTGTAGAGTGACAATACATCCCGGTTCGCCACCAATCATTGTCACACCGTTGAGAGACAAACAGCTTGTCGAAGGTGAAAAGTGCCAGATGACAGTTCGGTACAAGGTAAGTCATCGAGACCTCTTCACATCTAAATAAAATCAATTTAAATCTACCCTGGGATTCGTGCTAATGTCTGATAATTTCAACTACTTTTTTCGTTTAAAAGAGTTCAACTCCCGCAACAGTTGAATGGTATCATAACGATCGTCCAATACGAGATGATGGTGTCCGTTATCGAATCACGCAGGAAGGGCCGGAAGTAACTAATCTGACTTTGCCTAAGGTGAGTACTGTCGGTAATCTCGCCTACCTATTTACATCTACTCCCACGGTCATATTGTATAGTGGGTCTTCATAGAGTTCAAATAACAGTGTTCTCTATTATTAGGGTGACTCAGTTCCCTAATTTGGATTCCACGTCCAGGTTTGCTGATACAGTGTTCTCGAGAATTTGTGGGACGACCCCCCCCCCTAAAAAGACTATCTCCATTACGATCATGTGACTGCGCACCGGTATCCAGAATACCAGCAGGCTCCTAAACGACTGAAATTGCTCGGCTTTTTTGAGGTTGTATAAGTATTCAGGTAACCTTTCAGAAGCTTCTGTCGCAAAGCTCATCCCTCACCTTCCAATTTTGTCTTGAACTTTTGAAAGGACCACTTTAAGTTAGATATTTCCGCCTCTCTTTGCTCCAACGTTTCAGGTGACTAGCGATCAAATTGGAGATTACATGTGCGTTGTACGTAACCCCATTGGTGAAGCTTCTACCAGTAACTACTTGCAGATTCACCCCACGGAAACACCACGCACAGAATCACCTATTCCATTGGATGAGTTACTTGATCAGTATCGCTCTCGTCCCCCCGAACGACCAGCTGCCCCAAAACGACCTTACGACTTGGCTGCAGACTTTGACGAGGTTTTCGAACCACAGAAAACACGAAAGACTTTTGGACCTTCGGTGGTCAAGGAAGATTTCGTGGTCCCACTATACGCCAAAAGAGAGCGAATACCGTCGCTTCCAGCTAGACGTCAACCCGGGGAATTCCCACGAGCCACTTCGGTTCCAGTCACTGAATCGTCTGTCATTTACACGTAAGTTCATTCACAGTTAACACTCTTATGGTTTTCAGGAATATTGGCTACCTGGCGCGTCCACTTAAGTTTGAGTATAATTTGCGGAAAATGGGCTGCCCATATGACAAATCTTATACATTAGTAGAACATGTTGATCGGTTCTTGCAGGCCACGTGGTTTCATTATGAAATGTCCGGCGGATCAGTAGCTCTTTATGTGGAAAATTTCTGTCTACTTATGGGTCCGGCATCTGCAACTTAATAGCCCACTGCTTGACAGCTACGTTAGTCCACCGTTTCGTAGTTTATCAGATAACTTGACAATCTGTGATGACATATAGGTACATATATAGATGCCTGAAAAGATCATAAACGAGAGATTCAGCTAGATGAGTCTCCCGCAAAACCAAGGTATTTTGCAAATGAGTATATTCCTCCATAAGTGCACATCTTTTGTTTGCTGCGTCCGGACTAAAGTATCAGTTGTAAAAGTTTATCGATTTACATAGAATATCTCGCTCGTGGTCGTTTAATTAAAGAGAGCTCAGCCTAGTACATATCGGTATAAAAGATGCCAAATCCGACCCATACCCTATCGATATGCTGTCAAGACCTCTCCCGTGAAAACTGTTTCCGCAGTGAGTTGACCTGAAGACATCACAGACTCACATGCTCTGAGCTGAGTAAATATGAATCTCTCCGACACAGGAATGCAATTTTCACAAGGATGTTGTGACAGCCACGATCGACTGTGGTTTTGTTCTCATTGGTCCTCAGCATCGAGCACCCAAATTATGAGACAAGCATCTGACCGCTCAGGAAGTTGAGAGCAACGTCCTTTAGATGAACGCAAATATTCCAGACGGAAGAAACGAAGCTACTGGTGCGAATGTGACAGTCAACAAATGACTCCAACCGCAATGTTCTCTATCAACTGGCATACTGTCAACAGCCTGCCTGAAGGTTTAGTTCTATGAGTAATGCCACAGATCGTTTGTTTCTAAATCAACTCGGTACCAATCGAACCTGTTTTGTTCTCGTAACAGGGTACGAAAACCTGCTCGATCTCGCCCAAGCTCGATGATCGGGGAGCCCCCGATAATCGTGCAGCCGTTAAAGAATGCGGAGACGACGGATGGAGAAAAAATCAAGATGGACTGCATAATTACAGGCCATCCACCACCTACAGTGAGTTCCGTATTTCACTCCTTGCCCTTTTTCCTGGTTACCATCTTTGATGACGATTTGGACTTTAAAGTTGTGTGCGACTGGTCCGCCTCAATAGAACAACAATAGCAAGTGAAAGACAAAAAGCAGTACAGATAGATCGAAGCATCCAGGGTAACTATTGTATTTTCTGATTTGTTGGAAAATTTAGCTGAAATTACTTAAGAGCCCGTATAACTTTTCGAGTTGTTCGCACCATTTCTCTACGAAATGGTAAGCCAATGGAAAATTGTCCACATAAAGTAATACTGATTCTGGGTTGTGTAGGCATTTCTTTTCCTGTGTGTGTGTGCGCACAGTGAGGCTAACCAGAGTCACGCCACATACTCCGACAAGGACGCGACCGCGAACAAAGTGAAACGTCTCAGGCTGGAATACTATTTCAAGCAGCTTTGCGATGAATGCGCATAAACGGATTGGGCAAGTTGCAACAGACGTTGTCACATGCGTGAGCGTGAATCGGTGGATCTGTGTCATCAATGAACTGAAATGTCCCATCATACACCTCCATCAAGAAACCACGCTTACTTGTACTTGTTTGACTGGTTAAGTTAAGCGTTGAACAAAAGCCTCCACTGCAGCACACGTGCATTTAATTGAAACATCTGGCATCAAACTAGTCTTCCGAATCAGCTACGTCGTTACCCATGAAGGCAAGGCACCGTTGAAAACCGAAAGCTACTTATGATCTGTGTGGCTGTATCACGTGTCACAACGAATTTTCTCACTATCGAACATTCTGCCCTCAACCAACAGGTCTACCGCAGTCTCGTTCAACTCTATAAATCCACTCATTTCCCACAAGCCAGCAAACTTCCTAATTCCCCTATCTATTTCAAATCTTGGGACTCTTATGAAGGTACGTACGAAGGATATCATTTTCTTTACGTCAAAGACAGTGCTTCAAAAGATCAATAGGCTCGCCGTCAAAAGTCTGGCCGCATATCCTGACGGTCATGGTGTTAGCTAGCCCATTCAGTCGACCAGTAAAAATGGTTAAACAGCACCAATTTACAAAATTAGGCCAAGTACACACAGAAGCTCGCTTGGTAGTGACAGTCGATCTTGGAAATCTAAACCGATAACGCAGGCGTTATTGTTTCGACAGTTACCTACACCGAATTCTGTGGTTGTGGCATAGCAGATTCGATCTGTGCGACGGATAGCAGATACCAAGGTATCAATCACTGCTGATAAAAGGTAAAAGCTGTAAGAAGAACGTTTTTGACTTTTACCAACAGCTGTTTTTGATAAAAACGAATTGTGTGATGAGCTTTTGAAAGGCTTTTTTCCCAGGCCATAAGAAGCGACTGACCAAAACGTCTTTCACAACATGAAAAAGAGGTTTTGGCTAATCGCTCTTGATGACCGGGGAAAGAACTGCCGTTCAAAAGCTCATCATGCACTTAGTTTTCATCAAAACAGTTGGAGTACATTCTGATAAGATGTCAGTGTTCAAATTACTCTCATAAGTGGAAAACGCAGATCATTTCACATTGTAGATAAATAACAGTGTAATAAAGATGCACACTGGTCTCGTGGAAATAAACCAAACGGACAGTCTGATATGATTATCAGTTTCTTACAGTGCTCAACAAGGCTGGACACATCGACGCATTCTCTGGTCTTCTCTCAGCTCAGAGCTGCTCAACTGCCCCCAACCTATCTTACACATGAATCAGACAACGCCCAAAAGTGTGCACATACACCCTACCACATGTGTTCCACTAGTTCATTTGCAATTGCACTGAGACAGACATGGCTGAAAAGCACCAAGACATTGATTCGACGGACTGCCGACAGTCCTCCAGAGGTTGCAGCAGATCCTGAAGCTCAGTATTTGAAAGTGGCGATCACTGAATGCGCGATACACCATTGTAGCATGTCAGATGACCAATCGTGACCGTTCTTCAGCGTTCCGAATTCCGCTGCACAACCAAAACAGAAGTCGTCGGCTTTTCTGCGAAGCGATGCTGATAAGAACAAAACAGACATCATTGTGCGCAAACGTATAGTTAAACTATGTTGCCCAATTTCAACGTCTCTGGTAACACTTGGCGTGTCGTTCGAAGTTAGCCTGCTTTCTGTCCATCAGTGTAGTGTTTTATATTTGCGACAGATGGAACTATTTTGAAATATTTCGCTCAGTTTGTATCCTTTTGATAAAGTAAATAAATGATGCCGAATTTTCCAAGTATTCCAGTTGAGTTCGCAGAAGTTTTTCATTCGTACATCACAGCATTGCGTTCGTTTGCTTTCCTTCATATCATTTCGCCCATCTTCTACTTCGGTTCCTAAAATTCAAATAAAAAAGAACACACATTAGAAAAGACGCAATTTTTATTGGAGTAGTGTGTAGCGAATCTATACCGAATGCACAGTCACTCGGTTATTCTACAGAATGTTCGAAACTATCTTCTACCCAGATATTAGATATGCGAACTGAAGAAATTTCTGTTCTTCCCGCGCACTACGGATTCACCTTAATGAACTAAAATATATCAAACAATGAGAACGGTGATAATCTAAATCCTTTCTTTCTTCTTTGAGTACATTCACTGCTACTTCCCGAACACCTTACTTCGACAAAATTAATCACTCTTTGTAGCAAGAGGTACTATTTGAAAAATAAGCTGTTTGGGAAACGTTCATTGACAAAACTGGAGAAGAACTGGTAGAGTGGTGCTGTTGAATGTAGCCAATTAAGGGGCGAAATTCCTCATCAGATAGGTTAATCCATCCTAGGCCGCGATTGGTGACGTATGGTTTGTGGGTCTTTCCTGTAAATGCCCACCAGATCACCATGATTCGGCAGGATACGACGACTTTCACCTCGTTCGGCATTCAGGAAAAATGAAACTTGTCCATACATGTATCGCGGTATCTCGAATATCGTGCGACACGTGAGGCGGTCTGGTGCAGCACATTTAGTTGATTAAGCACATCCTAAAGGAGAGATTCAGCTGAGCTCTAGGTGAATCCCCCGCAAAACCAAATTTGTTTGCAAATCACCGTATTTCGCTGATTGCGTGCGATTTGGCTTCCAGTAGAACATAAGGTTGACGGAAACCCGGGGACTGCGCCTACCGGATGAGAAGAAAGGCGAAACCGGTCGTGGGCTGTTGAATAATTCTCAGCAACATTATGAGTAGTGTATTTCGTCTAAAAATTTTCAAATTGTGTATTTTCCTGTGGAATGGCTGTTTCGTTGAGACAGAAAAACGTATGATTTAACAGTATGCTCAAGAGGATTCCTCCACGTTTTTTCAGCCACTCGTACACTTCTTCTTCATTGCCACTGCAGGTCACCTGGTACAAGAATGGAGTTCTTTTACCACAATCCAATTCGCTCTTCGTCAGACAAGAAGGGGACAAGCACAGTCTCATCTTCTATGACATCTTGTTGGAAGACCAGGGTGAATACACGTGCGTTGCTGAAAATCCCTATGGTCAAGTTCGCACTTCATGCCATATGGATGTAGAACGTGAGTCTCTGTTTTTATCACTACCATAAGGTATATCGAAAAGCTGAAATCTACGTTGCTGTATCGGCGTCAGCATTTTTGAGACTAGTGTTTCATTCTTAATTTTAATGAACAGATCACGGTTTCCATCTGTATGTTTGGTCGTCAGCACTGACCCGCCGTCGTTTTGAAATAATCGTACATCTGGAAACACTAATTCGCGCACTGTCTTTTTTCAGCCATCTCAGATGGGGAGCAACCGGTGGATCGTCCACCAGAGCTGGTAAAACCCTTGCCAACCCAAATGCATCTACAGGACGGAAGTGATTTGCGACTTGAATGTATTTTCTCAGGAAGGCCTACTCCGTCTGTTATTTGGCTTAAGGATGGAACTCCAGTTCCAGCTTCAGCAAACTTTCAAGTAAGAGTTTTCAACAGTCACAATTTTGGTGACAATCTAACGACAATGTTGACAAATATTGTGGTAGCATGCAAGTGAATAAATCGACAATTTCAGAACAATAGCAGGTGTACAAATGAAGCAGTATTCATCACCATAAGCGAGAAATTTGGTTTGGTCTTCCTTGAAAACCGAATTGATACGTAAATGAGTGTATTTCGCTAACTAGAGAGAGTACTTGGATTTTTAAATTTATCTACGTAGCGATATGGTTTTGATGGCCAACTCACCTAGAACCCAGCTGAATCTTTTATGGTGTTCTTAATCAGCTAAATGTGCTGCACCAGGCCGCCTCATGTTTCATTTGGTAGGATATTCGGAATATCGCCATACATTGTATAGACGTAACGCACTAACCAGGTGGTATTCAAATGAGTATATTCCTCACATTTCGTACAAACTGGGTTCAATAAAAAGATGAGGCTGTGAAAACTCGGGGTCTGTGTCTACCTGACAAGCCCTATGAAGGGTGAGCCCACCCAAGTGTTTTCAGCAACCTTATGAGTAGTGTGTTGCGTGCATAAAATGTCTTGCGAGATGTCGAGTACCGTATCAACTGAAATATGAAGCGGCCTGGCGCACATTCGGTTGATTATGTACATCACAAACGAGGGATTCGGCTGGGTTCTAGGTGGGTCACCTGTCGAAACTAAACCAATGCGCACATGAATGTCTAAGTCAACTTTCGTATCCTTCGGGTTCAATTAGAACATAATGTTGAGGGAATTTGGGGGACTGTGCCTACCTTATGAGCCCCAACGAAAGCCGAACCGGTCGTGAGCTGTCGAAGAGTTTTCAGCGAACTTACGAGTGAAATAATGTGTTTATACAGAGGGATGGTTCTAGTATCTATTCAGATCTGATCAGTAAGTTCAGCTACCAGGAGAAAGCATGGTGAGGATGATGATGACGAGGAGGAGAGGGTGATGGCCATTATCTAAACCTAGCGTAGGGACAACATTTGGTCAGCTTAGTACTTTAAATTTGTCCCACTACCTGATCATTCGGATCCATACATTGTATGGTATGATTTGCACGTACGAGTGAAAATTCGCACCCATTATATCTTCATGTAAACACTCCGGTTTGTAGATTCTAGCCTCCGATTTCCAGTCGTGGCTATCTGTTGCTCACATGTTCCAACTAGCACTATGTCAAAGTGCTGCTAAATCCAGATCCTTATTGCACAATGACTCCCCCGCTTTCTCCACAGCCTTCGCAGGAGGGCGGCGTCGCCCGCCTCTATGTGCCTCGAGTTCAACTTGCAGATTCTGGGGTCTATCGGGCTGTTGCCACAAATCCAGTTGGGAGTTGTCGCACCACCGTTTACTTGCAAGTATTACCAAAACCAATATCCCCAATGCCATCGCCACGTATTCAACCAACTAAGCCCTTGAAAGTATGCGGCGGACCAGAGTTCACTCGGATTTTTAAGTGAGCTGACCCGTCTAATTGTTAGTCTGCTCTTCGGTTTGTGCATGTTTTTTTACAAACAATTGCGTGCCGTACAGCTAATAAATTGGCCACATTGCTCCAATCACTTTCTCAGTGGCCAAGCCGTCTTCTGTTCGAACTGTGAGTTAATCTACTTGTTTTCTTCTGAACTCATTTCAGTTTCAGGGACACTGCCTTGGCCCTTTGTTGATGATCGTTTATTTTCACCTGTCCTGTTGAGAAAAGACAGTTTAAGTAAATGCTCTCAGCTTCCACTGACATAAATTGAAAACAACTCTAGGACTTTTGTGAAAGCTGGCAGCGGAGGCGTGGAAGGTTCAAGAGGCCAGTGGTGGGTTGCATCCTGAAAGGTCAACCGCCTGACCTGAGACTTATGCACTGAGTTTCGATAAGCCTCTATTAAGTGACCGACATTTTATTCTAAATAAAGTAGTTTTCCCCAGATATGGAATTGCCCTCCATTAGCGGACTAAATGATTACAGTAAAGGTTTATAGCTGTGTCCGGTGTTGCCCAGTTTTGTAAATAACTCATGAGTATCTTTCATATAAAACTCTTTAATGGAAGAGCTGACTCGAATGAAGTGCGGTTTATCTAAGGAAATCAAGCTTTTCAGGAACCACATACATCCTAAAGGTAATTTCACATCTTAGGAACAGCTTGACTTGTCCATCGTCCCACACCCTACCGAACTTGTCAAACAAGTTTACCATGATGCAGGTCACGCCCACATAAATAGTGGCAGATTTTTCCATCTGAAGCACTGCCAAGAAGTGAACTGACTTTTACTTCTACGAAGGAATTAACTCATGAGTTATCGTCCAGGGGTCAACAGACTGAATTATACGACCATTTTATTGCTGCCAACTCATTTATCTGTGCCTTCAGGGATATCTACATAGAATCACAACGACTGGAAGAAGTTGTACTAGAATGCACAGTGATTGGTGTTCCACAGCCGACCGTCTACTGGACTCACAACGGCCTCCTGATCACCGGAGATGATCAACGCTATGTCCCTGTGCAAGGACCAGGGCCTGATGATCACTGTCTCATAATTCGCCGTCCGGACATTTGGGCTGCAGGTAAACATCACCCCTGTTCCGAGTGAACGTGTTTATTGTCTTGTTTATTTGTCATGACTGATGTCCTTGCCTGCGTGCAACTTCAGTGTGATTGTTTCAGTTGAAAGTTACAATGATTCTGGGTAACATAAGTGGAAGAAACAAGTTGATAGTTTTATTAGCCTTAAGGATATATTGATTGTTTTCCCCTCCCGCATTTCAGGTCGTTATCAAGCAGTTGCTGAAAATATCCACGGGCGTGCCACATGTTCAGCGGTCGTTAACCCCGTAGTATATAGCCCAACAATGGGCAGTCGTCCACCGTCCTTATGGAGTCTCAGCCGTAGTACCCGACAACGTGCTGTGTACACACGTGAAACTTCCGTGCCTGTATCGCCAGCAGCAACAGCACCACCATTATCACCGCGACCAAGGACGATGGTTCAAGTGCCAACGATTGTCCCGAGACTGCAACGCGAGACATCTGCACCACCGTCGCAACAATATTTGACCAGCCATCACCTTCATCTCGTCCCTGGGCAGACACTCCACCGANTTGTCCCGAGACTGCAACGCGAGACATCTGCACCACCGTCGCAACAATATTTGACCAGCCATCACCTTCATCTCGTCCCTGGGCAGACAACTCCACCGATACAGGTGACCTTCCCTTTGCCTAGGGAAAGACGGTCACTGAGCCGTAGTGAGGTAATCACTTAAAGAAATAATTATCAGTACAACCAAGAAGCCAGTCAAATGTGCTAACTCTGTGTATGAGCAGCTCGAGCTAAACACAAGCGAAATTCCAGTTGGAATGCTCCGAAACCTTCGCGAGCTGTTTAACTTTCAAGCTCTGTTATAAAATTCCACGTAGGAGAGTATCTCTTTAGATCGTCCTGAAAATCAATCAGAAACAGTCATAGCAGACTATTCGCTGCAGGTCGAGTCTTTTGGCGTAGAGTGAGTCCCTCCATTTTGACGAATTACCCAGAAATGAAAGCTTCTCAACCGATTCAACATGTGACGTGTAGAAAGAAGGCGCTGTAAATTGGGTGAAGATCCCGATAACCAAGTACTGCAAAATATGTTCTCGAAAATCGGGTTGGTGAATGCCAGCTTCAAAAAAAAGACTAACCCGTAAGAGATTGAAATACGTTCTGCTCGAATATTGTACACCGAAAGAGCTGATTTCCATAATGTTGATGTGATTAGGCATTGAGGATAGAGGTTGATTGCGTATCGATGATCATAGGCTACCTAATTTACGTGCATAGAAAATCAAATCATCTGTTTGTGCTAATCGTACATTAACGCTTTTTTACTTGAAATCCGGGGAAACACACCAATCACAGCAATTTCAAAAGGCATCATCGCCAGTGAGCTATTAGCAAATTCCGATCAATACCACCATGTGACCAGAAATTACTTTGAACATCAACAAAATGGACCTACAAAGTGGCCTTTGATTTGCGTATTCAACTACCAGAAAGATTTGTTCAGAGCTCGTTTTAGTGTATCATTTATGCCAAGTTGAGCTGTAAGTGTATTGTGGACACTATTGAATCGTTGGTCCTTTAGTGCCGAAACATGCAACTCTTACTTTTAAAGGTTGAAATCGTACCTTATAGAAACAGGATTGAAATTCATCGCGTAGGACATACTCCTAATGTATTCTAGCTCTTCGCTCCAACTGATTTCGGCCGTTCTTCTAGTATGTCTTCATCTAGTCAACTGACTTGCACAATTATTTTGTTGCATACCTCAGATCACACACACTCTGGAGCCTCGGTTGCCTGAGCCAGTTAAACGTTATAGCAGCACACAATACTTGAGCAGACTTCAGTATACTCGACAAGCGACTACAACGACTTCGACCCTCTCGAGGCGTGTTTCAAGTCAGCCACGGTTGGAGCCAGGGTATTCATCCGAGGAAGAACATGAGCACCCGATTACAGCCACTCCATATGTTCGTCATTACAAAACTCGAATGGAACGGTCACTGACAGCCAAGCCCCGTCTACGGCCAGGATATCGAAGTGAAATGGAACATAAACAGACGTTCAGTGTGACTCCAATGGTACCCGAATACCGAACTACAATTGAACAGTCTCTCCCCAGTGTCCCTAGACTAAAACCTGGATTTGCTACAGAAGTCGAACGCCCCATTTCCATGGATGTGGTTCCCGTAGTTCCTGAATACAAAACCCAACTATCAACCGAAGTCCCAGCCCGTCCACAAGTACAACGTGGTTTTTCTTCGGAACGTGAATACATAAGAAGCATGAGTGTGACGCCAATGGTTCCGGAATATGAGACCAAACTGGAGCACAAGGTTGTTGAACGTCCAGTTTTGGAAGCTGGATACGCGTCGGAAGGAGAGCACGAACACGCAATGAACGTGGTTCCACTGGTGCGCAGAACTGAATATAAAACGGAGCTTGCCACTGAGGTGCCATCCAGACCAACAACACATCCAGGATTCGCATCCGAGACCACGGTTCCAAGACCAATTGAGGTAACTCCAATGACTACCGAATACAAGACACGCATGGAACGAAGAATGCCAAGTTATCCAATTTTGGAAGCGGGTTACTCCTCTGAAGAAGAATACCAGACCAGAATGGAAGTTGTCCCTGTGGTCCCACACACCTCCTACCGAACTGAGATGACAACCGATTTGACTGCGAAACCGGTAATGCAACCCGGTTTCGTATCCGAACAACAGCACATGCTAACCATGGAAGTAGTCCCAGTTGTCCCCGAATTCAAAACTGAGCTTTCCACAGAGGTCCATGCACGACCACAACTGACAACTGGTCACGAAACACGGTTGGATTACGAAAGACAACTACAATGGGAGACAGAATTGAAACAGGTAATTCTTCCCGAGGCATGCTTTCTAGCGTGTTTGACTGCTCGTGCAATCCCACTTTGAGGACCATCACTACACACACTGGACTCTATCAAGATAGGTTTTTATAACAGCGTATAGTGATGTTGGTAACTGATTACCACACAGGTGAATCACCGTTGTCCTGACCATCTCTCAACTTCCAACATTGTGTAGAGGCAATAAGAATGTTTGTGACACAACCAATCCTTCTTCACGTCGCCATATCTTGAGTACAGCCTAATGACCTGCCATTCCTTTTCAGGAAGCCATCGCAAGCAAGAGACTCCGAAAACGGTGACTTGTAGTAGACATTCGTAAACAGTAATTGTGGCGACATCACGAGTAGGTAATGGTGCGTTGTCCCATGTTTTCACTTACCTCTGAGTACGTTATAGAAAATGTGCTCTAAGGGCCTCAGTGACAACAACGGGACACCAACAGAGCACGAACCAGAGTTCGAGAAATGAACCAACAAGGGCTTACGCTGGGAAGTCAGGTAGTGGGACAAATTCAGCCTATCCCACAAGCGTCGTGGTTTATTAATTGTCACTCTACGGTGGCAAGGGTCGGAATGGGTAGACACGCACACATTACATACATGCATGGCGATTTCAGACGAGTCGCGGGAGCTTTCCGCGTGCCGACACATCTTGTTTTGCTGGCACCAAAGATGAGTTTGGGCACAACATCTGATGTCAGTGATCGCCTTTTGCAAGATGAAAGTTCCGTAATTAGGACGCAGTGCAACGGAGTCCAAGAAGTGGCCGACGTGAATCAAGCAGCTAAAATTTTATACGAATCAACTTATATATCTGAAGAGCCTAATGGACCACTCTGTTTCTTTTATGGAAACGCCTGAACAGTGAGTGACGTCGAACGATTATCGAATATCGCTTAAGCTGAGTGGTTTAGTGCCGTGGCGACAACCGTTCAACGTATAAGGATGTTGGGAACTGCGACAAGTAAGGTGTCCTAAAGTAACTTTGTTTCGCTCATAGAAAATCTCCTGTGACCACCCGGTTTTGCGTCGGCATACCCACCCAAAATCAGGAATACAGAATTTAAGCGTAACACTGACCCAAGACAGTATAGCGCTGCGGTAAATATCATAGGATGAAAGCCAAGGTTAGCTTTAGTCCAATTCGAGCAATGTTGAAGCAAATGAGGTAGCAAAGCATGGGTGTAAAGTGGGCGGCAAACTTTACCAATTGACGTTGAAACCCAAACCAGGGAGCCATATTAGCCAACAGGGATCAGCCCACACAAAAAAAAATAAACAACAGAACTTACCTCACGAGGATTGTAGTGCGGCACAAACCGGAATAGGATGCACAGGCACAGAACCAGACTAGTTTGTGGGTATCCTGCTGTGTTAACCACAGGCATCTGGAGGTTAACCAGAGCCAGTCAAGTCAAAAAAACCTTATCCCTATTCATATTTATCGTCTGTGTTATGTTGAGGTGCATTTCAAATCAAGCATCAGGAACAGCATCATTGGCAGAGAGACCAGATCACACACATGTCAATATATTTGAATTGAGTCTGGTGATTGGTAGAAGAGAACCACGGGCCCGGGAGGAAGATACGCGGGTAGTCTAGGCGTCTACACTGAACCATACAATCTGGGTTGAAACGGACAACAGGAAATTCAGTGACATTTTCTAACATCCATATATATCTTTTTGGACATAAACATTTTGGCATTCCAATGTAGCCAAAACCTTTAATATCTCATTAAACCTGCCTTCCGATCTCATGTTTCGCTATGATTTATAGTACCAGTCGGCCGTCGCAACGCGGTTGCCAAGTCGACCTTCACTTACCTCAGTCTATTCAGCCACACTGGAACACGAAACGAGCATGAATGTGGTCCCCGTTGTACCGTATGATGAACGCTTCACCAGCCACTTCACACAAGAGTTCGCGGTTGAAGTAAGTTCCTCTAGTGTTAATCAGTTGCAAAGGTATTGGATCTAAAGCAAAGTGTTTGTCTATAGGACAGCTCACCTGAGAATTATCAGCAAGCTTAAAGTCAGTTGTCGGCCCTGCTGTCGAGTCGTGCACAGTCGTTACCGAGTTGCATAAGTACCGTACATAGTTTGAGTAAAGAAACTGGTACAACTGATTTTTATTGGAAAAGATAACGTCTATTACCAAAAGCTTTCTATTCACATGGTGTTTGTACTGGAGCTTGGCGATGAGTCTGTGGTTGTGCGTTGGGCAGTGTTGCTTGTGTGTTAATATACGTATTACTAACCTGGGTCAGCTCCACTTTATTCCCATAGTTGTTCCCATGAGTAGATAACATAGTTGGGCTCTTTCTAGACTATATCAGATTCACCCCTCACCCCTCCATACGTTATTTTTGGTTGGCTGTCTTTGATTACGAGTAGGTGAACAGCTAAACAATATTTTGGCATCATCCGTCTTTCTTCTTTTCTTCTCATCCAAGTACCGACCTGTCGATCTCATCGTAGAAGTGCCAATACCACCGCAGTTCATCAAACCACTTTCCAGTGTGATGGCATCTGAAGGAACACGGGTTGTTCTTGATGGAATTGTCACAGGCACCCCACAACCAAGTATTTCCTGGTTCAAAGCTGGTCGTCAACTTGAAGACGGTCCAGATTTGAAGCTCGAATATAACGAAGGTCAGGTTCGGTTGACATTGACAGAAGTGAGTAACCTAGTGGAGACCAAAAGTAGATACGTGTTTGTCGGGTGATTCTGTTAATCCACTGTCAAACGTGTTCACGATGCCATTCTTTCTGTTTTGCCCTCACATTAGGCATTCGTGGAGGATGCTGGTCAGTATGTGTGTGAGGCACAAAATGTGGCCGGTCAAGCTGAGAGCAGCGCAACAATCGTCATTCAAGCCCGCCTAATGGCACCGTATTTCGTCAAAGGTTTGGAAAGTCAGGTGGTTCAAGAGGGTCAGTCAGTGAGAATGGTGGTCAAAGTGGATGGTGAACCCCCACCAACTGTGACCTGGTAAGTTCCCCTGCTATTCAGATATATACAGGTATGTACCGCAAATTTCAGCAGCTCTAGTGCATGTGGCTCCGTATGTAACCGAGAGACTCACCAAGTCCCAATCGCAAATCGCAAAATGAGTGAAAGTTACAAACACAGTTTCCCCAGGGGGAGCTTGTGAGACCTACACCAAGTAGACGTTTACTTCATTATTGATCCCATAACTACTTCCAACTGCTGTGGATGTAGAAAATCTATTTCAGTTGCTCCAGGCCCTCGTACATCTATCACTCTATTTAATACTAAAATGTTAGCGTCAAAAAGGGCAACTGTCCTAATATCAGAAATATGGACTGAATAGCATTTTTGCTTGATTCCCCACTCGATCGTGATTCCTGTGCGTCATCATATGCATTACATTTCTCTCTCTTGTAGGACATACAATGGAAGAGAAATCATAAGTTCGCCCCACTATAAAATTGAAGTCCAAGGTGATGGAGTTCATGTGCTTGAAATACCAGAGACTTACTTCCAGGACACCGGACGATACACAGTGATTGCGAAGAATGCAGCTGGCGAGAGCGTGTCTTCTGGACTTCTAACAATGCAAGGTGATTTCACTTGGTCAAGAACAACAACTCTTAGCAACTATCTGTTTTCGTGCGTCTGCCGATTTTAGGATCAATAACGTCGTCTTCGCCACATATGTATTCATTTACCCTACACACGTATAGCGCAAATGTTTCAGTTTTTTAGTTTGATAGATTTCTTTTAGTCCTGTGTTGCCTGGGGCTTCGTAGCTCCCGAATGATCAACGACAACAGATATGAGTGTCATGCAATAAAAAGTATAAAACATCCTCACGTCATTTTCAGAACCGGAACATCGCACACCCACTCCCCGAAGAGAACTTCATCATCGAGAGCTCACTCTTCAGGTAGAAACTCTGCCACAGATGCCATTACCTCCGCCTCCCCCATCATCGCCGAAAGCGGAGAAACCCCAATTTACACAGGTTTGTATACTGATTTTTTCTATGCTGACAACGTTCTTCTCAGTTTCTTTTCATTCGGTTGAGCTGTTATGTGTATCAGCCCATCAGCATCCTGAGTTTATGGTGTGTTGATAAACTTGTGCTCGATTACGGGGTATTCTTCAGGCATGAGCACTGCATTGTTCGAAGTCATGTCTTATAACCTTGAGAATTCGGCTGAACTGACCACGACGCTGATGAAAATTATCTTACCGTTCATTGGATTTTGGGTATCAGCAATTTTATATACAGCTCACAAGGAGAAATTAGTGAAGTACACCTCGACTCTTGAGTTCCAATCTACTAAGCTATCGCTAATGCATGTACAAAAGCTGGCCATTAAATTGGTAGGCCTGAAAATCCTCGGTGTGAACGCAATCTTTACCTTGAAATGAACAGAAAACTAATAAGTCCGTTTTTTGAAAAAAAAGATCGACCGATTTAGTTCGACTCGCCGATTGATCATGGTTAGCCTTATGGTAAATCTTCATAAATCTTTTTTTCCATTCAGACTTTTTTGCCCGAAATGGAATTGCCGGAAGACGATCGTCTTGTCCTAACTGTAGAAGCCTGGGGTAATCCCTTACCATTCATTCACTGGTTCCATAACGGTCGCGAATTGATGGATACGCCTGATCGACAAATCACGCAAGTCGGGCCACCCCTGGCTAATCCAAATGAGATTCAACCGCACCCGGTCCGCATGAGCGGTCAGCTGATCATCAGCAGGGTCTTAGCCAGTGATTCAGGACTCTACACCTGTGTGGCAGTCAACCAGGCTGGGCAAGCCGAAGTACTCGGGAACGTCAGTGTCCTGGCAAAGTGTGAGTTGTATTCCCTTGCTAAATCCTGTGCACAGGTTCACAGGGAACCCATCTCAATTGTGAATCTTTCGGTATGCATTCCATTGCATAGAGAACGTAAATGAATCTGCCAATAGTGTAAGCTCTGTGCTTACTTTGGGAGTAGATGAAACCTTTGATAAAATTTCTTTCTTACATTCCCGACATTTTTTTCATTCATTCTGAAACCATGAAGTTCCTATAGGATTTTGTGCCCTCTGTACGTTAGTACTCACTCAATTTAAATATAAACTCTGCCAGTCAGTTTGCAAAAGTGTGGTAGGTTTCGACGAAATTATGTTCATTCATCCCTTTCACTCACCTCCTATAAATGGCAACAAGGAATCATATATACGGAGACTTGGTGTGGCTATAAACACAGGAAAATGAGAAAGACTTAACGATGCACCATCGCCGCATGCGGAATGACCTGGATCATCACCTGCCCTAGTTGGCATGTTTAAGCTTGATGCCGTATGTGCCATAATATTCTATAAGCACACGGCACTTACTCAGGAGACTCGAAAATTTCAATTAAGAATTTCGTCTTGTGAGCCTATGCTAGCGGGTCAGGAAACATTGTGCGTTCATCTTCTACCTACCTACCGAGTTACCTTTGGGTGTATGCACAAGTCACTCATATCGTCGGGCAGGAACTTTTTCAAAAGCCATTGTTCAATTCTATTCAGGAAACATGAGGAGCGGCACTGGTTATATTTTGAAAACCAATACAGTGGACTATTTTTTCGGTTTCTTACCACTGAAGATTGATGGAAAACTTGTCCTCCTCCTTGAATGTCTTTCTTCTGATCTTCTTGAGGGTTCCTCTACAAAATTTTTCGGACTTGATTGCGCAAACCGTGGATAGGTCGTGTAGTATAAAAGCAAACCTTCGTTGAATTGCAAGAAAATTATTTGACTGCACGAGGGGAGCCTAAGCATAGGAAGTGGACAATCTAACGTAATTTTACTTTGCTGTATAGTAACTTGCAGAGTCTTGCCACAAACAGACAAGAACGCCCATATTCCTCATGAAACGTGGTGACTGATCATTCTGTCGTCGTTCGAGAATCTCTGCACAGGAACTGTCCAGAAGTACGAAAAATGACAAAGCCAGGAAAGTCTGTCTATCAACTCGCCAGTCACCCTAGCTCTCCTCATTGCATCAGCCAAATCGGTACAAAAATCCTTACAGGCTTTAGGGTAATTTGGCTCAGCTACATGGGACAGAATGTAAGTCTGAAATTCGTACTCTTAATCACTACTCATAAAACGCAAGTAGCACTCAAAAAAGAAAACACTGCTAAATAGATAGGTGGAAATTAAGGTCAGGGCTGACCGGACTGTAGCACCTGCAGTAGTTACCGGACGAACTCATCCCACGTGCACAGCAACACTACACTACCTCATGACTTTTCTGCAAAAGGTGATTAGGTTTTTTTTCGAAGAAACCGAATCTACACTACCTCATGACTTTTCTGCAAAAGGTGATTAGGTTTTTTTCGAATGAAACCGAATTTATGACAAACCACAGATTCATGTGTCTAGTGGCGATGGTTTTATCGTGATGGGAGATTTGCACAGAAGATAAACCAAAGTTACGTATCACGAACTATCCAGAAAGGTCATTCTTTTCAAGATGGATGCAACAGAGTGTCATTCGCTCAAATAGTACGATTGATTAGAGGCCACATTTATGTACCTTGCCCTGTCAAGATTTTGATCGATTTTCACTGGAAGTGACTGAAAAATGCCAAACAATTCACGGTCATCAGAGTGTTCTGCGTAACTGGAGCTTTTGACCGCAGTTTTACCAACTAGGTTTGTTTTACGTCAGCCCTAACTGATTCTTGGAAGACTACTGAAAAGTTAAGCAGTGTATACCTTCTTCTTCAACCCTCAGCGCCGAAACCTTCACCCCCGATTGAACCAGCTCTGACCCCTCCGAAGTTTATCCAATCACCGCCATTCTCAATCGAGTCCGAAGTGAATCAGCCACTTGTACTAACAGCTGAAGCAGTTGGTAATCCTATTCCGGACTTGCGAGTCTATCACAACGGTGTACCTGTCTTATCTGATATCAACCGAACTGTGGAAACTCTCTCGGGCACCGGGAAAATCCGGATACAAGTTCACCAGTTCCAACCAACGGATCAAGGAGACTGGACGTTCGTCGCATCCAATTCGATGGGAACCACTAGTAAAACGATTCAGTTGACTCCAAGAAAGCCAGTGTAAGCCAGAACTTTTATCACATTGAAAACTCCGTGAGAAAATCAGTGCGGAAATTGCCTCTGGTAGTATATGTACCCCATTGTTATACCTGATCGCTGATCCCACTTGAACATGGATTATCTACAACCCGGGGAAGTCGTCAGTTTGAATTTATCACGATGGAGTTAAAAAAACTCTGTACATTGTTGTTGTCAATTCAGTCAACAGGATTTTGAGTCAGGGAAAGCAAGTGCAGTACATCAGAGTTTCGGTAAATCACTGTTTTCAGTCTTCATAAGATGAATATTCACGTTCATTTTCACTAATAAGGTGGAAGGAAAAGGCAAAAATGAGTGCTGCTGATACTCCAGATATTTGGTAGTCGGTTATATTTATATGCCATTCCTTCTGGCGTCTTTAGCCACCAAGTCCGTGTAGGGTTAAATCCCTAAGGTAACCATGATCATAGTACAGTACATGGATATATAAGGTATATCTTATCTACTATACCATCCCTTTACAGTGCACCAGAACCACCGAAACCCTCTCCGGTGACCTTCACAGTGGTGACCCAACCACCTATGCTGAGACCCATGTTCTTGCAACGGTTACCTGAAAATCTATCGATTAATGAGGAGAATCCGATTACCCTGCGAGCTAGATTTACCGGTCAGCCAAACCCGACGGTGCAGGTACTGCGAGATGGCAAACCTTTGGAGCAAAGTACGCGTGTGACTTACGCACTCGAAGTAAGTGAAGTTTCGTTGCATGCCTGGTGGTAATTTCGGTGAACATGCGGCCAGAAGCGTGCGCCAGAGCGACCAGTTTTTACCGAAAGTTTGAGCAAGGATACGTCCATCACTTTGCATTAGGCACATATATCCTAAAAACACAACTCATGATGAATGGCTTTAAGAATAGCAAACGAGTGACAGTCGTAAGTATGTCTAAAGGATTTCGTCAGTGAACTCCAAATACTTACCGTTAGGAACATACTCAAACCCCTCTTTTATTTCACGGCCGTGGTTGCATGCTACCTGTGCCCTAAAATAGTTATTTTCTGCTACTCACAAGTACGGCAACAGTAAATTTATCCCCCAAATACGACAGACTGTGGACAATTATGACCATAAAACATTTCAGGAATAAAATGGAAGATGAGAAGTAACAAATATTATATGTGCATCTCACGAGTAGCTAGGTTTTCGTAGTGCCCTCAGACCTGATCATGAAACGCATCGCACCATGTGTGCTGTAGTCAGCTGTCGTAGGCGTTTTTACAGCAACCATATCAGTCTTTGCGAATGGGCTGCATGCAATTTGTTTAACTAAAACCGTCAAAAACAATGTCACACACCCCGCCATGTTGAAAGCCGTTGTCTGTCTAATCAGCATACCAAAGATCAAAACATTCAAGTGATAGCAAAAGCCAAATCTGGTAAGTTATGCGCAGCATGCGATGTAAGTTTTTTCCGCAGTTTTCACGAAATACGAACCGCGGTTTCGAAGCGGAATCCGTCACACATGGTAACCCGTATTTACCGTGGGCTCATCCAAGTGACCTTGCCTTTTGTCATCGTCTTCTCTGGCAAACTCAGCTCCCCTACCGTTGTATGGTTTAGGACCATAATCATACGCTACAAATCGCGTGCAGTACATCACACTCGTTCAGTCAAATCACAGCGACGACAGCCAGCAAGGTCTGGCATGAACTGCATAACGGTGCTTTTTCTATAGTTTAGTAATTTTGTGACAGCGCACAACCACAATCCACCAGCGCCCGAATCCATTGTTGCTTTATTAGTGCGAGCCAGAGTCACCGGATCTAGCTAAATTGAGGGCAGTTTCACCCACTAAATTTTGTTAGCTTGATGTTGCTGAAAAAATCCAGTTTCTGGCTGGCTACAGTTATCTTTGAATTCCTGCCATTTTCTTCCGTTCACTATTTCTAATGGCGAGGCTCGGATGTGACTGGGTATGAAGGAATAAAGGGATAGATAAGTAAATAAATAAACAGACAAGTAAATAAATAAATAAGTAAATAAACGGATAAAGGAATAAGTGGGTGGTGGTTAAAATAAAGCATGTGACCAGACGCATACTCACACAGTCATTCAATCACTGTCTGTTGAGGCTTTAACTAAGATTAACGGCCAGTATCCCTCGAAACTGAACTTCTCCGTCCACAGACTTGCTATGTCTTACACAGCTGCAGAGAGTTTTGCGGTCAGGACTGATCGCAGTAGGTCGTATGCGCACTACTATTCTCAGGCTGCTTCTGGGCCTTCAGATTGCAACAGACCGTGATGGAGCTTCCTATACGTGTATTAAGCACTTCTGATTGAAAAGTTTTGAACTTCTGATCGGCCGCTGGTGACACAAAGGTTAAGTGTCCAAACTACTAGCCTGGAGGTCGCGGGCTCCAGACTCCCAGAGTGTCGTGAAATGCGCACCGCTGATGATTCCCAACAAGATGAAACAGAAGTGTCCAAACTACTAGCCTGGAGGTCGCGGGCTCCAGACTCCCAGAGTGTCGTGAAATGCGCACCGCTGATGATTCCCAACAAGGATGAAACAGCTGTAAATTGCTTTCAGGATTTTCAGTATAGACGGGACGGAATTTCCGGGAGAGTTTTACTTCACCATAGCGCGTCTCTATGTCAGTATGACGTGGTGAAGGATACCCCAGTTTTATTCAGTCCCATCAGTTTGACGAATTTACTGCACGGTGATTGATGTCTAGTCTCATGACAGATAAAGATAAAAACGGCATGCCGACGCCCGACGTTGGATGAAGTATTAGTTCTACTGTGTTGGGAAGTAAGCGGCCTTAAGGCATATTTTGACTGAGAGGCCCTGTGTAGAACAGTTTGAGAGCACTAATGTTGCCAACAGGCTGTTTTTCTGACACAGTCGAAAATTCATTAATTCTTCATATTTTCTTATTTTAGGCCCCCGATTTAATTGCCATCCATATAAGTAAACCAAGACCAGAAGATGATGGTGTCTATACCGTTTGCATAGAAAATCCTGCTGGAAAAGACAGCTGCTCAGTTTCAGTAAGTTTCACATAACCAACAGTCTATGCTTTTTGTTTAGGGATGTTTTTCTGACAGAATTCATCTTCCCCCTTTTTGAGGATTGCATATTAACCCCATGTTCGCACTGCTTGCTTGTAACAAAAACAATGAAAAATTCTGCATTTTTTCCAGCTCAATGTCGTTCCAACAGAGCCACCTCCGTTCGCTAACATGGCTCCGCCAAGATTCATCCGTGGTCCTTTACCCTGGCCAGCGAGTGAAACAGGAGACCTGATCACGTGTCCAGGCCAACTGGTTTTCCGTGAGGATCAGCCAGCAAATTTGGAGGTCGAAGTGACCGGAGAACCAGCACCCACAGTGACTTGGTTCTGCAATTCCCAGCCAATTCCCTTGGACGGTACACATAAGGTATGAGATACCGTGGGATTATCGGGGACACTTTGAAAGTTGTAGAAATAACCAGTATAACCGACTTAATTGAGACATGTTTTCTCGGAATGTCGCACAAGACTCACAGGGTATGCTTTTCGAGTAAGGCTCTCTTTGGTAAATTTTGCTGAGAATTGGTTGGTGCAACTTGTCACAGCACCATGCTGTCAACCCGTCACATCCGATGATGGTCTCAACTTCCCCAATATAAAAGCTCAGTGAGTGAACTACTGGTACTTCATCCCTCTCAAGTCCAGACGCCTAATCTAGACCAAGGTGTCTAAACCATAACCTAAGAGCTGGATCCAGTCTGTAATTCTGTTTTCTCCGGTCATTTACAGCTTAGAATCGTTTTCCGAATTCTTCTAAAACAATGGTGTCTTGTTTCCAGTCCAAAACCGTTCATTTCCAGTTGCAAAACACAAGACTATTCGAATGGGCTACCAGCTAACTGCTGGTCCAAAGGCCGAATTGATGTATGCAAACGCTCTGCACCAGTTATGAGTGTGTGCATGTCAAGCGGTTTCTATCACAGGACCAAGGAAATCACGTGACGCGAATCGCGTTTCACACTAGCTGTCAATCGACTGCATATTCAAACTGTGTTCTATCAAGCAGCTTCAAAACTTTGACGAATACCCGGGGAGGCGGTCGATGAGAGCGATTATGTACTGTGAGGCAATAATGAAAAAAAGCGAAAGTAGAGGCCCGTTTTCACCCACCATTCGTGTAGAATACTGCTAAGGCACCCAAAGCCAGAAATGATGCTGTATATAAAAATATAACCCCTGGAAGGAAATATGCTGCAATATCTCGAAGACTGTACCAGCTGCAACATGAAGTGGCCTTTGTGCAGCACATTCAGTTGAAGAATATCTTTAAAAAAACGAATGATTCAGTCGCGTTTCAGGTGAGCTTCCTGTCAAGACAAATGAGTGCATTTTGCGGACTGATTTTCTTTATTCAGCTGCAAATGTGAAACGGTGGAGACGCAACCGATCAAAAGTGGTCACCTTAGAGGGGTGATTAATGAAGAGAAGTATATTGTAGAGGAGTCCGACTGTTTGATTTAAATCGGTTTTCTAATCCTTCAGAATAGCCTCACTGAAATTGTAGACATGTCTGTAAATAAAGTGTTGCGTAAAACTACTCTTTCATTCCGAAACACCATCCTAGCTAGCACTGACCCTAACGAGCATGTCAATGAAAGCTAATGTTACTCTTATTACTGCCATGTAGTGCTTAGGGATGACAAAAGACGTGTGGGATGCTGACATTACGCAACTTGTATCGTTTAACTGTTGAAAACAAGGAACTCCGTCATTGATCAAATAAACTATTAGAAACATCATAAACGAGAGATTCTACCGGGTTCTAGGTGAATCTCTCGCAATACCAGATTTGCTTCATTTCGCTTCTTTGATTAGTCTTATAACCAAGCTTTCATGCACTTGTTTGCAGGTATTTGCTCCTCGAGAACATAACAGTACCCTGCTTCTCGACACACCAAACGTAGATACTGATTCCGGTACCTATACATGTGTGGCTACAAATGCCGTCGGTCAGGCTGCTTTGCAATTCAACGTTCACATCAAACCAAGTCCACCGAGTACAAACCCACCCAGGTTTACCGAAAAGCCACCGGAGAAAATTGTCACACCAATGGGCAAGCCACTGACCTTGAACGCATGCGTGGAGGGTTCACCGAATCCAACACTTAGCTGGCACAGAAATGGCTTGTAAGTGTTCATTCCCTCCGTTCTTCACCTACTTACTCAATTTCACCCTCGACTCAGGCGATTTCCGTTTCAGAATGTAGGTGTTCTGTAACGGTTACCCTTCTGCTTAATTATTCCCCTAATCAATTTCACACCGGCACCTACTACCCCCATTCCGTTTTGTCTGTCTCACAATCATGCGTCAGCATCGTGACATGAATACGACAACATGTCAACTCCCGTTCCATGACCTTTTGAAGGACGCCAGTGATTTCACACTATTGTTTTCACGTTCCACTCATTGCAATGGCATACGTATAAGGACAGAACACGGTCAACCGTACACACGCATCACGCGCGTTTTAGAACACAGACCGGCTCAACACACCAAAAACTGTTGACAACCGTGAACGTCTAGCAGTGGAGTCTCCCAAAGAACGACTACTGCACACAAGCGAACGACCGTGTTCTGGCCTTAGATATATGTCGTTGCGAAAACAATAGTGTGAATTCACTGGCGTCCTTCAAAAGGTCATGGAACGGGAGTTGACATGTTGTCGTATTCATGTCACGATGCTGACGCATGATTGTGAGACAGACAAAACGGAATGGGGGTAGTAGGTGCCGGTGTGAAATTGATTAGAGGAATAATTAAGCAGAAAGGTAACCGTTACAAATACTCCACCTTTAGTGAAGGATCATACAGTTGCTGTCATCAGTCAAGGTTGCAGACAGGTCACGTTTTGTCTCGTGATGCACACTTTGGGATGCGGAACAAAACAAAGCACGAGGTAGACAGTGGATGCGGATGGACTAATCAGATTGGGCAACCGCTACGGTTGACGCAGAATCTTCTACCACTGCTAGTTTCTACGTCAAACCTGATTGAACTGTCTGACCTTGCACTGTTACTTACTACATAATGATGGACCACTGTATCCACATAGACACAAGTTGCTGTTACAAGACAGATCTCGTTTCAAGAGGAATCATTCTAACTAGGACCACTTTAGATTCTCCTGGTATTCGGCTCCGAATTGATAACCTTTAAGCTACTACCCTAAGAGCCAACGAAGATAACATGAAATGTCTTCTTTGGACATATCTTTTCCCGTAACAGGGACCAAGCAGTCGCATTCGAGCACCGGTTTTTACCAGTTCAACACACTAGGGCACACCTGGCTATTCACTTCGAAAGTCCGTTAGTTTCCGAGTTAGTATGAAGCGTTTTGCACTCGTGCGATCCACAGCTGCTACAAGGACAAGGTTGGATGTACTGCCCGATCCTTGCGTCACCAAGTTCTACGGAGCTCTTGTCAACACATAATATCCTTCACGAGTGGTTACTGTGTGCTAACCATTTGGGATCGAACTCCAATGTGACATTTTTGCAAACCTTTTTTGCAGAATATAGGAAAACGACCAGATGATTCATCTGTGACTAAAACCCATCCATGCCAAACATCAAGACAACAGTCCCACTTCGAAGTAAACTAAGACTAAACTTCATAAAGAAAACTACTCACAAGCTTGGTGAAAATCCTTCGTGAGTAGTTTTCCTTATGAAAATATATTGCGATATCTCGAATATCATACCAACTGAAACATGAGGCGGCATTTGTTCAGCACATTCAGTTGAGGTGTATCATAAACGAGAGATTCAGTTGAATCTCCCGTGAAAACCAAATCAGTATGCAAATGTGTGTATTTGTCGATAAGTAAACTTAGTTTATTTGGTCGAGCATGTGCCTATATGACGGCACTTGTATAATAAGTAAGCAGTCAATTCGAGTTGAATCGTTTGTTGTCAAAATTTCACCTATACAATGTGCGCGCCTTGCATCACGGTTTCACGTGAATTTCCAATAAGTCTTCCTGAAACTTTTTGTTTGATCTGCTTCGATGTAGATCAATCGATGCAGCTTCCGTGATACTGGTTTAATGGATCCTATGTATGCATATAGTATAATAAATGATTTCATTCCTGATCTCTGACTTCGAAGTAATGTGTAAAAATTCTGAGGGTTCCGTTTGGGTTGGTCATTGCACCTCATGAAATATGATGAGGCGATCTGATAAGACGATTCAGCGGATGCGATATGGATCTGGAGTTCACTGATTCGCGGCTGCTTTGCAGGTGGGTGGATCTGACCATGACAGGTCTTCTTACTGGTCCGATTCCTCACTGCCCCTCTTGTGCGTTGTGACGATCAGGGCTGAGAGTTGAACTGAGCCGTCGTGGCACTTGACGCGCTACCACGTGCCCCAGCGACCGGCAACGTATTGACTAGTTGCGTACTGATCTGTTAATATTGCAGTTAGACAACCTGAAAACACAAGCCTTCCAAACCCAGGAGAGTAGTGTCTACTTTAGGCCCAGAGTAGCGGACACGGGTGTGCCCAAGCCCAAAGACTCGAGAGTCAGAGACGGGACATGTCACGTCAGCCATGTAGACACACACGTACGCAAGGGTCGTGCTTCGACCAGTCAGCGATCAGTCATGCAAACAAGCCCGTCTGACAATCCGACAACGCGCCCTCGAAGCAGAACAGATCGCAACTGTCCTGCCGTGAGAGTCCGGCGTCTTGGTGATGGATGCCTACTCACCCTCACCGTCATGAATCAGCACCACGGTATCGCGTCGACAGGAAGGGAGTTTCGGCCTCATGGGACCGCTTGATATCCTTCTTCAATTCAGTGAGATGGTCTCAGTTCATTTGGTAACCCTACTGGGAGCAGGAGTTCAGAGCCCGATCCTAGATTCTGTGTGTCGAAGAGTTTCTTTCAAGTCAAACTAGATCTAAGCAGTAACTTTACTGAACGATGTATCAAGGAATTTCATACATTACCCAAGAAAATTGTAATGCTCTTGACATTAACTTGCTTCCTTTTTGACAGACCCATTTTCAGCACTTCAGACGGCCGCATCATTGTGGAAACTCGAGATCGTCAGACAACCGTTCGCATTGCTGCTGTACAACCAGAGGATCTAACAGACTGGGAGTGTGTCGCGACCAATATAGCCGGCACCGCCTCCTCGAAAACAACGTTAACCGCAGAGCAGTACCGTAAGTGTGGTTTTGTTGGTGTGGGAATCGCTTAAGTGCAAGGAACTATATTTCAGTTTTCGCGTTAAACAGTGTTGGGCATCACTCTGTAACATTTTCACCACTAGTTTCTCACACTTGGATTTTTTTCCTAGACATGAGTGAACTGGGATTACTCATAAGTCATCCCATACATTCGGAATAAAATTTTAAAGGAGGAAATGTCGGATCAGGACAAGTAACCATATTATGGTCAATGGTTCCCATAAGTCAGTTTGACATAAGAACTTTGGGCTCACTGTCAACACTAGGTACGGTATCATCGTTTTAAACAAATTTGGTGGGTTTTGCTCTACAGAGTCAGGGCCCATTTTTAGTAGCGTTTGAATAAGTAAATTCTGCCGCATCTCGCATTCCAGAAGAGACTATCGAGATCAAACCGAAGAAAGTGGAACCGGAACCGCAAGCAACTCCCGCTCGGGCACCCCGATTCACGCAGTTTCTGCAACCTCTCACTGTTCCTGAATCATCCCCGGCAAAGTGAGTGGGGTTATTTCTAAAATATTTGTCCGTATCATCTCCAGGGATACTTAGATTCGTATCTAGTATATCTTATTGTGCTCATCTCAGGTGACTCTTTTTGAAAGTTAGCCAGATTGAAATATGCAAACGCTTTTGTTTTGGTGCTCTTTGCTGTGAACTGCAACTTTTGCTCGTTTCAGGTTTTTCGTTTCCTTTGAGGGTGAGCCAGCTCCACAGGTTTCATGGTTCCGAGAAGAAATTAAATTGGACCTGATGGCTGAATATAAGGTTGGTCATAGCTTGAATAAATTTTGCTTACTCGGCCATGTTTCTTCCCGTATCTTCTGCAGTCCTGTTGATCTCAAGGTGACTAGAGACTGGATATTAGCTCTGAATTTATCACCTTGATTTCTGTTATCAATTCAAACCCCGGTGCTATGCCAGTTTCCATACTATTTCACCCGTCAAACTTCACTTGGTATGATGATTATGGTGACTGAACGATATATTTGCCTAACTGAATTGGTCTGACATTTCCAGAACCGACTGAACCTCTGAAAAGTTACTTTATTTCACTACTGTTGGTCTGTTCTCAGTAGTCGGAATTCGGGTCCACGTTTCTCTAACCTACCAAAGGTACATGACAGATGTCGCATCAGTTTTGTTTTGTGTTTTAGGTTCGCTTGGAACACACACTAAGCGAGACTTAACCTCTTTTTCCTTGGCATTGTAGATTGTGACAACTGTACACACCAGCGAGCTGACAATTGAGCATGTATCTCCTGAGCAGGCTGGAACTTTCTCAGTTGTACTGACGAATATCGCTGGACAGGCATGTAGTAAATCTCGTCTGCTCGTTGAGAAACCTCCACAACCCAGTTTTGTCGGTCAGCCACCCAGATTTGAGTCCCGATTGATGGAACCAGTCACCGTGAAGATCGGTGAACCCGTCACATTTGAATGCAAGGTAACTTTCTTTAGTTCAGTGCCCATCAGGAAAATATATTTCTGAAAATCGTTGAAGTTCGAGTGTTATGAGGCGATACCCTTCGCTTGTGCTCATCAGCTAGCCCATCAGCAGCTTAGTCAAACGAAACACCATCCAATTTTTTTTCCTGAGCTACTTCTAATAACATACAGGTGGAATAAACAACACGACGGTATGCTTCAGGTCTTCGAGGTTTGAGTTAGCATCTTGAACGTAATTTCAAACTTGGTTGGTCAGTTGTACCAGTCTTTCAGTTTTTTACTACAAACGAAACAGTTTTGTCTTCTATGAGGTTGTGGCGATCAGCTTTAACCACGTTTCCTCATCACTGACATTAAGTTTCGTTGTTTCACCTACTGGGTTTTGTTATTTTCGAGGTTTTGTGACTGCGTACTAATATTCTGTCAAAAGTAATGAAACAAATAAGAGTTTTACTGCTGTTTGCGAAGTTCTATACGCACTGTGCAGAACTTGTTTGTAGCCTCAAAGCAAAAGTTTCGATGATGTTAGAGACTATTCAGCAGCCATAAAAGTAGTGTTTTGTGCTCAGAAAATTTTCAACTTATCCTGTAAAGCTCGCAATTAACTTTCGTTACCATCCCATTACTTCCACGCTATCAGGAGTTATGATACACTCCAAAAGTAAATTGAATTACGCTTTTGTAAGGTACTTTTCTCTTCGACTGGTGGACAGCGCCAGTAGTCAGGTGGAAGATGATAAGCTTCACCCAAAACCGAACTTTCGTTTAATTGTTCCCGATAAAAGACACGATTCGAGCTTTGTCGATGTATCCTTATGCTGTTGGTGATAATTCAAAAGCACTTGTAATATAGTAAAACTTCTTGGCGATTATGTGAGCTAAGCAAGCTTACAATGGTCTTGGAAAGGAGCATTCGCATTTTGTCCTCGATCTAGGACTAAACACGGGGAAATTTTCAGACAATAAAGTTAAAGTATTATTTCTCAATTTCAGGTCACTGGTGAACCAGTCCCTCAAGTCTACTGGGAACGCAACGGGGTTCGCCTACCTGCAACGGAATCTGCTCATGTTAAGACGTTTGACCAGCCTCCTTACCATACTCTGGTTCTCTGTGCAGTGTCTCCTGAGGACGCGGCTGAGTACACTTGTGTAGCCGTCAATCCTCTCGGTCAGGATATCTGTAAAGCTCGTGTGTATGTTGAAGGTGAGTAATTCATAGATCTCGCTTATACCCCAAACTTTAAGTTCACAAACCATTTGATTCGAATGAGAGGTTTATTCACGTGACTTGTAAGCGTCCTTCAGTCCCTGCCTTTCCAGCGAATCAGCTGCATTTTCGTGAAGTCCAACAGGTTTTTTAGAACACAGATTCATTCTCAGAGACTACTGATTTGAAGTAAACTGATCCCAAGCACTCATATCTGAATGAATCTATTCCAGTATTCTTTTCACGAACATTCTTTACAGAACCGATAAAACCTGCCCCATTGGTTGCTCCAGTTATCTTTGCCGGTCCAAAGGATGTCACTGTAATGGAGGCACAACAGGCCGTACTTGTTGCTCGGGTCAAGGGCACACCAAGTGAGTTCAAAGACATAGTAATCCCACACCTAAGTGAATTATTACATGAAGACAGTCGTACTCAAAGCTAAGACCATCATATAGCAGGTTCTTGTTCTGATTGGCCAAAACTGCGGTTCGATGGTGAATACTTCCACCGTGTGAGTGTCAACTTATCGTTCTATGCATCCGAGACTGCATAGGGCCAACGCGGACGACCATGAAGCCACAGACGATCCATTCATTCTTGCCTAGCACGCATGCGGTCGATGAGGGTATTTGTCACGTGATAGGAGTCAATTGTGCACTCAGATTAGGGTGTACAATCTTTAGAATTCATTGGTAGCATCGTAAATGTCTCTTCTAACAACCTTTGAGAATTCGCGGTGCAGTCAGATGTGTTGCATTCCACAAGAATTCCACATGGCTTCCACAATTCTACAGTTACAGAAGAAAGTTCACCAGAGGAGTTGGGATGTAGAAACGACCTTCTCGAGAATGCCGTATATCCTGTTGAATGTTGATATCAAGATCTGAACAGAGTCGCTGAGCATGCATTACCACATTGTTTGCTTGACTGTGAAACTTTTCCTAACAGACCCCCGACCATTTCCGATTATTGATCCCTTATGTTTTCCGCTATAACCTGTGGTAGCTTTCACTCATATCATATTCAAACAACCCACAATCCATCACGTACGGACTACGGTAGACGGTAATCGGTGGCTTGGGGTTCATGCACCTTGGTCACAGGGGCTCTGACAGACAATCAGAAGACATAAATAGCTTTGGATTCGTCTCGTCAAACTTTTTACTAATTTCCAAAAGATAATGGAAGATATAACGGTCTGACTATGGAAACAGGTCTTGACACACTTGGATGCCCCTACTCAAGTGGAAAAGCTCATTCTGACGGCCCATAAGTAAAACTTTACAAGGCTATTATTTTGAGGCTATATGGAGGAGAAATCGGTTGTTTGTGTGAACCTTATAGCTCCACAAAGACTGTCTGGTGTTTCACCCGGGACGATGTTCAAGATATCCATGCATCAAAAACTACCGCAAACAGAAAAATTCAGCTACGATTCAACTGAGTCTGTCATCAACACGAACGTATTTTGCAAGCGACTGTGGTTAGCTAATTGTGTGCGATTTGGTTCCCAAATAGAGTGCAAGAAAACTACGCCTACTTGATGAGCCTTAAGCAGGGTGACACATCTTGCATCAAGAGGACCATTCCTCCAATAATGGTGGAACTTTTAAAGTTCAAGAATTGAGAGTCTACAATCCTAACCCGTATAGAGGACGGAGGTTTGCATATTCTCCCGCTGCAAGAACATCTGTACATGAAGCAGGTGAACGTATCAGTTATTTCTCAGCAGGTCAATATGTGACCTGAACCCGAAAGGTGGGCTACGGATAGTGGGGTGGCTTCCGAACGTGCATGTATCAACATCGAATACACTGCTTACAAAATCAGGTTCCCCTCTTCATTTAACGTCTGCTCAGGTATCTAAAATATAAACAGTAGAAAAAAAGAGCATGGTAGTGAGTCCCTCTCATCATAGAAAACCACCCCCCAAAGAGCGACCAACCGTGCTGTTCACTTGGTGGTAGTCGCTCCATTGGAGAGCATTGCATAAAATTTCGATATTTCACGGTTTAACCACACTTATTTTGAGAACTGTCTGAAGGTAGGCTGCTACTGTCCCAACTGAAATCTGATATCCTCTCCAGCTCCGGAAGTTACTTGGCTTCACAATGGCGAAATCATCAAACCTTCCAGTTACTTCCAACCTGCTGTGCTTCCCAACGGAGAGGTTCGTCTGGTCATTTCCAGTGCCTACTTGGAGGATGCCGGTGACTATACAGTGCAAGCCAGCAACCCGGCCGGTGAGACAACAGCCACTGCACGACTTACAGTACAGCGTAAGTAAAGAGTAAGATATTGTCATGTTCACTAGCACCCAGGTAGTTCCTGGGTGAGTCTGTCTGTTTGATCCTCATGCAGTATACTTTGAAAACCATGCGATTGCTGGCGCTACGTAAACTATGCTTGTATTAGTTCTTTGAACACAAAACTGGAGTAAAATAGTCTATACCTCTTCCAACAAGAAGGATTACCTCGCAAAGATAGACTTGATTCGGTTTTTCCGTGATAACCACAACTTGATGAATGGTTAACTCATAACAGAAAATCATAGTCTTGTTGTTATGTTGGATTCTTCTGATGGCGTTCACTCCGTATAATACTAACAGTGATTCACTTGAGTTGATGCGTCTTACTAATGTATTTCCCCCAATCCACCATATGATCCCAAGCTGTTGAGTACGCTATTGTCTGTTAGACTATCCTGTACTCTATTCTGTAGTTATACAAGTGACCAAAATGACTACTCCTTTTACATTTTTCCAGGTCCATTGCCCAAGACAGTGTCACCACGCTTCACCAAGCCTTTGCCCACAACTCCGGTTCAACTGACCGAGGGAATGCCGATTCAGCTTACTGTCGAGTTTGTCGGTGAACCACAACCTGAAATCACATGGCTTCGGAATGGACAGCCATTCCAATCAACCCCAGACTGGACAGTAAGTATATTGCAAGAGGTTGCTCTTTTTTGGATGTTTTCTCAATAGTTTACGTGTCTTCTGTCTCTAAGGCACAGACACATACTTAATACAGTTGGTGAGCACAATGATGCATCAAAGAATGGAATTTGTCAAATACATGAATTACATAAATATTGACTAGAGATGACGTCAGTGAGTTGATAAAACGCAGCCTTAATTCCGCCGTAAAAAGCACCTACCGCGCTCCCCGTACACTTGCAACTGTATTTCAAATTCTTTGGTCTAAATACCGCTACTCTGGTTCGTCAAATTTCAGTCTGTTTTTGCCGTTTGACGTGTAGAGGCTTAGTAACCCATAGAAAGCTACATTTGACTAAAGCTAGTCAACTAGAATCTGCCTTCAGTAGTGTTACGGTTCGAGTATTCAAAACAGCAGGATCAGTTCATCTTTCGTCCGACATTTATCACTGATCAGGAGATTCGCCAGGGTCGACAGTATTGGATATTCCACTCCATAAATCTGACGGATGCTAACTCGAATCTGCAAGGCCAACTGTCACTTCGGAATGGAACCTCAAATTGTAGGTAGAAGTAGTTGTTCAGTTTTCTGGCCCAACCCTCGTGAACTGAATGTTTACTGGACAGTGTTTATTTCTAAGATCTGCTTTTGTTTTCTGCTCACCCTGATCGGCTGGCAGACTTTCCCATTTTTGCCTATGACACTGCATTGCACCAGTGGAACCCAGCCAATGACAAGTAGTGCCACATGCTGCGTTTACAACCAGCTGAGCAACATCTATCGAGTGTAGAGTTAAGGGACAAAGATTAGGAGGTTAACAAAGGGAGCCGGAGTTCTAAGGCCATCAGTATGTTCATATCTGTCAAGTCATATGGGAGCAACTGAACTATACTAAGCAGCCAGAGCGCACAGTTTATGTGGGATGTGGGACGGTGGCTCGCGCCACTTATCGGAGGTACACAGATATCTGGCTAGCAATAGTCAGCTATAGACCTAAATCACGGTGCTCACAAGATGTCACTTCTGATACCGTTGTGGGTTCCACAGTCCCGAATGTCCACAGTGTCAAGGTCAGTTATTTTCAAACAAACATATGATAAACTATTCACACACACACAATACAACACAGTACAATGGAGAACTTCACAACACGGTGCAATACAAGAGGGCAAAGTAAAAACGTCGAAGAACGGATAAAGCGATAAGGCGAAAACTCAAACCCGCCACCTGAAGAGCCGAACTGCACAGGGATCCGACTTATTTGGGCGGAAGTACCACCAGCGTATTGACCCCAGCATGTAGATGTAAATAAATTTGGGCTGTTGCACAAGCCTGCAGTGCTACTTGTTCTGTTTCAGTTCTGGTTAACATTCGAAAAGTGGGATTAAGTCAGTCGACAGAGAGGGATAGCAAAGCAGGAGATACCTCACTAGGTGTACTCTGCAGGTCAATACACTGGTAGTGGTGAAACCACAGAGTTCTCCCATTTAAATGTGTATCACCACCAATGTGTATTGCAATAAACATCAGGGGCTCAACCAGGGGATATCTAAACATTAGATACATGGTGAGAGAAATATATCGATGGTCTTGGTAAACTGTGCCGCCACGCTGTACGTCATGCGTTTTTCTATCCCTAGCTAAACTAGCAATTATCCATAGTTTGCCTTAAAGTTGTTGGTACCGCAAACGATCAGCATAATGATTCACATGAGGACGCAGTTGCTCATTCACAAGATAATCTGCAGTTCAATTCAAGTGTTGTGCACAACTGTATTTCGTTTGACTACCGTTGTCGCTAGTCCCATCGGCTTCCTACAGACTGAATATCATGCGACCGACGAACTGGGTGGCCGCGTTACTGCAAGATCGTGTCTCACCGTCACGTTGCTTTCGGAAACCGAGGTTCAATTGGTGTCCCGACTCTGGTGGAGATTCTCCTCCCACGTTTTAACGACGTTTGCCGTCCTCATACGGAAAGTGCGTTCGCCGGAGACACTACAAAGCTAGACACCTTCTTCAGAATGGTTAGAAGAATAGGAGACTAGTCCGTTTCCAAACAGTTCGAACTCCAAACATATACAGTGCTAGTGTCTTCAGTTCTCCTCACTTTCTAATTACGTTTCTGTGCCAGTGATTCGCACAGAAGATATAGGTTCTGTTGATAAAATACAATACACTAAAATAAAATACTCAGGTACCAACATCGTCCGAAAATTTAGCGGTAACCTTACTGTCTGAAGTTCTGTAGGGAGTATATCCCCTCTGTTTTCTACTTGGTTCGAAATAGCGTTCACTAAGGCATCCAACTAGGAAACGAGTTCAGTCCACAGGGTTCTGAGGGATCTCTGTTTGGACAGCAGTCTAGTGGATAAATTTCGAATAAACTTGTTGGTAGCACACAACAGTCGTTCCACTATCACTCTATGGCTCAACCAATGGGGTGGACCTTTTTTTTCTCACGGTAAATTTGTGGGAACAGAAAGTTGTCATCTGGATTTAGTCGACCGAAAAATCAATCGAATTGATCATAAACGTACTTGTATTCTGCTCTTATAAGCACACATTTTTGCTTGAGAAATGCGGCAAAAAATCGATAACTATGGCGAACTAAGCGGAAGTCTGCTATACTTTTTAGTTTTTATGACCATATTGTATCGCCGTCAGTGTGGTATGGATTATCCGTTGCTTTTTTAATGCAAAGTCTGAGGTCCCATATTCATAAGATGTATGAATCATATATATCCTACACTGGTATGGTTTTGATGTTTTGAACTTTTATTCTGTACACTTATGGTGGCCAACCCTCTCCAGAAGGGATATATAGCATGTAGGGTCAGTGTGGATTCCCCTTATTCTTGGCTTTGGTAAAGGTCGAGTACAAGAGCGTCTGTTTGTGCTTTTTTTCGAAAGTTCACCAATTCCAAGTGTTCGAAAGCGGATAATGTGAATACGAAAAATTCTGTCTTGCAGATAACCACTGAAGGTCAAACTTCCACTTTGGAATGTCGGGAAGTCTTCGTAACAGATTCCGCTGAATGGACTGTGGAGGCCTCAAATAGTGTTGGACGAACGCGCACACGAACGCAGCTAACCGTTATTCCTGTTAAACGAGGTAAAGTCTCTTTTGATTATTCTTTATCAGTAGCCTATCGTGGATCCATCACTGGGGAACGCACGTATTTTATATACATATCATACATATATGTACGGTATGATATGATATGATATATATGTACATATATATATCGTACATCACACATTTGTCGCATGCAGTGTGTGTGTGTGTGCAAACGAATTTTATTTATCTAAAGGTCACACAGAAGAGTTTTGCCGTCATGCATACAAACGATCATTCATATTCAGGTTTCCCTACAGAATAAACCAAACAAAATCATCTAGTTGCTTCAATTTTTTATTGTTTGAACAGTGGTGATATGATAATATAGTAAAAACATCCGTTCTGTTCTGTTAGAATAACCTGAAAAACTACTTGAATTATATATACAGTTGCTACACTCATCTCCAGTGTATATCGGCAAACAAGTCAAATTACCTTAACTGGCCACAATTTCTTTCTAACAACGTCTTGACAGATTGCTCATCAATGTCCATGAATTTTATTATTCAAACACTAAAACATGTTGTCGTAACTAACCCTTGTTTTCACAAAGTTCCCGAACCACCAAAGAAGGAGGAAGCAGCACCAGTTTTCGAAAAACGTTTACAACCCCGGATGAGAGTTCCACTTCACCATACGGCAACGTAAGTCCTCATTACTACCACTTTGTGCGCCTCTAGCTTAGCGACCAGACTGCGCAGATCGACACGCGTTCAAACTTGTATATCTCAAGAGGGACACCTCATTTATTGACGCTTTCAAAGAGTTGAAAATTACAACTCACTCTTGAGCTGTAATTTATCAGCCATCCCCCTTTCCCGTGCTCTAAGTCACCAGTAACATTTGTGTTGGGCTAAAATAGACAGTTTGGGTGACGTTGATACAGCTGAAGTAGTCAGAGACCCTACAGGTTTTGGGTCCTTTCTGTAAATTTTCTGTGATGTTGGGATATACCGATTATTGAGTGGTCTTCAGTAGCAGTTGCTCTCCGGTAATTTCAGGTTCACATGAAGTTTGTCGCTTATTAGTGCTCATATTGTCTGCCAGCCTTGGGTACTTTGGTTTATACCACATAAAATTCTGAATACGAGTTTGCTGAACTTCATTCAGAGGCTGACCGAAACAGCTATGTTATAAACGTGTTAATTCGAGCACCAACTATACTGTGATAAACTTATATCAGAGAGTGTAGTGGGAGCTTGCGGAAGGGTGCCGTTGTGTGTATCACACTGCGTCTCAGTGGTGCTGAGCAGATAAGCGTTTCGATGCAGTTGGATTTCATTTTCCATGTACATAAGGTATTGTAAAGCGCTAATCTTGCGCACTTTTTAAAATACTATTGGTGTAGCCGGAAATGACTGCAAAAACCTCATAGCTAATTATTAATAAAGGAAATCAGGATCAAGTTTTCTGTCCCCTTCAGGCACAAGGTCAGTCATTTCTTCCAAAATGTTTGACAATTACTCACCTGAAATGGCCTTCCTGACCAAAAACAACCACTCGGCACGTAGGTAGTATCATGCTATTGAAAGGCACGTTTTCCTTTTCCTTTTAGCCTGCATTGTGTAGTTTCCGGTCATCCGGAGCCAATCATTCGTTGGTTCCACAACGGCACCGAATTTTATCCCGAACTCATCACCACGACTGAGTCCGAAGGGACTTCAAAGCACGAGTTGCTGATTGATCGCACGACACATTCGTACACTTTGTATATTCACGACCTAAATGCATTCGATATAGGAGAAATAATGGTACGCGCAGAGAATGAGCTCGGCGTCACAGTGTGTCAAACGCATTTGGAACTGGAAATCGTAGATGGGCAAGTAGTCGAGCCAAGATTTTTGCGTCAACCCCCTGAAAGGGTGCAAGTCAGCCCCGGGGAACCAGCAAGATTAGAGTGCGAGGTAGAATCACAACCACCCGTCGCATTCCGTTGGTATTTGGATGGAATGCAGGTGGATCGGAATGTGACGCCGTATCGTGTATTAGAGGACACCAATCGAACAACATTGATCATACCACGTGTAGAACCGACGGGACTACCAACACAGGTGAAAGTTGAGGCTGCCGCTCCATCAGGAACTAAAATAGTATCCACATCGGTAATTGAAATGATGGCCTCTACTGCAGAAGCTGATCGACCAATTCTCGAAGAGGAACACGCTGAAAAGGATGAAGAAATTCCGACATCGCCTCTACGTTTCGTACGTGCGTTGCCCAGAGAATTAATCATTGAAGATACCACAGGATCGGTGTTCTTTGACGTGGAAGTTGAACAGCCAACACCAGAACAAATTGGGGTTACACCCAAACCAGTCTTCACCTGGTACCGCAACGGCATAGAACTGCGCTTACAGACAACTACTCTGCCACTCGAAAGATATCAGATAGTTCAAGAAAACACATGGCACAGTAGATTGATAATAACAAAGCCAAATCTACAGGACGCGGGAGAACTCACATGCATAGCACGAAGAAAAACAAACGCGGGGGAGGAAAAAATACAGACATCATGTAAAATCAGTGGGTCAGAAACAAAAACACAAAGAGAGCAAGAAAAAGGCATCACAGAATCTCAAATAGAAATACAAAGCATTGTCACCGAAAGTCAAACTGAAACATTCAAAACAAAAGTAGTAATACCACCCAGAATAATACAGCCATTACCGAAACACATAAAACCGCAAATCGGATCGACAACAAGACTGGAAGTTATTGTGACAGGACAGCCACAACCAGATGTCCAATGGACAGTGAGCTCTCCGCAGACGTCCAGTAGGTGTGAGATCGTGCCAGCCGAGGAAGTCGATCAGGTGACCACACACCACCAATTGTTGATTCATGACGTCAAAACAGACGATTACAGAACGACCGTACAAGTGGTGGCCACGTCGGAGATTGGTCAGGCAACGTCTGTGTGCCAGTTAGAGGCGCCCGCTGAAAGACTCGAATTCACCAAGACTCTGAGCCCAGAGCTCGAGGTTGCCGAGGCCACACCTGTGTTATTGGAGTGCGCGGTGCAACCTACACCTACTCCAGTGGACTTCAACTGGTAGGTTCAGGGAGTGGAAGTGACTCCGGAAACGCAGGGTGTTGTCATTCAATCCACGTCACACACATCGCAACTGCACATTGAACAGATGAGACCCGAGTTGGCCGGTCCGGTCACAGTCCAGGCCGTCCACCCACAAGGTCAACAAGTGTCAAGCACGAGTCAGCTGAAAGTCGCAACACCTGTGACGCTAGCACCGATGACGGCAGAGACCGTTCAACCGATTGAAGAGTTTCAGGCTGTGCCCGAAGACCAAATGCGCTTCACGGAAACAGAAGCGCCCGAAATGCAACCAAAGCCTGAGGAGTACAAAATCGCTCCGCAATTTGTCCAAACTCTACCCAGCACAGTCACGCCAGCGATTGGCGCCACGGTGGCGTTGGAAGTTATTGTGACAGGACAGCCACAACCAGATGTCCAATGGACAGTGAGCTCTCCGCAGACGTCCAGTAGGTGTGAGATCGTGCCAGCCGAGGAAGTCGATCAGGTGACCACACACCACCAATTGTTGATTCATGACGTCAAAACAGACGATTACAGAACGACCGTACAAGTGGTGGCCACGTCGGAGATTGGTCAGGCAACGTCTGTGTGCCAGTTAGAGGCGCCCGCTGAAAGACTCGAATTCACCAAGACTCTGAGCCCAGAGCTCGAGGTTGCCGAGGCCACACCTGTGTTATTGGAGTGCGCGGTGCAACCTACACCTACTCCAGTGGACTTCAACTGGTAGGTTCAGGGAGTGGAAGTGACTCCGGAAACGCAGGGTGTTGTCATTCAATCCACGTCACACACATCGCAACTGCACATTGAACAGATGAGACCCGAGTTGGCCGGTCCGGTCACAGTCCAGGCCGTCCACCCACAAGGTCAACAAGTGTCAAGCACGAGTCAGCTGAAAGTCGCAACACCTGTGACGCTAGCACCGATGACGGCAGAGACCGTTCAACCGATTGAAGAGTTTCAGGCTGTGCCCGAAGACCAAATGCGCTTCACGGAAACAGAAGCGCCCGAAATGCAACCAAAGCCTGAGGAGTACAAAATCGCTCCGCAATTTGTCCAAACTCTACCCAGCACAGTCACGCCAGCGATTGGCGCCACGGTGGCGTTGGAAGTTATTGTGACAGGACAGCCACAACCAGATGTCCAATGGACAGTGAGCTCTCCGCAGACGTCCAGTAGGTGTGAGATCGTGCCAGCCGAGGAAGTCGATCAGGTGACCACACACCACCAATTGTTGATTCATGACGTCAAAACAGACGATTACAGAACGACCGTACAAGTGGTGGCCACGTCGGAGATTGGTCAGGCAACGTCTGTGTGCCAGTTAGAGGCGCCCGCTGAAAGACTCGAATTCACCAAGACTCTGAGCCCAGAGCTCGAGGTTGCCGAGGCCACACCTGTGTTATTGGAGTGCGCGGTGCAACCTACACCTACTCCAGTGGACTTCAACTGGTAGGTTCAGGGAGTGGAAGTGACTCCGGAAACGCAGGGTGTTGTCATTCAATCCACGTCACACACATCGCAACTGCACATTGAACAGATGAGACCCGAGTTGGCCGGTCCGGTCACAGTCCAGGCCGTCCACCCACAAGGTCAACAAGTGTCAAGCACGAGTCAGCTGAAAGTCGCAACACCTGTGACGCTAGCACCGATGACGGCAGAGACCGTTCAACCGATTGAAGAGTTTCAGGCTGTGCCCGAAGACCAAATGCGCTTCACGGAAACAGAAGCGCCCGAAATGCAACCAAAGCCTGAGGAGTACAAAATCGCTCCGCAATTTGTCCAAACTCTACCCAGCACAGTCACGCCAGCGATTGGCGCCACGGTGGCGTTGGAAGTTATTGTGACAGGACAGCCACAACCAGATGTCCAATGGACAGTGAGCTCTCCGCAGACGTCCAGTAGGTGTGAGATCGTGCCAGCCGAGGAAGTCGATCAGGTGACCACACACCACCAATTGTTGATTCATGACGTCAAAACAGACGATTACAGAACGACCGTACAAGTGGTGGCCACGTCGGAGATTGGTCAGGCAACGTCTGTGTGCCAGTTAGAGGCGCCCGCTGAAAGACTCGAATTCACCAAGACTCTGAGCCCAGAGCTCGAGGTTGCCGAGGCCACACCTGTGTTATTGGAGTGCGCGGTGCAACCTACACCTACTCCAGTGGACTTCAACTGGTAGGTTCAGGGAGTGGAAGTGACTCCGGAAACGCAGGGTGTTGTCATTCAATCCACGTCACACACATCGCAACTGCACATTGAACAGATGAGACCCGAGTTGGCCGGTCCGGTCACAGTCCAGGCCGTCCACCCACAAGGTCAACAAGTGTCAAGCACGAGTCAGCTGAAAGTCGCAACACCTGTGACGCTAGCACCGATGACGGCAGAGACCGTTCAACCGATTGAAGAGTTTCAGGCTGTGCCCGAAGACCAAATGCGCTTCACGGAAACAGAAGCGCCCGAAATGCAACCAAAGCCTGAGGAGTACAAAATCGCTCCGCAATTTGTCCAAACTCTACCCAGCACAGTCACGCCAGCGATTGGCGCCACGGTGGCGTTGGAAGTTATTGTGACAGGACAGCCACAACCAGATGTCCAATGGACAGTGAGCTCTCCGCAGACGTCCAGTAGGTGTGAGATCGTGCCAGCCGAGGAAGTCGATCAGGTGACCACACACCACCAATTGTTGATTCATGACGTCAAAACAGACGATTACAGAACGACCGTACAAGTGGTGGCCACGTCGGAGATTGGTCAGGCAACGTCTGTGTGCCAGTTAGAGGCGCCCGCTGAAAGACTCGAATTCACCAAGACTCTGAGCCCAGAGCTCGAGGTTGCCGAGGCCACACCTGTGTTATTGGAGTGCGCGGTGCAACCTACACCTACTCCAGTGGACTTCAACTGGTAGGTTCAGGGAGTGGAAGTGACTCCGGAAACGCAGGGTGTTGTCATTCAATCCACGTCACACACATCGCAACTGCACATTGAACAGATGAGACCCGAGTTGGCCGGTCCGGTCACAGTCCAGGCCGTCCACCCACAAGGTCAACAAGTGTCAAGCACGAGTCAGCTGAAAGTCGCAACACCTGTGACGCTAGCACCGATGACGGCAGAGACCGTTCAACCGATTGAAGAGTTTCAGGCTGTGCCCGAAGACCAAATGCGCTTCACGGAAACAGAAGCGCCCGAAATGCAACCAAAGCCTGAGGAGTACAAAATCGCTCCGCAATTTGTCCAAACTCTACCCAGCACAGTCACGCCAGCGATTGGCGCCACGGTGGCGTTGGAAGTTATTGTGACAGGACAGCCACAACCAGATGTCCAATGGACAGTGAGCTCTCCGCAGACGTCCAGTAGGTGTGAGATCGTGCCAGCCGAGGAAGTCGATCAGGTGACCACACACCACCAATTGTTGATTCATGACGTCAAAACAGACGATTACAGAACGACCGTACAAGTGGTGGCCACGTCGGAGATTGGTCAGGCAACGTCTGTGTGCCAGTTAGAGGCGCCCGCTGAAAGACTCGAATTCACCAAGACTCTGAGCCCAGAGCTCGAGGTTGCCGAGGCCACACCTGTGTTATTGGAGTGCGCGGTGCAACCTACACCTACTCCAGTGGACTTCAACTGGTAGGTTCAGGGAGTGGAAGTGACTCCGGAAACGCAGGGTGTTGTCATTCAATCCACGTCACACACATCGCAACTGCACATTGAACAGATGAGACCCGAGTTGGCCGGTCCGGTCACAGTCCAGGCCGTCCACCCACAAGGTCAACAAGTGTCAAGCACGAGTCAGCTGAAAGTCGCAACACCTGTGACGCTAGCACCGATGACGGCAGAGACCGTTCAACCGATTGAAGAGTTTCAGGCTGTGCCCGAAGACCAAATGCGCTTCACGGAAACAGAAGCGCCCGAAATGCAACCAAAGCCTGAGGAGTACAAAATCGCTCCGCAATTTGTCCAAACTCTACCCAGCACAGTCACGCCAGCGATTGGCGCCACGGTGGCGTTGGAAGTTATTGTGACAGGACAGCCACAACCAGATGTCCAATGGACAGTGAGCTCTCCGCAGACGTCCAGTAGGTGTGAGATCGTGCCAGCCGAGGAAGTCGATCAGGTGACCACACACCACCAATTGTTGATTCATGACGTCAAAACAGACGATTACAGAACGACCGTACAAGTGGTGGCCACGTCGGAGATTGGTCAGGCAACGTCTGTGTGCCAGTTAGAGGCGCCCGCTGAAAGACTCGAATTCACCAAGACTCTGAGCCCAGAGCTCGAGGTTGCCGAGGCCACACCTGTGTTATTGGAGTGCGCGGTGCAACCTACACCTACTCCAGTGGACTTCAACTGGTAGGTTCAGGGAGTGGAAGTGACTCCGGAAACGCAGGGTGTTGTCATTCAATCCACGTCACACACATCGCAACTGCACATTGAACAGATGAGACCCGAGTTGGCCGGTCCGGTCACAGTCCAGGCCGTCCACCCACAAGGTCAACAAGTGTCAAGCACGAGTCAGCTGAAAGTCGCAACACCTGTGACGCTAGCACCGATGACGGCAGAGACCGTTCAACCGATTGAAGAGTTTCAGGCTGTGCCCGAAGACCAAATGCGCTTCACGGAAACAGAAGCGCCCGAAATGCAACCAAAGCCTGAGGAGTACAAAATCGCTCCGCAATTTGTCCAAACTCTACCCAGCACAGTCACGCCAGCGATTGGCGCCACGGTGGCGTTGGAAGTTATTGTGACAGGACAGCCACAACCAGATGTCCAATGGACAGTGAGCTCTCCGCAGACGTCCAGTAGGTGTGAGATCGTGCCAGCCGAGGAAGTCGATCAGGTGACCACACACCACCAATTGTTGATTCATGACGTCAAAACAGACGATTACAGAACGACCGTACAAGTGGTGGCCACGTCGGAGATTGGTCAGGCAACGTCTGTGTGCCAGTTAGAGGCGCCCGCTGAAAGACTCGAATTCACCAAGACTCTGAGCCCAGAGCTCGAGGTTGCCGAGGCCACACCTGTGTTATTGGAGTGCGCGGTGCAACCTACACCTACTCCAGTGGACTTCAACTGGTAGGTTCAGGGAGTGGAAGTGACTCCGGAAACGCAGGGTGTTGTCATTCAATCCACGTCACACACATCGCAACTGCACATTGAACAGATGAGACCCGAGTTGGCCGGTCCGGTCACAGTCCAGGCCGTCCACCCACAAGGTCAACAAGTGTCAAGCACGAGTCAGCTGAAAGTCGCAACACCTGTGACGCTAGCACCGATGACGGCAGAGACCGTTCAACCGATTGAAGAGTTTCAGGCTGTGCCCGAAGACCAAATGCGCTTCACGGAAACAGAAGCGCCCGAAATGCAACCAAAGCCTGAGGAGTACAAAATCGCTCCGCAATTTGTCCAAACTCTACCCAGCACAGTCACGCCAGCGATTGGCGCCACGGTGGCGTTGGAAGTTATTGTGACAGGACAGCCACAACCAGATGTCCAATGGACAGTGAGCTCTCCGCAGACGTCCAGTAGGTGTGAGATCGTGCCAGCCGAGGAAGTCGATCAGGTGACCACACACCACCAATTGTTGATTCATGACGTCAAAACAGACGATTACAGAACGACCGTACAAGTGGTGGCCACGTCGGAGATTGGTCAGGCAACGTCTGTGTGCCAGTTAGAGGCGCCCGCTGAAAGACTCGAATTCACCAAGACTCTGAGCCCAGAGCTCGAGGTTGCCGAGGCCACACCTGTGTTATTGGAGTGCGCGGTGCAACCTACACCTACTCCAGTGGACTTCAACTGGTAGGTTCAGGGAGTGGAAGTGACTCCGGAAACGCAGGGTGTTGTCATTCAATCCACGTCACACACATCGCAACTGCACATTGAACAGATGAGACCCGAGTTGGCCGGTCCGGTCACAGTCCAGGCCGTCCACCCACAAGGTCAACAAGTGTCAAGCACGAGTCAGCTGAAAGTCGCAACACCTGTGACGCTAGCACCGATGACGGCAGAGACCGTTCAACCGATTGAAGAGTTTCAGGCTGTGCCCGAAGACCAAATGCGCTTCACGGAAACAGAAGCGCCCGAAATGCAACCAAAGCCTGAGGAGTACAAAATCGCTCCGCAATTTGTCCAAACTCTACCCAGCACAGTCACGCCAGCGATTGGCGCCACGGTGGCGTTGGAAGTTATTGTGACAGGACAGCCACAACCAGATGTCCAATGGACAGTGAGCTCTCCGCAGACGTCCAGTAGGTGTGAGATCGTGCCAGCCGAGGAAGTCGATCAGGTGACCACACACCACCAATTGTTGATTCATGACGTCAAAACAGACGATTACAGAACGACCGTACAAGTGGTGGCCACGTCGGAGATTGGTCAGGCAACGTCTGTGTGCCAGTTAGAGGCGCCCGCTGAAAGACTCGAATTCACCAAGACTCTGAGCCCAGAGCTCGAGGTTGCCGAGGCCACACCTGTGTTATTGGAGTGCGCGGTGCAACCTACACCTACTCCAGTGGACTTCAACTGGTAGGTTCAGGGAGTGGAAGTGACTCCGGAAACGCAGGGTGTTGTCATTCAATCCACGTCACACACATCGCAACTGCACATTGAACAGATGAGACCCGAGTTGGCCGGTCCGGTCACAGTCCAGGCCGTCCACCCACAAGGTCAACAAGTGTCAAGCACGAGTCAGCTGAAAGTCGCAACACCTGTGACGCTAGCACCGATGACGGCAGAGACCGTTCAACCGATTGAAGAGTTTCAGGCTGTGCCCGAAGACCAAATGCGCTTCACGGAAACAGAAGCGCCCGAAATGCAACCAAAGCCTGAGGAGTACAAAATCGCTCCGCAATTTGTCCAAACTCTACCCAGCACAGTCACGCCAGCGATTGGCGCCACGGTGGCGTTGGAAGTTATTGTGACAGGACAGCCACAACCAGATGTCCAATGGACAGTGAGCTCTCCGCAGACGTCCAGTAGGTGTGAGATCGTGCCAGCCGAGGAAGTCGATCAGGTGACCACACACCACCAATTGTTGATTCATGACGTCAAAACAGACGATTACAGAACGACCGTACAAGTGGTGGCCACGTCGGAGATTGGTCAGGCAACGTCTGTGTGCCAGTTAGAGGCGCCCGCTGAAAGACTCGAATTCACCAAGACTCTGAGCCCAGAGCTCGAGGTTGCCGAGGCCACACCTGTGTTATTGGAGTGCGCGGTGCAACCTACACCTACTCCAGTGGACTTCAACTGGTAGGTTCAGGGAGTGGAAGTGACTCCGGAAACGCAGGGTGTTGTCATTCAATCCACGTCACACACATCGCAACTGCACATTGAACAGATGAGACCCGAGTTGGCCGGTCCGGTCACAGTCCAGGCCGTCCACCCACAAGGTCAACAAGTGTCAAGCACGAGTCAGCTGAAAGTCGCAACACCTGTGACGCTAGCACCGATGACGGCAGAGACCGTTCAACCGATTGAAGAGTTTCAGGCTGTGCCCGAAGACCAAATGCGCTTCACGGAAACAGAAGCGCCCGAAATGCAACCAAAGCCTGAGGAGTACAAAATCGCTCCGCAATTTGTCCAAACTCTACCCAGCACAGTCACGCCAGCGATTGGCGCCACGGTGGCGTTGGAAGTTATTGTGACAGGACAGCCACAACCAGATGTCCAATGGACAGTGAGCTCTCCGCAGACGTCCAGTAGGTGTGAGATCGTGCCAGCCGAGGAAGTCGATCAGGTGACCACACACCACCAATTGTTGATTCATGACGTCAAAACAGACGATTACAGAACGACCGTACAAGTGGTGGCCACGTCGGAGATTGGTCAGGCAACGTCTGTGTGCCAGTTAGAGGCGCCCGCTGAAAGACTCGAATTCACCAAGACTCTGAGCCCAGAGCTCGAGGTTGCCGAGGCCACACCTGTGTTATTGGAGTGCGCGGTGCAACCTACACCTACTCCAGTGGACTTCAACTGGTAGGTTCAGGGAGTGGAAGTGACTCCGGAAACGCAGGGTGTTGTCATTCAATCCACGTCACACACATCGCAACTGCACATTGAACAGATGAGACCCGAGTTGGCCGGTCCGGTCACAGTCCAGGCCGTCCACCCACAAGGTCAACAAGTGTCAAGCACGAGTCAGCTGAAAGTCGCAACACCTGTGACGCTAGCACCGATGACGGCAGAGACCGTTCAACCGATTGAAGAGTTTCAGGCTGTGCCCGAAGACCAAATGCGCTTCACGGAAACAGAAGCGCCCGAAATGCAACCAAAGCCTGAGGAGTACAAAATCGCTCCGCAATTTGTCCAAACTCTACCCAGCACAGTCACGCCAGCGATTGGCGCCACGGTGGCGTTGGAAGTTATTGTGACAGGACAGCCACAACCAGATGTCCAATGGACAGTGAGCTCTCCGCAGACGTCCAGTAGGTGTGAGATCGTGCCAGCCGAGGAAGTCGATCAGGTGACCACACACCACCAATTGTTGATTCATGACGTCAAAACAGACGATTACAGAACGACCGTACAAGTGGTGGCCACGTCGGAGATTGGTCAGGCAACGTCTGTGTGCCAGTTAGAGGCGCCCGCTGAAAGACTCGAATTCACCAAGACTCTGAGCCCAGAGCTCGAGGTTGCCGAGGCCACACCTGTGTTATTGGAGTGCGCGGTGCAACCTACACCTACTCCAGTGGACTTCAACTGGTAGGTTCAGGGAGTGGAAGTGACTCCGGAAACGCAGGGTGTTGTCATTCAATCCACGTCACACACATCGCAACTGCACATTGAACAGATGAGACCCGAGTTGGCCGGTCCGGTCACAGTCCAGGCCGTCCACCCACAAGGTCAACAAGTGTCAAGCACGAGTCAGCTGAAAGTCGCAACACCTGTGACGCTAGCACCGATGACGGCAGAGACCGTTCAACCGATTGAAGAGTTTCAGGCTGTGCCCGAAGACCAAATGCGCTTCACGGAAACAGAAGCGCCCGAAATGCAACCAAAGCCTGAGGAGTACAAAATCGCTCCGCAATTTGTCCAAACTCTACCCAGCACAGTCACGCCAGCGATTGGCGCCACGGTGGCGTTGGAAGTTATTGTGACAGGACAGCCACAACCAGATGTCCAATGGACAGTGAGCTCTCCGCAGACGTCCAGTAGGTGTGAGATCGTGCCAGCCGAGGAAGTCGATCAGGTGACCACACACCACCAATTGTTGATTCATGACGTCAAAACAGACGATTACAGAACGACCGTACAAGTGGTGGCCACGTCGGAGATTGGTCAGGCAACGTCTGTGTGCCAGTTAGAGGCGCCCGCTGAAAGACTCGAATTCACCAAGACTCTGAGCCCAGAGCTCGAGGTTGCCGAGGCCACACCTGTGTTATTGGAGTGCGCGGTGCAACCTACACCTACTCCAGTGGACTTCCACTGGTACGTTCAGGGAGTGGAAGTGACTCCGGAAACGCAGGGTGTTGTCATTCAATCCACGTCACACACATCGCAACTGCACATTGAACAGATGAGACCCGAGTTGGCCGGTCCGGTCACAGTCCAGGCCGTCCACCCACAAGGTCAACAAGTGTCAAGCACGAGTCAGCTGAAAGTCGCAACACCTGTGACGCTAGCACCGATGACGGCAGAGACCGTTCAACCGATTGAAGAGTTTCAGGCTGTGCCCGAAGACCAAATGCGCTTCACGGAAACAGAAGCGCCCGAAATGCAACCAAAGCCTGAGGAGTACAAAATCGCTCCGCAATTTGTCCAAACTCTACCCAGCACAGTCACGCCAGCGATTGGCGCCACGGTGGCGTTGGAAGTTATTGTGACAGGACAGCCACAACCAGATGTCCAATGGACAGTGAGCTCTCCGCAGACGTCCAGTAGGTGTGAGATCGTGCCAGCCGAGGAAGTCGATCAGGTGACCACACACCACCAATGGTGGATTCATGACGTCAAAACAGACGATTACAGAACGACCGTACAAGTGGTGGCCACGTCGGAGATTGGTCAGGCAACGTCTGGTGCCAGTTAAGAGGCGCCCGCTGAAAGACTCGAATTCACCAAGACTCTGAGCCCAGAGCTCGAGGTTGCCGAGGCCACACCTGTGTTATTGGAGTGCGCGGTGCAACCTACACCTACTCCAGTGGACTTCCACTGGTACGTTCAGGGAGTGGAAGTGACTCCGGAAACGCAGGGTGTTGTCATTCAATCCACGTCACACACATCGCAACTGCACATTGAACAGATGAGACCCGAGTTGGCCGGTCCGGTCACAGTCCAGGCCGTCCACCCACAAGGTCAACAAGTGTCAAGCACGAGTCATCTGAAATTCTGTTCCCCGTCTTATTGCCAACCAGAATCTCCCACAGTTGATTCATTACCTGATTTCCCTTTGATGATTGATTCTCAACTTCGGTTCTCTAAGCCTCTCTCTTACGAGCTGGTCAATGCCGCTTCTTTGGTGCGCTCTCTTGTGTAAGTCCTCATGGATATCGGTGCCTACGGTGCTTTCCTCTGGGACGTGCTCGCATGTCTGCGAGTCTTTTGGTGATATCAGCACCTTTCTGTGTCTCTTCGCTGTTGGTGCATGTTGGGGCATGTCTGTTCCGCTTATTTCCTCATTCTTTTTCCATTGGTAGGTGCTTGCATTTTGTCGGTGGTCCGCAGTCCTGTGGTGTTTTTTCACCCATTCCGTCATCAAATGTAGTTAATCACTGCGCGTTATGCCCTTTCGGGTTAACTCTGGCCTTGACGTTTGTGTCAGCATCTAAGCGGTAGCCTCAAATGGGTTGATGATGTTGCTGCGTTTTGATCATTTTAATTACTTCATGTTAATGTCACCTTTATCAGTGCCACCGAATGGATCAAATGAATCCTTCAGAATCGCAATAGAAGGCAGTTACTTTTCCATGAATATTGAAAATGAAGCGCTAGAACCCTTGCATTGAACGCATAGACCTGGCGGGCTGTCCCTTTGTTGACCCATTCATATTTATTTGTCCCTCGCTTCTATTCCACAGGTGACTGACTTTTCTAATCGATAGTCAGGTGTAAATTGTCCTCTTCTACACCGCATAGAATAATGCGGGTACACTGTGACAATCAGCTTATAGTGCTTCGTTTTTCAGAACCTGGTTCGTTAAATATATTTGGATGATTGCATGTTAAACTCTCAACCTCGGTAATTTTATCTCAGTGGACTGTGTTCAACCTATTGCAGCTTTTCCCGCCCCAGGCTTCTTGTTGGATGGCTAGAATCCTTCTGGCTGAGTACTCCGCTTCTAAGGTCATTGTACTCTCTAGTGTACTGCATCCAGTCTGTTATCTGCTTTTACTGTACGGTTTGCTGTAGGCATCTAACGACTGTAGTGCAGAACATCGTGACCCACATCCTCCCCTCGGTGTTACCCATCCCCAAGTAAACTTCCTCGAGGCATGGTTCCCATGTAACTGACGTCGGCACGGATGAAATTTAGATAGCCCCATATTATGCTTCTTTTTCAGATGACTTGCCTTCGAATCGGTGGTTCACTCTGATCAATCGCGTTCCTACTCTCATTTTTCTTCCCCCAGACTGGAATGTCAAATCGAAGCGGAAGTCAAACCAGTTCAGGTCATTTGGACATTGAACGACCGTGAATTAACTCAATCAGATAGAGTTCAGGTGGTCTACATGGAAGATACTGGAACTGCGAAGCTTATTGTGCATGACGTCGCTCCAGAGGACGCCGGGCAGTATGCCTGTATTGTTAAAGGACAAATTGTCAAACAAAGTACAGGAAAATTGGTTCCCAAAGTTATTCAATCCACAACTGACGTGGAAATATTAGGTGAGTCGGGATGTGATGACTGACGCCATTGGTTGTGATATCATTGCACCATGAAATCACTTGACAGATATATCCATAGAATGAGGTGTCTGGCAATATCCCACTGACATATCTGAAATGTACCGGGGTCTGTCCGGTTTGAAAATAAACAGCACTGTAAGGTTCGGTTAAGTTTTGGTCTTAAAGGATGATTCTCTCACTTGGTTCGGTAAAATATCCGTTTGAAGGCGTCAGGATATCACTAAGATAGATGCTTAAGCGGCGTACGATTTTCCCTCCAATTGGCGGAAAGTGTACTTCCTACCCAGCATCCGAATAATAAGCGTTCAAAAGGCAGATTTGTCCCTGTGATCACCGGCAGCTTGGATGTGCTAACTATGACCCCATCCCTATCTTCAGTCGACGAAAATCGTATTTTTCGGATAGAACCCGCAGTGAGTGCAGTCGAAGGATAGGGCTTTACCCGCAGAATGAGTGTGTAAGCGTGGCAGACTGTGACAATTAGTGGACAATGCATTTCTTGACAGATCCCCTGGCCTCTCTCACGTTACTCAGTCAGTATGATTTTAATCCATTGAAAGAGAGAATAAAGTTGTTTGAATGAGTGATGGAACCCGGTTTCCCGATGACATTGTGCAGAAAAACGTTGTAGAGTATGTAGGATACTCGCCCTACTTGTGAGCCTACCTCTAGGGGCTGTAACATTCGTTCCTTTGGTTCGTTATTCGGACACATACTGAAGGATATAAACTAGTTGACGTAGTCTGGAGTAAAAATGCTGTCCGCAAAACGCCAGATGAAATATCTTACAGACGAAGGCATTTTCACTGTAGCATTTTGACTGGTTATAAGCACAACCAGGTTCCAAAACAATTAAATAAGAGACGGAGACACGATGCACAAAAGGGATTGCTGTAAAGAGAGTCCAGAACATCCAAGGAAAATGCGGTATTTGATGACCAAAGTTCTAACTGACCTACCTACTAATTCCCGTTGTTCGCAACTTGGAGGTTACTTAGATATAGTAGAACGATAGAAGCACTGTCACTGAGAAGGGCCATGAGATGGTTGCAATGCATAAGGTCGTGAACCTTGTGGATTTCCATGATACAGGTCTGCAATCTGTTCAATGACTATGTGCCAGAAGAGCCTTCATCGTTCTTTCCAGGCGTGTCTGCCGATCCATGCTATGTGTACTTAACAGTTCGTTTCAAGATCCATGCATAATGAAGACTGACAACATTAACATCTGGCCCATTGCAGGTTTCGTGCAAGTGGGACACCGACAACCTCAACCTGTCATGTTTATTGCGATTCATTTTTTCAACCCCGACCGAAATCATTTCGACTTGGTTTCAGTTTCCTGATTCTTCGTGAAATGGCGCACCCAAGATGACTAAAAATATTAGATCATCTAATCACTAAGAGATTTCTGCTTGAATTAAGTCATAATAACAGTCTTGTTTAGCAAGGAAAATGTGTTATTTAGGCCAAGAGAAAGTTCTAGTTGGAATTGTGATAGCAGGAATTTGTAACCTTTTGTTGTACTGAAATATCGCTCCTGTTACAGAACCAATCCCAGAAGAGACAACGACAGCCATAGAACCTTTGCCCCAAGAGGAGACAACATCACAAGAGGTGCAGCCAGCTGTTCTCGAGTTTGTCAAACCCGTCACTCCGGAGCTGAAGAAAGTTTCGGAAAGAGAACTTCAGTTAGAGTAAGTGATTATCAGTTCGGCTGTGGTTAGTTACGCAATGTTTTCTAACCTCGCCTAATGCGCTTTCACTTTGCGTTGTCTAACACGCTTGTTCACCTGCTATACCTTGTCCTTGTAGTATGGAGTGCCAGATTCAGGCCGACCTTGCGACACAAACAGTAAAATGGCTCTTGAATGGTCAAGAACTAGTTCAATCGGATCGAATTGAAATGAGCTTTGTGGAAGACCTGGGTGTAGCTCACTTAACCGTTCATGACGTGAGTCCAGTGGATTCTGGCGAGTACACCTGCGAAGTGGTCGGCAGAGTTATTGAACCAGAAAAGAAAAAAGAGCCAGTTTCAAAGACCATCATTTCCATTTCAGAAGTAACTATCACTGGTAAGTATCTCTTTGAATCGGATCTGTGTACCGGATCTGTGTTTGAGCCCGACTTATATGAAACGGAACAGTTGATATACCGGTGAAGTTTAATGCACCACAATCCAGAAAAAACAGGCAAAAAAACTAACTGCCTATCTGCCAAGCGATTGAAAATCATTTAGTCAATTGAATGTATTATTGCAGTGTATTAATCAATGATGAACGGACCAGATGAGTGATTAATACACATATGTACATCCCTGGCAGGGTTCCCACGGGGCATGAATTATGTTGAAAATAACGACACAACCCGTTTGTGAAATCCCATCTGCAGGACATATGCAGAACTGGTGATGTGAAAACTGTGTGCCTTCTTCCACTCGTCAGGTTTCTGCCATTCAGAGGTGGGGAAACGTGTAAACGGGCATACAAAACATCACCCGTGACACTAGGATATAGAAACATATGTAAACGATTAACTGCAAAAAACCTTTCCCCACTAGTGACATCCTCCAGGATGTTCGGTATCATGACCGCTGTAGTTATTATTTTGTAACGCGAAAAAAACTGCTCGTTGATCGCTATTGTACCTTTTTTGGCATGGTGGGAGAAATTTTTGCAGATTCGCAAGAACTCAGGTGTTTGGTAGGAAGACATTTTTATCCACACCACTAATTTGATTCTGTGACGCGTATGTCTCGCGTATTATAAATTTGGACGCAGATTTATGGAGATGGCTATAAATTGTCTTCAAGACCTATTTCCTCCTAGGCAAGTTTCTGGCAATTCAAGACCACGTGACATTGCTGAAGCCCATTTGGATATGACGTCCTTATGGATTCCTAGGGCGGCACCCCATATACACAGAATACTTTCAAGAAATCAAAGATATAAAGTTAGGATTTACTCTGAGCATAATATCAAAGCGTCAGTCCTTTATTAGTATTATTATTTATTTGTTTTTTTTTTGAAGAACAAATTTCGGAAGAGACGACCACCGTCATAGAGGAAAAGTCACAAGAAGAAGCTGTACCTGAGGAAGTACTGCCAGCCCTCCTTGAATTTGTTAAACCTGTTACTCCACAACTAAGCAAAGTGTCGGAGCGAGAACTTCGACTGGAGTAAGTGCTTTGGCGACCTGGTGGCCTGGTATCCATTGTTTTGGATTGGACACAATGCACTTATGTTCTTTCCATTTTCGCACTTTCTTTTCAGTGTGGAATGTCAAATTCATGCTGACATCACTCCACAGACGGTTAAGTGGCTCATGAATGGCCAAGAATTGTTCCAGTCCGATCGAGTTGAAATGAGTTTTGTGGAGAACCTAGGTTTGGCGCATCTGACCGTATATCACGTTGGTCCGGTCGATTCCGGTGAGTACTCCTGTGAAGTTACGGGAGAGGTGATTGAACCGGAAAAGAAAAAAGAACCCGTTCCAAAGGTCATCATCTCCACATCGGATGTAACCATAGATGGTAAGAATCCTATTTGTCAATACCCATGTTATATTATAGCTCTGTGCCGATGCAATGCGTCAATAAAATCCCACTGTGCCCAATGATGCTGGTCACCAGATGAAGTCCTGATCCCAACACTGAATAATACGTACGACATTTAACAAAACCAAGCAAGACTAATTTGCTACAATTCATCGAGACGAAATAGACTCATTGCGAATGTTCGAATTATGTAGACTAATATGATGTCGATCAAAGTAAACGCCCTACTGTTTGCTGAAACCCATTAGAACAAAAGAAGAAATACACTCATTTGCAAACTAATTTGGTCTTTCGAGAGACTCACCTAGAACCCAGCTGAATCTCTCGTTTGTGATGCGTCTAGGCAACTGGATGGGCTGGAATACTATACAGCAAGTTTAAGAAAACTCTGACACCCCGTCACCTGTTTCACTTTTCATGGGACTCAGCAGGTAGGCGCGGTCCTCAAGTTTCAGCCAACCCTATTTTCTACTTGAACCCAAATTGTACGAAATAGGCAAAGTACAGTCTTTTGCACTCCAGTTTGGTTTTGACAGGCGACTCAGTTGAATCCCCGCTGAAGACTAACATAAACGAGCAACTCAGCTAGGATTCAAGTAAATCTCCCGGTAAAGCCAGTTTTTCTCTGAAGGATATGTGACTGTTTATTCCGGTGGCTCGCAGAATCAGATGTGGCACCATGAGAGACAAGGTCGCGATGCTTCGGTGTTTATGAAACTGTTTCTTATTTCCGAAACGTCACCGATTAGGAAATAAGACCAAACTAGTACCAAACCAGTTTGGCAGTTAAACTTCCATTGGTATTGCTCTATAACAGACAAAATTACTTCGCATTTGTGACCCAGCTTTCTTTTTGCGTTTGAATGGTTGCATATCCACGATGCCGATGTTTTACAGCACAAGCCCCATTCAGGATTTGTTCTAATTAGACTTTCACTAGAGGATGGCAGTATACGGATGAAACTGAATCCTACCTTGTCTCCAAGCATTTAAACGGCAGTTCTTTTGCAGCACAGCAGATATTAACTCACTGCAGCATGTTCGCATGAGTCGAAATAGATTTGGTGTTATGGCACCGCTTTTAAAGATCACGGATGGGGAGTCCAATAAGGCTCACAAAAACGATAGATTAACGTGTGAAACACCTCAGATGACATCAACAGGGAACACGGAGCAACTCAAGCCCTTGAAACTAGAGTATGCTTTGCGTAGTATTCACATCTGTAAACGAACTCTGTTGGGAACTAATGTATCATTTTGCTGGAGAAATACTTAATTAAACCTACTTCAATTTTTTCCACTTTCATCACGTTTGGCACACTGACGCTATGCATTTTCCTCACCCATGTACTCTCCCTAAAAATTGTCGAATATGTCTTGACAAGTTCGGGGACACCAGGTTTTCACTCTTCTGCTGGAGTTAAAGCCCAACTTTTGAAGTGTAACGGACTGTATATCAACCATCCACTGTAAAATGTGTTCCATTAGGCTTCATACACTACTCAAGAACCAGCCGATTTCCTCTGAACGTGTTCACCCGCATTGAGCTCTCACCTGCTTCTACCAAACTATTTCTCCGTTATTCATGAGAAAATACCACCGAATTGAACGCAACATTTTGTGAACGTCCACAACCTACTGGGAACCTGTTGCTTTCGGAAAACTACACATTCGAAGCATAACGTATTCACTCTTCACGGTACCCGAGTTCCCCTTTTTCCTCGTTCACGATTTAGTGCGTCGGTTGTTCGTAATTCCTCATTAACTCCTCTCTTGAGCAGTTTGTAGAGATCGTACGTAGCCTCAAAGATGGGACAACTGTTACCCAACGGATTATTCGCACTGCTCGCCTTTCTGTTGCTATTCCGTGTTAACTCAGGTGACCGTCTTAGTGACGTTACTAAGTCTACCTTGGTACCACAATGGATTCTGACAGGACCGTGGTCTATTTTGTTCAGAATTGTTCCACGAAACAGACTAACACTTGCCCATACCTGGTTAAGCCAAAGAAGGGCGAAACCAGTCATGCGCTGTCGAAGAGTCTTCAACAACCTTATGCCTATTGTGTTCAGTCTAGACAATGTGATGCGATATATCGAGTACAGCGCCAACTGAAGCATGAGGCGGCCTTGTGTGGCACATTCATTTGAAAAGGAACATCACAAACGAGACATTCAGCTGGGATTCAGCTGAGTCTCCCGATAAGATCAATCCAGCATGTAAATGAGAGCATTTGGTCACTTGTCCATCCTGTATTCCCGGAGTCCTTTAGCGCGTGTTTTTGCCCTGGTTCATTAATTGTGTTCCACATGCCTAATGGACATAACTCGTCCTGGTGGAGGTTAGCTCCTACTTTAATCGGCATGTACTTCTTAGTACGCGTAACGATGATCTTAATGTGCGCTGCTCTCCCTTAAAGAAATTTCAAAATCTATTCAGTCATGAGAGTTTTCGTCCTTAATAGACCACATACGTCTTTGTTCTCCTCTAAAATCAGCAGGTCACAGTGAGAAAACCTCTGGGTTTTTTATTATACAACCTCGGCTATAAGCCTGCCATTCCAGCTTCTGTAAAAAATTCGACTTATACATCGGGCTGGAGCGATGAGCATGAACCAAACACAAGAAGGATAAACGGCATCAAACGTAAAAGTCAAGTAAGCCTAATTATCTGAGAAGCGAAATTGATCCCAAACTACCAAATCGGTGGTTGGAATCGCCTGTGTATGAATGTCACTCTTCCGTTTCCCTCTCGTCAAATCTTCGAATATTTCATATTTCAAACCTCCCGGTGGACCCAGCATGTTTGTAATCGCTCGGCTGTAACACTCTTTTGGTGCCTAACTACCATGCCACCCGAAGGAAGCATGAGGGCTGGGATAGTGCCAGGGTGTCCAAGCCTAGACAGGAGAAGTCGAGAAGCTGAAGTCGGGTTCGAACCACGAACCTTCCGATCAGTAACTTCGAGCTCTAACTGCTGAGCCATCCCGTTCAGCATATTTGTATCAATTATTGACCGGCCTCAACCCACCAATCAGAGGAAAATGGATGAAACACTTGATTATTTGTCTACGGACGGAGCTTGGTTTACCCACATCAACTGATTCACATTTATCTGAGTAGACGAAAACATCAGGAATGTTACTATGACTCCGTTTTGCGCTAGGTTGCCCAACAAAATGAATCTGAGCTGTATATGAACACCTTTGATGCTCCGAGGATTCATGTTCTTGTTGAGCAAAATCCGCAAGCAGAGATTTTACTCTAACTCATTCTGTCTACTCCTCCCCTGATCCAATATCTGCAACCGCAAATACCTGAAATGTCGTACAGCCTTATTTTTCTTTATTCATCGGAAAATTAGTTTTTAATGGTGAAAACTGCAATGGTTGTTTGCCTCGTAGCTTCACGCTTTCTGTTGATCCATCAATACATTCCTTGTAGAACAACCGCCCGAGGAGACAACTACAGTCATAGAACCAGTAATACAAGAAGAAGCAGCCCCGGAGGAAGTGAAACCGGCTGTGCTTGAATTCCTCAAGCCCGTTACTCCGGAACTAAAGCAGGTGTCCGAGAGACAACTACAACTGGAGTAAGTGTCTTGATGGTCATACGATTAACCCACCACATTGTGTGAGCTTTTTTATGTAATCTACGATGAATGTGACACAATCATGGCGTATCTTTTTCCGTTTCAGTGTCGAATGTAAAATTCAAGCTGACATTGCCCCGCAAACCGTTCAGTGGCTCCTGAATGGTCAGGAACTCACTCAATCAGATCGCGTGGAGATCAGCTTCTCAGAGGACATTGGTGTGGCCCACTTGACAGTATATCAAGTTGGGCCAGCAGACTCAGGTGAATACACTTGCAGAGTAGTTGGCGAGATATTTGAACCAGCACAAAAGGAACTTGTCGCAAAGACGATTACGTCAACGTCGGATGTAACCATCGTGGGTAAGTTTACTTTGGTTTCTATTTAGGTTATCATATCCCGTTTACCTTGAGAGACTCTATAGTGCGAGAATACTAGAGTTTTCCTCCCCAACGGCGAGTGAATTTACAAGTTCCTAAGAATCTTATGACAGCATCCGTAAGGATGCATTCGGGAGATAACATCTTGCAACGAGCGTTCGGAGAAGCAATTACTGGGGAGTTTGTTCTTGTAGTTTTTATGTGTTGGAAACAAGGTAGAGATCGGGATCCAGTATGAAATCCTTAAGAAGGCCTAAACTGGCAATCTGCTTGTTCATCCACTCAGACGCTTTATGAAAACTTCTATTCACTACTTACTCACAGGCTGATATATTGGTACTGGTTTGTCGGAAGTCTATCCCGAAGCCCTTGTATGGTGAGAGACCGTTAAAATCGCATCCCCACCCACACACACACTATCCTAGAAACACCACTACAAACTGGGCGACTGAAGTTTCGCTTCACTTTCCAAGTCCCACTCTAGTAGTACGTTACTCGATCAGGACCTTCTAAATCACACTCTTTTCGCACCGGCACCAATAGAAGTCAAACACTTCATTCGTGCTGATCAGTCGCAAGACATAAAACATGCAAACTATATACGAAGAAGGGTTAAAAGCAAGGTTCAGCGGAAAGCGTTATGAGATCGAAGTCATGCAAACCAAACAATGTCCGAAACTGTTCCAACATGCAAAACTGGCTGGTGAAACTTAACTAACGGATGCCCTTAAAATGACAGAACTTTTGGAGTTCAGCTTCGCAAGTCTTAAGATCAAATCTTCGGGATTTAGCCGGCTGGCAGCAAGGGCTTGGCAACAGTTAAATTAGTGTCGCGGACTGACTTCCGAGCCTTTGGTAATATATGCGCTAGTGATCGAATAACGCAACAGGTTTCAACATGTTTCAAGCGTCCGTGACGCTACCTGCGGGTCGATCGATCAACACAACCAGGGTGGTCACTGGGGCGTCTTTCGAAGCGCCGGGCGAACCAATCACATGACTGAAGCGAGCACAACATCATCTGTTCAGACGTGATGATTCGGTTGCGTTCTGCGCGCGCTGGTGAAGTCGTGGATCAAGCCCGCTTCGCAAGTCAGATATCCGGAGTTCAACCTCCGATACAACCAAAGATATGCACTACTGATGGGCGCTAATAAGAGCAAAAATCGAGTCCCACCTTTGGTGTATACTCATCAGGATAATTGCGCCGGGACAGGAGGAGGATTTTTCAGACGAGATTGATGTGAACGCGAATTCTACAAACCCCGAAACCACCTATAGTATTATATGTGGTTAGCTGTGCTTTCCGATAACGAACACTTCTACAGCTGCAACAGAACCGGTGTAGCGCGTGATCGTAGTGAAGCTATGTTAAGCAAAGTTTACACCCCAACTGTGTACTTTAGAGGTTTCAAAGTGATGCCCCTGTTTTTGCGGTTTCTGTTAGGTGACACAGGCATTAACATGCGATTGTTTTCCCGTTCAAATTTTATAAAACACAGTTCTATGTATACCTCAATCGACTCAAGGGAACCAACATTTTGCTCGTACCCGGAGCATAGCTCGTCAGTTATTAAAATCAGTAACAAGAACAGTACAATCCTAACTAAACATGTCGAATACAGACCAAATTCGGCCATTGCCTGGATCAATGAGATGACCTCATGAGCGTTCCGCAGTTTCATGGCATGCAGTGTGAGTTATGTACCTACAGAATCAAGCTTCAAGTTCAGTAGGCAGAGCTCGCTTGAGAGACGCTTCGAATTTTGACTGTCCCAAGGCGTAGAAAAATTCTAAGGACACTGGCGTTTCACATACCACACTCACTGTAGTCACATACGATGCGGGTAGCGTTGCTGGAGATTGTGCCTCATTTAGAGACATCCGGAGAGAGCTTATACATTTTATGGTCATTGAAGATAACAATAGGATGGTTAAACATAAAGAAGCCGCTGGCCAATCCTCTGTAGCTAAGATGAAACCCAGTTACTGGGACTCACGGCGCCAACAATCAAAAAGTCATTCAGCTTAGACCGGAACAGTCGAGATGCTGAAGTTTGGTTCGAATCACTCGCTACTGAGCTATCTCGTGCCTGACTGGGAAGGTAACATTTAATAAATTTTATCATCCAAATTTTGTGGCCACTCCGCTTCAGTGGACTGTGACATTGGTTCACATCTTTTGGACGTCTGTTTCCCAAATTCGTAGCAAATCAATCCACTTCATGTGTAAAATATACGACGCTGTCATTTGCATAATCTAAATGAACTACATCTCCCAAATACGCTCTAACATCTAGCTGGCATAAAATCATGTGTCCAGAGCAAACAGCCACTAGTTGTTTCAAAGTCATTGGAACAAAATTCTTGCATTCATCCACCATGTTCGAATATGCAGAATAGACGGAGACTTTCCGGACTAAACGTATGTATCAGTTACAGTTCGGATAACACTGGCTGCATGGAAGTGCGACTTGTCAAAAGAAACAATAGGAGGCTTCAAAATCGGGAATACGAATGTCAGTCTCATAGACTTTGGCAACAGAAGTGGTTTCAAAATTCGTAACATTTTCAGAAGAGCTTGTGTGAAGTATCAGAGCTGTTCTCAGGTATCCTTCGTAGCACAACCGGAGATTTAGTGCTCTTCGGTACATATGGGTTGTAGGTGCGCACGCTAAAAATCCTGTCGGTTACTGTAGGCCAACTTTTAGTGTGCATATGAGACTTTCCCTTAGTAAGCATGAAGGCCACACATGACTGTGCTAGACTGAAGCACACAAACGTAGTCTTAATCGTGACCCTTTATCGATTTTGTGGTAAAGGCAACTGATTCGCTAAAATTCAGCGTCCACAACACTTTAATTTCAAGTGCAGAAATCATGACTTCAAGAGCAGGTGTAATCATTTCGACAGCAGGATAGTCAGCCGCGCTTCTGTTACACGTGGTTCACTGATTGACTCTAGTCGTGTAAAACAAATCGTTTAGGATAGTCTTCTTTAACTGAACGGGCTGCGCAAGGCCGCTTCATGTTTCAGTTGGTACGATATTCGAGATATGGTAATACATTGTCTAGACGTAGCACACTACTCACAAGGTTGCTGAAAACTCTTCGACAGCCCATGACCGGTTTCACCCTTCTTGAAGCTCATCAGGTAGACCCAGTCCCCGAGGTTCCATAAACTTTATGTTCTTGGTTGTGGGATGAGTGGCCACTCAAGCCCGCACTGAGGATATCATTTGATTGGTGATGAAACGTTTGCAACCCAACTGTTGAAGCTCAGCGAACTGACCGACAACCAATCAGCGCACCCGAGCTACCTATATTCCACATCATTACTTTATGTTCTAATTGAACCCAGATTGCACGAAGTTCGGGAAATATATTCGTTTCCACACCACTTGATCATTGTATTAGATTTATACAATATATCGCAATGTTTGGTATATCGTACTAACTGAAACATGAGGCGACTTGGTGCAGCAAATTAAGTTAAAGAACAGCACAAGCGAAAGCTTCGTTTGGGACTCAGGTGAGTTCCCCCTGGAAGACCAAATTGGTATGCAAACAAGTATAATTGCAATTAGCATTTTACTACTAGTGAACACAAACTCGCCACACAGCGCACCATCTATTCGGCCTCATTCTGAAGCAAGAAAACACTTGCTTACCGGATCAACCGATGACGCGTACATAGTGAAACTGCATTGATACCTTATTGATGTGTACTCACAACAGCAAATAGTGTACCCCTATATCGGTGGAAACGATACAGCCAAGCTGGACAAAGCAGACACTGAACATGCATGCTTGACCTCACTGGTCCTCTAACGACCTAGCTGCCGATGGAATGCAAGCAAATTTGGCGAAAAACACCCTGCGATGTTTGATTCTTCACATTTCCCTCTATTGAATATACGGAGATCAAGTGTTTTTCCGAAAACTGTGGAAAGTAGCTGAAAGCTGGTGAAATTTTGGCGTGGTATTGTAAGCATAAGCTAAATCTGGCAGCTGATTCCACGAATACTTCCACATAAATAGGTTTTCAAGTGTTTCACAGCGTCTAAGATTACGTATCTAGTGAATTGATGTCTTCAGTTTATTTCCTGATTAGTGCGCTGGGAATAGACCGTAATTGGTCTTATCGCAGTGACCAATCCCATCGTTGTTCTGGTATCTACCATCTCATGGGTCCTCTTGCTCTATGACAGCCCCAGATCACGTTAGCTATCCCATGAACGGGTCTTGAGGTATGACAGAGCGCAGTTGCCAAGGTTCAGTTAACGTCACTCGTACCTTGGTCGAAGTCCAGTCTAGTGGCACGAAGATTGGAGAGTTGGTAACCTGCACCTGAGTGGTTGGCCGAAGCACACGAAGGGTACTTTTGTCTGCACGGAAGACCTTGATCTAAAAGTACATGTTGTCTGGTTTTACAGGACTGCAATAACGATTCAGTAAAACGCCTCTGACCAAGTAACCTTTCGCCGTGTGAGCGTTTTTCGGTGGCCGGTGTGCATTCTCTGTGGAATAATGTTATTCCAAATAACAGCGGTATGAAGCGTTCAAATTTAACATTGGTTAATTGGCCGGTTATTTCGTTGGTCGGTACTTCTTTTAACCTTTATTTGCCACAGAACAAGTCACGCAAGAAACAACCACGGCTATAGAACCTGTACCACAGGAAGAAGCAAGCCCAGAGGAGGTTCAGCCAGCTGTACTTGAGTTCGTCAAACCCGTCACTCCGGATCTAAAGCAAGTGTCGGAAAATGAATTACAATTGGAGTAAGTTCGGCACTTTTGCTACAGCAACAGCTACAGTGCAACATCCCCATCGTCGTAGTGTTGATTCGTCATTTCTGTGCCTCTCCGTTTTCAGCGTTGAATGTCAAATTCATGCAGATATCACCCCGCAAAAAGTGGAGTGGCTCCACAACGGTCAGGAGTTGGTCCAATCTGATCGGGTGGAAATGAGCTTCGTGACTGATGTCGGTATCGCACATTTGACTGTGCACCAAGTTAGTCCATTGGACTCGGGCGAGTACACATGTAAGGTCCTCGGTGAGGTGATTGAGCCAGAGAAGCATAAGGAACCTGTTCAGAAGACCATAATCTCCACATCGGACGTGATCATTTCAGGTAGGTGTCAAGCGATCACAGTTGCTCGACTAATCGTCCCAACGTCCTCTCTGAACCATGCTACGCATGTGACGGACCCCGCTAAGTCCCTCCATCAATTCTTTCATTATGCCTGATACGTTTCGAACAGCTTTGTATTCACATACTCATTCGCGGAATGCATTAGCCCATTAAATTACCTCCTTTTGCACACACACACACACACCAGGTTAAAAACGCTCAGCGTAAGTCGAAGAAGACAGCTGGTTTACTGAAATGCTGGTTTATTCTACTGTGTGAATTGCGTTCATGAAACATAGTGGGAATACATAACCGCTCGACTGCAGATGAATAAGATGGTTAAAAATGAATGGATACCGGACAAAACTCATACAAAAACAAAGTGGGTCTCGTTTCTTTTCAACTACTTCTGTTCAGTCTGGTGAGGTGCATCGACTATGGGGTGATCTACGTGAACTGTTGAAAATAGACAAAATTTCTGCTCAAAACAATCTCTGATATGATCACCAATGAACTGAACTGTTCCCCACCCACTGAATCCATATTAGTGATAGAAACCCAAGATAATCTGGTTTCTGAGCCTTTGTGGTTTTGTTGTTTACTTAATTGAATCGATTAGTCAAACCAAGAAAGAGAGGTTTCCGATCATCTTGCGTCCTTTGGGCGCATGTTGGCCAAGACTAGATAACCTTAGATCCTCTTAATTTCATACGCACCATCGCGATATCTTCAAGTTACCACAGCACTGCCTTCAAGAAATGTACCTCCACAGCAACCTTTTTCGAAATCTTGACCTACAACAAAGGCCGCATTCCGGGAGAGGTCAAAACATCATTCCTCCTTCGTGTCCTTTCTTCAGGGAACTGTCCTATCAAGAACTCGCAATATCATATGTATCTGCGTTAATTTACCGAACGTTCACCCATTGCAATTTGGATATCATATTTTATACTATTCAAAGTAGGTTAAATTTGTTTTTCTGGATGATAACATCTTAACGCTGTCGAATCCAGCTTACTGAAGTTTTGAAAAGCCTGAGTACCTACTGCAGTATCTAATCTTGGTTCTTTAGAACTTTTTAGACTGAAGTCTTCTACTCAACTAATTTACTAAGTCCATGTGAATCGGTGAAAGGCAAGTGAACTATAACAATCGAATCTGGTTGCCATGAGCCAGGATAACAAGTGCATTAGTGGTTAGTATCTTGTAACTCCCGATGTAAAACCGCGGCGTTAGTCACTGTGTCTCAGAAGCTAGTCACGTAGTTCGCCGACACACCAAAGACAAATCGAAATAGCCTACGAAATGCAGTTCAGTTGGTGGGTAAATGGACAATGCATTCGTTACATCCACGAGGAGGATTTTCAATCGTTTTTCAGTCCGTAATGAATGCTGTCATATCTGACATTTCCAGATCTCAAAGAGCAGGAGAGAGTCGGGTACTTTGAGTCTGTAGAGGGATTAGGTTCAGTTGTCCAACTCACTCATTACCCTTCTACTTTTAAGTTAACAAATTAACCGAACAAAGGCATGGTATTGCCATAGAAAAGTGTTTCCGCATGCCATTTGAAAATGGCATGTACATAGGAAGTGCGACTTCATCTAACGGTCGTACTTCAATTGGACGCTTTACATCCCTCCGTAAACTTCAGGCCACATATAGTGAAAACAAGTACCACAACAAGTAAAATAGCAACGTCCACACACAAGTGAAAGAAACTGAACATAGATTCAGCTTGTCTGAACAGATGTAGGCGGAAAGGAACACATATGTGGTGTGTGTGTGTGTGTGTATGTGTGTGTGTGTGTGTGTGTGCGATCTGCAGCCCCCATTGATCCTGGATCATTTGACGAAGTTCGCACAGTCACATCTCCATGCAGTTTGAAGATTCCCACCGCGAAAACTCAAACACATCCAGAGCTACATTCCATTAGAGTGTGAGCTGTGGTCAAAGTGAAGCATTTGCTTCTTCGGTGCGCCTCTCCAGACCACACCATCATTTGAGACAAAACCTCCTCTCTACTTTGGTTCGTGACTCGTTTTGGACAGTTTGCAGACGGTCCTTCGCCCGGGAAAGCACCACAATTTAAATTCACAGGGTCCCTTGGTAGCTCGCCACTGCCAGCGACCTACTTGGGTCGCTTTAGCTATATACTTTCATCTGACACCCCCACCCTGTGACGTCGACTATCTGAAACATACAGTGAGCCGCCGGCAAGTCTGTCTTGGCTGCGTGGCGCACCAAGCCGCTCAACCTGCCTGAAGTTACTAGCAATGACCACAATCGAATGAACCAAATCAGACCAAATTATTTCTGTCACAGCACAGCGGACACTATGAGTGTTAGATCGTTCGAATTCCGGTCTGTGTTTTAATATTGGTAACTCGGATGCATTTATTAGAAGCCGATCATAAATAATATATAATAAATATTATTAAAAAATAATAAAACAAATAACAAAGAATCCGTTCATAACTGCTATGCCACTCGAAGGAAGCACGACGGCTGTGGTACTGTCGTGTTGCCAAGCCTGACGATTTCTCGTCGAATGCTGGTTAAACGTTTGCGACTTCATTGTCGAGCGCTCCCGTTTTCCGTTGATCGAATGTGTTGCAGCTGGACCATCATGTTCTCGTTACGTGGTTTATGGCTGGTAAACTGAACTGTTGCGAAGCTCGACGTACATATCAACAGCCGTTCAACCAACTCTCCGAATTCCGGTCTACAAACAACTCACCTTAACACTCTAGACATTCAGGACTGTCATTTCCACAGCGTTTTCAGGAGTTACGTACAGTGGTCGCCGCTGAACCGTTTAAACTGATGGTTACCAACATTAAATCGCCATATGTGTGCCTCGTGTGTCTTATGAATGGTATGAGTCACCGGGCCATCCTCCAGATACGTCATATGCTCCAGCTTTTATGAGTCTCCGAATGATCTGAATTTTATGGACCATCGTTCGCGCATGTCGAACGTCGTAGAACTACTCCCTACTGATCAAATTTCCATCTTACTTCCTCGGGATTACACCAGGCGAAGAGAGCGCAAACCCAATTTGACCTTGCCCTATATGCGCAGGGATATACGGATGTAGTTCAAGATGACAGGCAGACAGATGCTAGTCAATCGTGTGCCCTGGTGGCGCGAAGCCGCAGAAAGTGTGGTCGCAGATCGCTATTTTTCTTTTATTGCGGAATGAACATCCTATTCAGTTTTTGTGTGATACTTGATTGCACTATATCCACTTCACTTTTGTTTCCAACGCAGAGTGAAGCACCAGGCCTCACCACGAGACTTTTTCTCGGTGACGATGAACGAGTCTGAAATATGATTTCTCCGATGAACTGAATTTCGTACACAAGAAAATGATGGCGATTATCCGCATCTGCTCGGTTTAGGGATTTGTATCTTCCATGGGATCTCGTGATTCTACAATGCGTAGTGGAATGAAATCTCAGTGCGGCACATACGTTACCCTACGGTTCACTGTCCCACACTGCTCTGTTGAGTGCTACCACACCAAGAACCCACTGAAGCAGCGGTTCCCCTTGCGCCTCTTGAAGTTCAGAAGCATTCTTGTCAAAAGCCACTGTCTGTATTAAGGGTGTAATCAGATCCCGAAGATTTCGGCCACGAAGAAACTTACTAGATGGGAGATCGGACATATGGCCGAGTTTCTTGCTGTTCCTCTACTTTACCATGAGTCTCTCGGTCAGATTGAATAGCCGCTGGAATTCGAATAAGGTGTGATTCTTGCTCTAATCAGCTCTGACTTATTCAAACAGTTGTCCGGCTAGTGGTAACAGTGCTTTCTTTGGGTATCCGTCGGTATTTGAGGAAACCTTGATAAGCACCATGCCATGGAGTTGACCAAGGAGTTGACCACACCCTGACTGTAAATATCAGACAAACTTTCAGACATTTGGCTTGAGAATTATCATGTGAAACACCTGAGTGTTCAGTAGCAACATGCTTGCCAAAATACGTCAATGCCCAGTTTGATCAAGAATCGAGATTGTAAACATAATCACGATAAATTGGCGAATGTTCTACTTTTCACCCAGTTCACGATGACACGTTTTTTAAAAAACACCGTTTTTTTCTTTCGCAGTTCAAACAGCAGAGGAAACCACCACTGTCCTAGAACCAGCACCGAAAGAAGAGGTAGCACCTGAAGAAGTAAAACCGGCTGTGCTTGAGTTCGTCAAGCCCCTCACTCCTGAAGTGAAAAAAGTGTCGGAAAAGGAACTGAAGCTTGAGTAAGTAGCCTACCAAATAAAATGCGTGGCTCAATTTCCCCAGAGTTGAAGGGTTCTGTATAATCACTCCCATTGGTTCATTTGTTTTAGCATGGAATGCCAGATTCAAGCGGATATCGCCCCACAGACTGTCCAGTGGCTGTTTAATGGTCAAGAGCTTGTCGAGTCCAACAGAATTGAGATTAGTTTCGTGGAGGACCTTGGTTTAGCACACCTCACTGTTCATCAGGTCGGTCCGGCTGATTCAGGCGAATATGCGTGCAAAGTTACCGGTGAAGTGATTGAGCCAGAGAAGAGAAGGGAGTCGATTCTGAAGACCATAGTGTCTACAACGGACGTTACCATAACAGGTAAACAAGCATTTTTCTTCAACTATTTGGTTGTTCCTACAGTGGCATACTGGTTACGAAAACGGTTCGCTCAGTGGTTACTTGATTAGAAATTCACATGCGAAACACACACCCAACGGTCTTTCAATCTTTCCGTATGTATTCATTTGACTCTCTAGTATAAGCATCTTGTTATTCTTTTTCTCACGAGCAGCTCCCTTCAATCTCGTTGCAACTACTCGCCTTGTATCGAGTTAACCAAATACGCAAAAGTTTGTGTCACGCAATTCGGAATTGTTAAGAGTTGACATTTTAGTGTATTTCGAAACTTGTGTTTGGCAAACGAGAACAATGAACACTGTGTTTTTAAGTCAACTAGTGTCATTTATTGGGATATCTTCGTTCAATCTCTCTCGACCGCTGATTATACTACAGGTCTTGACATTGAAGCTGAGGTATTCAAATGAAGAAATGGAAACATGGACGAAGTTTTTACACCTTTACCTTCTGCAGTAAAGCGGTAGGTGTCTTTGAGGTAGATGCCGACAGTCGTCCCAAAGACAACTTTGGGGACCTGAACCCAAGTCATTCAAAAGTATTTCCTCGCACTGGACCTCACCAGTTGACGATTGTTTTGTGGAACTGAACTGGTCCTTCTTTCATTAGCATTTCTCCGCTAATCCACCCTTACAGACAGTAGAAGTTGCTAGAATCTTGTCCACCTTCTGTCTTACATATATTTTGGATTCCCGGCTCATTTTTCCACTTATCTGTTCAAAGATTAACCAACGTTTCGGTATGAGGATACTAAGGGGGCATTTACAACACAACCTGTTCTGTTTCCATTTGCTGAGGGACCAAAGCAGCGGGTGAAGTATTGAATTCCTGACCATCTTTCTAGTTTTCAGTCCTCTGTACAGAAATCATCCATCTAGATTGCTTCGGTTCGAACTTTTACCGGTGAAGTTCAAGTGACTAGTCCAAAGGAGAGGCCACAATAAGGGTCCACAAGATATATGCATATTGCTTGTATTCCTGACTTATACAACTCCCCTATCCTAATCATCAATTTAGTTTAGCCTCTGGCAGGTAGTGAGTGTCACTTTCTCAATCACCTCGGAGCAAAGACCAATTACTATAATCGTTAATAAAGTCGCCGATAGCCGGCACCCTCAAGTCTCCTTTGAGCATTAATGTACAGGTTAGAATCAAGATGCAATTTGGCAGCGCGGGTTTCCTTCGCACTCATTAGCCCCTTCAAACTCGTTGGTCACCGCTTTTGTCCGTCACTTCTCTTTTTTTAAATAGCAAATCCTGGTAGACGAATGTCCGTTTCCAATCATTGTGAATAAAACCTAAGAAATAACTGAGGGTTTCGTCTATGTGCTGAATGTGGACCTAATCTTTTTGTTCAAGACTCGATGCGGTTAATATACACCAAATCTCAAAATGACCTCGAAATACTATTTTGATTACAGAGCAGATCACTGAGGAAACTACGACAGTCATTGAACTGGTTCCACCAGCAGAGGTATCACCGGAGGAAGTGAAGCCAGTTGTGCTTGAATTTGTGAAACCCGTCACGCCAGAGCTCAAAAAGGTGTCGGAAAGTGATTTGCGGCTGGAGTGAGTAACTTCGATAAATCATGCTTCCTGTCATCTTTCAAATAGTTTGCTTGTTTCCATACTGTTCCGAAGTGCGATGTCACCCCCCACCGCATTGGGACCTACCCGTGAAATATGGTTTGATAATGTTTCCGGGGATGGTATTTCTTATTCGGCAGGACCTATCAAATTTCCAGTTTTATGCGGAAACCCATTGTCGAGGAGATAGTTTGAGGAAATTTGGTGTGTCCCCTTGAATTTCACATTTGTCTCCAGTTGATCCCATTTGAAATGCACTATTGACAAATAGGTGTAGATATGGGATGCTACTAGAGACATAAAAGTCCAGTGTTTTGTGAAATTCCATGAGTTAAAGTAGACATTGTGGGTCCTTGCCGCGTGGTTCTCAAATCGATCTTGTCAATGACCGTCCTATCTTCTCTTCGGTTGTTTGATTACCCGTCCTCGAAATTATCATCAATTAAGTAACAGTCAACGGCGTGGCAGTTAATATAAAATTGTTGACACCTGTTAGAACGATAGAACTTCGTATATCCCCATTTTAAAAGTGTAGATATCAGTTTCTTTTGAGGCCTTTTCCAACCATAAACTTTTATAGAAGGAATAAGACTTCACTTGCAGCATGCAACTTGAGATCCGTGACCTAATTACTGGACATTGTCTTCCCAATGATTTTGCCATGCTTTCGGAAATGCGACAAACTCTTCATGTATTGATGACGCAATTCGAGAAAGATTTGCTGAAGTGTACTTTCGCAAAAATGTGTTTTAAATGATTGGATGGAAAACGACTCAGGTAATTTCGTGGCTAAAGGCAGCAAGCCTTGCACCGATTGAGTACCAAAAAGATTAAATCGCTGATCAACGCAAAGGTGCAACAAATTTTTAACTGCAAAGAAGTGTTCGACATATACACTCATTTGCAAATCGATTTGGTTTCCACGGGAGACTCAAGTGAATCTCTCGTTTATAATGTTCCTCAACTGAATGTGTTGCATGTAGGCCTACCTAATGAGCCCCAAGAAGGGCGAAACCGGCCGTGGGCTGTCTAAGAGTTTTCAGCAACCTTGTGAGTGGTTTCCTTTATGAAAATAATCCCCCTCATGTTTACCAGTACAATTTAGTGGTCGACGCCCTGAGATCACAATATGTAGATGCGCCGTCAGGATAAATTAAGTGGAAAGTACTGTGGCCTTGCTATTTTCATGAAATACGGAGATAACCTTTCCGTCGATAGGTTAGGGGCTTTAAATTTGTTGCACGGTGTCCGGCGACGTAGATGAACAATCACCAACTAAACTTTAGCAGATCTCATTTAGTATGTGTGGGCCATGGGACAACTACCCTGAACGGACAGTTCATTTGTCACGTTCAGTGTCGGGACTGTAAACCGAAGGTATCCAATGGAGCTAAGCTTGGTTTTTAAACAACTCAGAGCACCGTAACTTAAACAGAAATTAATGGCCATACCTGGCAGTGTCGGAAGCTTCATCATTTTTAAGGCATGTAACTCTTACTACGGAGCGGTGGAGTCAAAACTGCGAACATTTTTTGGGCTGTTTCAAGGACAAGACTCAGCATTTTTGCCATCACTTCAATGGTACTGTTTTTGGGACCTGGATAAAATCGTCATTTCAGAAGAGTATTTTGGTAAGGGGGAAAGTAGATGTGTACTCCTGTTGTTGTTTTTTTTTCGCTAACTGAAAATAATTCTTTCATTTCAGTATGGAATGTCAAGTTCATGCTGATATCACCCCACAAACAGTACAATGGCTTCATGATGGACAAGAACTTGTTGAATCTGATCGAGTTGAGATTAGCTTCTTAGAAGATCTTGGTGTGGCTCATTTGACAGTTCACCAGGTCGGTCCAACCGATTCGGGCGAGTATAGTTGCAAAGTTGTTGGTCAAGTGACTGAACCCAAGCAGAAGGAACTGGTACCCAAAACCATAATTTCTACGTCGGATGTGACCATCACTGGTAAGTTTCCAATACTGCTTAAGATGAGTCATTCTCTGATATTATTAATGTGTTTGAAGTTATTCGTGATAGACTCTCTCTTGGCCAATTTCTTATTTTCGATAGAGTTCCAGTCCTTCATTCATAATGCTAAGCTTAGACACACTTCCTTCTCTAGTTTCCTCCTAATGATTGCCTTCGTATTTCAGTCTGCTCATACTATACTCCAACTCTGGTTGAAGTAGCCGATCATCTGTCTCCAAAAAAATTGCGGCACATACGTTCAAGTGAAAAGCATTTCCCCACAGCCGACACCGCCCCTTTTTCCGCCCAAGCGAGTAATGTACTGATTACCAGTACTTTGAATGTCTGGACCGACGAGGCGTGTTTATTAAATTGGATGTACGAGTGGTAGTCATTGAAAAAACACCCTCTCATATACCTATTACTAGTAGTCACATTGGATAAAAAAAAACGTACGACCAAGCGTTCATTTGCATAACTTGCTGTACTAATATGACCTCTCATAATTTCCCACTGTGGGCTAAGTCATCGCTCCGAACTGGGAATGCCCAACAAGACTTGAACTGGTTTGCGGCTGAACGATATCGTGGAACTGTTGAATGTACCTCCTCACTACGGGCATTCGTATTTACTGCCTTGGGCAAAGTATGAATAAATCCATTATAGGTACATCCAAACTCTATCAAGCTTTCCCCCGTAATGACCGTATAGATAAGTTGGACAATCGCAACTGGTAGTAGCGGCGGTTTGTGGTCTACCGCCGTACTGGAAGGCTTCGTGAAGAAGAAGCATCTCATAAAACTCAGCCCCTTTGCCAGTTCAACAAAATTTAAGGTACATTCCATGAAATCACTATTGGAAGATGTTTACTGAGCGATTGAGGGGATGACACAACGTTAGGAGCAAATACTATCAGCTCGAAGGTGAATAAGGCAGGTGAATTTCGTCGGTGGCTGGATAGTCCAGATCCATCGAACTATGCTTGAGGAGTGCAGTAAGATGTTCACCCACTATGACATCGTTCCAGGTGAGTCTCTGAAAAAATCGAACTAGTTTGCAAATAAGTATTTATTCCCTAAGTTCGTGCAATTTGGTTTCAAGTAGAACATAAGGTTGAAGGAAACTCGGGGACTGCGCCCACCTGATGAGCCCCAAGAAGGGCGAAACCGGTCGTGGGCTGTCGAAGAGTTTTCAGCAACCTTATGAGTAGTGCATCACAAAGTCGTAAAACCCTGTTTTACGCATAAGTTTCAAAGTCGGCCTCCAGGCTTGTGTGAAAACATTTTGGCCAAACGTCGAACGAAGCTCCAGTTGGTGGGTTTTGATGGAATGCTTGAAGCAAGTTCAAGAAATAGGGTCGAATCGCCACAGTGTCCTTTCTGTGCCCTTTCTGTTCTTAACAAATCATTCTACCAACTGAGCTGATCATATTAACCAACGAGAACGCTACACTACGGTATAGAAGTAATTTTCCGAAAAGAAACTTCTGACAAAGATGCTACAAATGTTTATATCCGTCTCCCTTTTTATTCAGCGTAGCCCTCGCGATTAGTCTCGATTCGGTCACTTACACGCACTGCTTATGTACATGCGGTATAGGGTGAAAGATTAATTGTCTAACATTGCTTCTCCATTGATTCATTTTTGCCGTAACAGAAGAGATCGAGCCAGTCACATATCATCTCGAATTTATCAAACCGTTGATGCCGGAGTTCCATGCTGTTTCTGATACACAAACAGATTTGGAGTAAGTAGATCTGTTTTGCCGCAATCAACCGTCTTCGATATTGCATACCATATTTTTCATCCACATCGTTGTTACACGGGAAAATTTGTCCTTTCCAGTCTATTTTTTGTAAAAGCAAACGATGTAAATGTTAGACGAAAAGACCTATCATGGTCGGTTTCCATAGTTTTGTTTTTTATCGGTCTTTGCCAACGATGCAGTATACTACTTTAGGACCAATTTCAGTAGTTTCTGTGTTTTTAACAATGGGTGGCTTTGACATCACAGTTAACATTTCCCCTAAGTCAGTTCTGCAGGATATTAGAGGCGCGATTTGTTACAGTTCATTACAGGGCGCCAACTCCATTCACTTGTCAGCTTGCTATTTCAATCAGTGTAAGTCTGAAAAGCCGGCACACTCAAATCGAGTAGACCAGTACTGACAGCGCAACGGATTGACTTTTGTTCTGAGTCAATCACAAGATGGCAGGCAAACATCTGAGAGTAGCTAGTTCTTTTTGCTCTTCGTCTTGCGCATCGTCATCATCTACGTTCTCCTCCACAGACTTACGTGTCAAATTCAAACGAATATGGAGCCACTGATAACCGAATGGATCTTGAACGACACTGAACTGGTTGCCTCAGACCGTTTGGAAATGTGTTTCCTCCGAGATCAAGGTGTGGCCAGTCTCACAGTTCACCAGGTCAGTCCATCGGATTCTGGGGATTACACATGTGTGGTCACGACCCAGGCAATAGAACCCAAAACACATGAACCTGTGAAGAAGTCAATCAAGTCTACCATCAAAATAAACATTGAAGGTAAGTTGGTTTTTCAATACATTCCCTCTGACTTTTCTACTTTAAACAAACGTGACATCAATTATTGATTGGTTCCAAGTTAATTGCTAGATGCACCAGGTTATCCTATTTAGCTGGTGACTACTTTTTTCGAATAATAATCTACCCGTTGGTTTATTTCACCCCAGTTAACGGTGGGGAAACGGTTTCTGAAACTAGTTTACCCAGACTACTCACAATGGCGGCCAACAACTCACAGCAGCGACTCGACTGTTCACGGTTTCGTAAATGCCAAAGGCCAGGATAGGGTTTTGCTCACAGTGTTCTGACCTAAGAGTATGCGCCGTCGGAACTGGTTGAGATCGTTCTCTGCTTGAAAGTGGACTCTCTTAGGGGGGGGGCACACGCCTTGAGACGTGCTGTTATAGCATTTTTATGTACAAATTGGGTGTACACTGGTTGCTGTTTTGGTAGGAATTAAATTGTGGAGTTTTTCCAGTAATGCATGAGATCTGAAATTGGGTATAGTCAGTGTGTAGGACGAGACGCGTCAGAACGATCAAGCCTCCTCATCACCATTTGCATGAATCTGGATAAATAAATACAAAGAAATGAATAAATGAGTGGGGAGAAGTAAACCAGGAGAACCATTGGCAGAACAAATAAGTGAAAAGTGGGGGACGCTATCAATGCAAGTTCTTGCTTGGTCTACCATAAATTTCTCTACAGGTTACACTCGACACACCACTCCCGCGAAACGATGTACTTTCTCGTTGCTTTATAAGCAAATTGCTTCTTCGTCCGGTTCATCAGAAAACATTGTGAAGTATGCTGAGATCTACCTATCATCAAAAGCTAGGATTCTCTCAATCCTGAAAAATGAGCTTCTCGTCTATATTCTTTCCCAGCTGGGTTATATTTACAATGTGGCATAGTTCAGAACAGTCTCTTGGAATGCCGATTGGGGCAGCTTCCCAAGACACGTAGAATTTGAATTAGGCATCAATATCTCTTTCATAGGCTAGAGGAGCCGTGTCACCAGTATTTTCATAATCGGAATCTCAATCTAAATGCGCCGCCGATTTGATCCGTGACATCATTTGTGTCGAAATCAACCGTTTTCCAATAGATATCTGTTATTGTTACCCGATCTGTGGAGCCAAAGCCGAAGTTCCAAGTTCGGAATGGCATGTGCAGTTTTCAGAATGAATGCTTAAGCTGCTCCCGTCTTCGGAGTACCGCTTTCGCGAGAGGTCCGGTCTCTGGTGGTCCAAAGAAGCCTGGGACCGACTCGTTTGTTTCCCCTTCTAGAAGCACAAAGCTTTCAAAAGCACTCTCCTGGGGTATGGACAGCATTGTACTTAACGTTACAGCTGTACTACTGTCTTTTTGTTGTGCTGCTATGCATTATTTATAATTTTAAACTTGAAAACCGAGGGAGATATTTTTCGTGTTCAGTGAATACGTGACCACATGATGTGGCTTATGTGACAATATATCCTGTTTAAGTGAGATCTAAGCCCACTACTGATCAGCCGCTTGTCGCCGAACGGTTACTGGTCCAGTCTGGAGGTTGGAAATCCTGTAGATGTTCATGAGATTCGCAGTGCCGGTTATTTTTTCAGTACGGATGAAACAGCTGTCCAGTGCTTCTCGGCTTTTCAGAATAGACTGGCTTCATTTACAAGACAAGCTCCCAATTGGAACTTATCCAATCTCATCACACGGACATCTATCATAGGTCACTTGCATTAATGCTGGTTTGGAGCTCACTGAGAATCTTATAGGTTCGTGGAACTTCACCATATCATTCGCCTTATCTATAGATCAAATATTCCACGCTTTCGTGTGAACGTAAATTTCCCATAATGGTTATGTGTGCTGTCAGCCATAACTTTGTCAGTCTGCCAACAGTTTCGCATTCTGCACACGCATTTGTGCTTGTGTTCAATACGGAGAAAGTGAATGAATGATTTCATAAACACCCGCTCGCAATTTAATCTGGTGTTGACGTACGGCTCTCGTGAAATTCGCCCAGGTTTGTCAACTCTTCTTCTGAACCGTTTGCTCCACACTACATCGTTACTTTAGGTTCTCCATTTTCTTCATGTGACCGTTTTTCCCGATTCTTCTCTCGTTTAGCCGAATCCGAAGAACGATTGGAAGAAGTGAGGACGGAGACAGTTACTCCACAGTCCCCAACATTTCTGACAGAACTAAAACCAGTTCGTATATGTGAAGGTGAAGAAATCTATTTGACCGCAACTGTCAAAGGCACGCCACAGCCATTAGAAGTAACCTGGAAGCATGACGGTGTTACTCTACAACCAGATACAACGGATGCTGTCCTGTACTATGCACCTGATTCGGGTGTTTGTGAGTTGACAATATCCGAGGCGTTTCCTGAAGATGCTGGTGTCTACTCAATCGAAGCATCAAATCAATTCGGTCTAGCTGTAACGCAGACAGAGGTGTTAATTGTGAAGGAGGAACCAGATGAAACATCCAAGACAGAGGAAGTAAGTGTTTCAGGTTTAACGGCGCCGACGGAACCCAAAATTGACGTAGTACAAACCCAATTAGAGCCCACTGGGGCACCGGAAGAAGTATGTACGCCTCTGGGTGTCGACGTCACCGACAAAACTGTCGCAGAGACTCCTGAAACCAGAGAACTAGAACTATTTTCACCGATAGAAGTGCTACCACAACTACCAGATACAGCGTACTGCGAACATTATGTTGAAGAAAAAGAAATAAAGACAGATTTAGAAGAGCCTGTGGAACTCCCACTGGAGCAGTTTTCGGACGAAGAACAGGATGAATATTCCTTATCACAGGCAATCGTTCTAGATGTTTTGATACCTCACGACGCAGTAAGCGTTGACGAGGTTAGTTTCACGACAGATGATGTGGGAAAAACGGTATCTGTTCCCAGTCTAGTCGATATTGCCCCGTCAGATGTCCAACCAACCGAAATGAGCCAAATTGCAGTAGATATGATCAAACCGCCAGAAGAGTCGTCTAAACCGGAAAAGGAAGATGAAGAACAACCAACGAGAGAGGAAGCCACGCCAAAATGGGATGAAAGCTCCAAGTCCATAGAGCAGCCCAAATACATAATTGGTGTTGCTGGTGACGCGGACGTTGAAAGTCGTAAGAAAGTCGAGGAAGATGTGAAACAGACCTCAGGAGAAAGGTCTGAAACAGATCAAGTTGAAGTTTTGCAGGCCCAATCAGAACAGCTGAGAGTAGAGGAACCCAAATACCGCGGTGCAATAGAAGAAGAAGAGACAGCCATGGAAACTGAAACCAAAGAACAGCCAGGCTTGGAAATAACCGAGGCAAAGATTACTGTTGTAGAGACCGCGCAGGAGGCAATTGCGGTAAGTGATGCTATGTATTATGAGACCACGCATGATGTGCGCAGAATGCATGAATGTATAATTCTACACTCGCATGAAGTAATGAATGCAACAACAAAAGTTCTGCCAGGGACAACGACAATAGAAAATCCCACGTACAGAAAAGAAACCGATGAACTCCACAAGAAACCGCAAGACCAGGAACATATGAAAGAGACAACAACTAATGAAACACTGGAAAAAACGCATACAGAAAATCTAAACCAAGGAATTCTAGAACGAAACGTAGAAGTCAGCCACTTCCGACGATTAAACGAGATAGAAGAACAAAAAGCAGAAAAGGTTGAAAAACGTATACCTACGAAGACAACGGACAAAAATATAAGCATATCCGAAATAAATACGCCTAGCACTGAGGAACCAAGTTTGTGCAAAGGGGACGTGATACAGAGGTCGGCTATCCCAGTCGCTTTCGAGGCGCCTGGTGTGCATGAGGCCGTGGAATTGGCGGCATTCCAGTTCGGTGCGCCCGAGACCGCACAACTGAGCGAGGTCATAGTGACACAGGCGGAATATGTTTCAACTGAAATCATTGGTTCCGAAGAGGTGGAGCAGTCGGGTGTGTCTACCGAGCGGGCCCCGGATGTTACGGATCGCGAGTCTATTGAGGAGGAGAAGCCGAGTACGCAACCAACGATACAGCCACCCGAAGAGCTAGACCAACGCGGTGCATATGGGGAGGAGATTTCGCACGTGCCGGATGCGTTCGAATCAGCCATTCCACTGGAGGCAGTGTCCGCCATCTCCGAGCAGCCCCGTCTGTCCGACGTGGACGTGACACAGAGGCCGGCTATCCCAGTCGCTTTCGGGGCGCCTGGTGTGCATGAGGCCGTGGAATTGGCGGCATTCCAGTTCGGTGCGCCCGAGACCGCACAACTGAGCGAGGTCATAGTGACACAGGCGGAATATGTTTCAACTGAAATCATTGGTTCCGAAGAGGTGGAGCAGTCGGGTGTGTCTACCGAGCGGGCCCCGGATGTTACGGATCGCGAGTCTATTGAGGAGGAGAAGCCGAGTACGCAACCAACGATACAGCCACCCGCAGAGCTAGACCAACGCGGTGCATATGGGGAGGAGATTTCGCACGTGCCGGATGCGTTCGAATCAGCCATTCCACTGGAGGCAGTGTCCGCCATCTCCGAGCAGCCCCGTCTGTCCGACGTGGACGTGACACAGAGGCCGGCTATCCCAGTCGCTTTCGGGGCGCCTGGTGTGCATGAGGCCGTGGAATTGGCGGCATTCCAGTTCGGTGCGCCCGAGACCGCACAACTGAGCGAGGTCATAGTGACACAGGCGGAATATGTTTCAACTGAAATCATTGGTTCCGAAGAGGTGGAGCAGTCGGGTGTGTCTACCGAGCGGGCCCCGGATGTTACGGATCGCGAGTCTATTGAGGAGGAGAAGCCGAGTACGCAACCAACGATACAGCCACCCGCAGAGCTAGACCAACGCGGTGCATATGGGGAGGAGATTTCGCACGTGCCGGATGCGTTCGAATCAGCCATTCCACTGGAGGCAGTGTCCGCCATCTCCGAGCAGCCCCGTCTGTCCGACGTGGACGTGACACAGAGGCCGGCTATCCCAGTCGCTTTCGGGGCGCCTGGTGTGCATGAGGCCGTGGAATTGGCGGCATTCCAGTTCGGTGCGCCCGAGACCGCACAACTGAGCGAGGTCATAGTGACACAGGCGGAATATGTTTCAACTGAAATCATTGGTTCCGAAGAGGTGGAGCAGTCGGGTGTGTCTACCGAGCGGGCCCCGGATGTTACGGATCGCGAGTCTATTGAGGAGGAGAAGCCGAGTACGCAACCAACGATACAGCCACCCGCAGAGCTAGACCAACGCGGTGCATATGGGGAGGAGATTTCGCACGTGCCGGATGCGTTCGAATCAGCCATTCCACTGGAGGCAGTGTCCGCCATCTCCGAGCAGCCCCGTCTGTCCGACGTGGACGTGACACAGAGGCCGGCTATCCCAGTCGCTTTCGGGGCGCCTGGTGTGCATGAGGCCGTGGAATTGGCGGCATTCCAGTTCGGTGCGCCCGAGACCGCACAACTGAGCGAGGTCATAGTGACACAGGCGGAATATGTTTCAACTGAAATCATTGGTTCCGAAGAGGTGGAGCAGTCGGGTGTGTCTACCGAGCGGGCCCCGGATGTTACGGATCGCGAGTCTATTGAGGAGGAGAAGCCGAGTACGCAACCAACGATACAGCCACCCGCAGAGCTAGACCAACGCGGTGCATATGGGGAGGAGATTTCGCACGTGCCGGATGCGTTCGAATCAGCCATTCCACTGGAGGCAGTGTCCGCCATCTCCGAGCAGCCCCGTCTGTCCGACGTGGACGTGACACAGAGGCCGGCTATCCCAGTCGCTTTCGGGGCGCCTGGTGTGCATGAGGCCGTGGAATTGGCGGCATTCCAGTTCGGTGCGCCCGAGACCGCACAACTGAGCGAGGTCATAGTGACACAGGCGGAATATGTTTCAACTGAAATCATTGGTTCCGAAGAGGTGGAGCAGTCGGGTGTGTCTACCGAGCGGGCCCCGGATGTTACGGATCGCGAGTCTATTGAGGAGGAGAAGCCGAGTACGCAACCAACGATACAGCCACCCGCAGAGCTAGACCAACGCGGTGCATATGGGGAGGAGATTTCGCACGTGCCGGATGCGTTCGAATCAGCCATTCCACTGGAGGCAGTGTCCGCCATCTCCGAGCAGCCCCGTCTGTCCGACGTGGACGTGACACAGAGGCCGGCTATCCCAGTCGCTTTCGGGGCGCCTGGTGTGCATGAGGCCGTGGAATTGGCGGCATTCCAGTTCGGTGCGCCCGAGACCGCACAACTGAGCGAGGTCATAGTGACACAGGCGGAATATGTTTCAACTGAAATCATTGGTTCCGAAGAGGTGGAGCAGTCGGGTGTGTCTACCGAGCGGGCCCCGGATGTTACGGATCGCGAGTCTATTGAGGAGGAGAAGCCGAGTACGCAACCAACGATACAGCCACCCGCAGAGCTAGACCAACGCGGTGCATATGGGGAGGAGATTTCGCACGTGCCGGATGCGTTCGAATCAGCCATTCCACTGGAGGCAGTGTCCGCCATCTCCGAGCAGCCCCGTCTGTCCGACGTGGACGTGACACAGAGGCCGGCTATCCCAGTCGCTTTCGGGGCGCCTGGTGTGCATGAGGCCGTGGAATTGGCGGCATTCCAGTTCGGTGCGCCCGAGACCGCACAACTGAGCGAGGTCATAGTGACACAGGCGGAATATGTTTCAACTGAAATCATTGGTTCCGAAGAGGTGGAGCAGTCGGGTGTGTCTACCGAGCGGGCCCCGGATGTTACGGATCGCGAGTCTATTGAGGAGGAGAAGCTGAGTACGCGACTAGCGACACTACCGCTCAAAATCCTGTACCATCCTGTTCCTGTCTTCGTCGGCCTTTTTGAGGAATCATGTGATTCATCGTTCTTGTCTCTCCTCGATTCGGTTTATTTTTCTGCTCATGTGTCTTCGGTGGATGAGACTGCTTTATGCGAGTCACAGGTTTCTGGACCGTCTTGGTTTGTTCCTCCTCCTTCTCTCCAGGATGGCGCGCGTTCCGCACCTTGCGAGGATGGTTTGGGTACCATTATTTTTTCGGTTAGTTGGTTACCTTGACCTATTCCTCTCCGGTGCTCAATATTCTGGGTGGATTTTTCGCTTCGGTGGTTCAAAGAGGTGTTGCTGAATGTTTCTTCCTGGCATGCATGGTGCATTGCTTCCAATATATGGGCTGTTTTTATGGGTGCTTAACCCATTCGTTCATATTAATACAGGATCTCATGTTCTGATATACTCATGGTTTTTCCTTAAATCATAACATTTATAATTAGTTCGCATCTCTAGTCTTTCCGGTTTCTGCAATTTGTTTTCGTATATTCTTGTGTTAAGTCCATCTGGTTGAAACTGAGTGGAGAAATCCTGCACTATCACGGGTGAAGCAAAACTTATTAATTTAGCCCTCTGCTTGCCTTGATCACTCAAACAAGCTAATGACCTTGTGCTTGACAGTTCTAGTCATAAATCCTGATATTTTTCGTGATGCTTTTGCGATAGTTATATTCAAGCGATTGCTACGTTAAGGTCTTTCGCTGAAGGCTCGCCGACGAGAGATAAAGGTCTCCAGTATATGATGCATGTGGAAAACGACATTTTATCAACTTCAGTACGCCACTAAATATTTGCGAAGTGCCTTTGTTTGTTTACAGTTTTTTTACTTCACCAACCACGCCCTGCTACTGGATGCTAGTCGCTGGAACTGAGGTTTGCTGAAGTTTGCTGTTCAGACAGAATCATTTATTGAGCAGTACACCCCTGACTAGCACTCATCATTACGTCCTATGATCGCTTATCTTTGTGGACGATGTCGCAGTCTGCCGCAGCAGGCTCATCTCTAAGTTTGGTGGAACTGAACTCCAGGTCTATCGGTGACTGACTGCATGCTGATACGTTAGGTATTTCTGATGCCCTAATAGAGGCCTCGTCCACAGTATGTAGAGAAGCTTCAGAGAAGCCAACTATGAGATTAGAGCGTCCGTCATCAGATTGTCTATTGCTGTTAAACGAATTTACATTTACTTGAAAGTCCACGGGTTATTAAGCTTACCCAAGTCGCCCATCTGCTGATGCATAGCCTGCATGATTCTTGGTCATTTGGTTGCGCTTTGGTGATGGGACAGTACTGGTTGATTTTTTCATTCAATGGTTTCGGAGGAGCTTGATTACCACAAAGTTTCGCCCCAAGTCCTGAATTGTGTGTGACCAGAGCTATGCTATGTCACTTGTTTATCACGGAATCGCTGTACTGGGTGCCCTTTTGTGAGTACCGTCTTTGAATTCTTCTACATAACACAAAAATGGATTGTCTTTCTTCTCGACTTCACAGGTGGAAGAGAGTTAGGGTTTTGTAGTCCTAGTTAAGTTGCCGCCCTCACCTTGTATGTGCAGCACTAATCCCCTGGTATCATCAGTGATGCCGTGTAGAGGAAAATCTCCTAGTATCTTGTCTGATGGCATTTTCCCCCAATGTGGCTGTGGTGGGTTTCGCAGCTTTGCTTTTGAGCAACCAATGCGGGTTCGCCTGTAAATAATGCTTGACCGATGGAGGCTTTTGTACAGTTTGGAATACACAGATGGTTTTTCGCAGTCAGTTGTACCAGTAAACATCTGTATTCCACTTGAGACTTATCAACCAGCCCAAGCATAATGTTAAAGCAATGGTCATCAACAACGTCATTTTACTCAGTGTTGTCAAGGTCATTGGATTGGTGGCTGAATAACTTGAGTTGAATTTCCGTTCTAGTGCCGTACTGCTTTTTCTTGTGAAGAATATGGTGACAGTAAGGTCTTCTCCATCCCCCTCACACACGATGTATCTTTCTTCTCAGAGTAAGCCCTTTTAGCCCCATCAGAACCACAACTTTGGGAAAATGGGGTCATGACCAAACCCATTAAAATAGGTAACACTACCTGGACCGCCTTCCTTTGATAGGAGGAATATGCGAGGAGGCCCAATTAAGGTTATTATTGCTGTCAGTGACGAGGATGCACCTTGTCGTCATGTTTATCTTCCTTCCTCCACTTAACCGAAGAGGATAGGACTGAACACTGATTGAAACAAAAGGAATATAACAGACACTTAAAAAACTTCGGCGCAATACGGCGTTCACCAAACCAGGATGCCAGTGGTTAAATTGGGTTTAAATTTAGCAATTTCGGCAACAGAAGAGCCACATGGGGTTTAAGTTAAGCCGGACATGGTGCTGCAATTAAGTCCCGATATAGATCCGATGGTACAAGGTCTGTCTGCAGGTAGAGGTGTAGAGGCCTGTTGCAATTCATCAGCCAGCCTAAACATGATAGTGCAACAGTAGGCGCCGGCATCACTTACTCGTCCGTCATCGAAGAGCAATGGATAAATAATATCACACCGCTTGCAATGCTCTGCCTGATGACCACTGATGGTACTGGAAATCTGGACCTGCTTTCAGATCGGCTCAAACATTAGCTACATTATTTGGCTACCGAAAAAAAGCTAGTAGTATAAAATTGATACAGCAAATATTCCGGGTCAAGTGGCGGTTGCTTCTGTCCGCCAGTCAGACGAGAAATTCAGCGAACATGTTACATCCATAAAGAACACTCCATCCACTTCCTCCATAGACGATGATACCTCAGTGCCAAAGGTATCTCACTCTATTGGAGTCTTCAGTGACCAAGAGTCCACCAGGACACGCGATAACTTAGAACGTATTGCACAAGCAACCAGTCAAGTAATCAGTTAAAACGGCGTAGTCGAAACGCTAACACGATGGATGAGAACGGTTTATATCTAGTGGCAAATGGCGCTTTTTGACGTCTTCTAGTGCCCCACTTAAAAACCTTCATTGATCGCTCGAATAGTCAAGGTGTACCATGTCATTGGAAATAGGAACAACACGCTATTCACCAGTCTTCACTTCGCTGTTTTGAAGATATCATAATATTACTTTAAAGCCACCTCATGAATGAAAGTGGGCTCCCAAGTAATTCTGCAACCTTCTGACTTCGAAGTACTTATTCTCGAGTGCGTCATATTTTGGATTATGGAATGTGATAAGGTACAACGAGGTTCCACGCTTACTCTAGTTCCTAGTAGAGTATAAGCCGGTTTCTCGACGTCCCCACTCTCAACTGCGTAGCCACAATGGTTGATGCAGCTGATTCCCTTAAAAACGACACCAGTCTTGGCGCGGTTTAGAAATAACACTGTTCTAATTATGGTGAGGGCCAGAAAACAATACTGTTTTAGAGTCATGCCTAAATCAAATTTGATAGAGTTACTTACGCCAGTGCACGAGGTGGTCTTTATTCTATAGTAAAAAGGTTCGACAATATTAAAAACTCTGTTTGATCGGTTTGGCTTCTTAAGTTTGACTCACTATGCCATGAGGTTTACCAAATCAGATGTTTTGTAAAGTTAACGTAAATCGTTGAACCGTGACTGACCGCCTTAGTTGTGTTCGTCTGAAAACATTAGATCTTTCGAACCCTATACTTGTCTTCGAAATCGCCGGATTGGGAGACAAGATTCTGCTTTTCCTACAGGACGGGTCGTTTCGGGTTAGTTTATGGTTAACAGGAGACATTTTCATGTTTGTCCACCGATGCTGTCCCCTCAAATCTACCCCAGTCCCCTTGACAGGAACTGGTACTTCCGACTACGTACAGACCATTTGTGATATTTCAACTATGCATCGGTCCTTAGGTTAATATCGACCGATAATATTTTGCCTTGGATATCGGTTATCCAATTCAGTAGAAACTTTCAACATCTAAACTGCACGACGTTTGTTGACCGAAAATGTAGAGTGACATTGTTTTTTCCTCGTATCCTTGCGCTTCCTTGCACGTGGGGCGAACTAGCATGTCATTCTCCGCGATTGTTGCAGTATACCTCATTCCCAGCGCTAAGCCTGGAAGCGTCTACCTAACAGAAGCTGCACAGTTTTCATCCTGCTTCGAGACAAAACCTCGACAATTTCTTCATTCGTCTCATATACACCCGGCTCGCCATTCCGCTTCATCTTCCATCAAAGGTGAATGCATGTAACAAGCACAAGCTGTGCTAGATGCCTGAATAAAGTTGTGTACTATCTGTCGTTCAATATACATTGTGCCTCTAGTGCCTACGAAAGTTCAGCCCGTCAAAGAACGAGAGGAAGTTGTTGAATTTGAAGAAACAGAATCATTTGCCCCGAAGTTTGTCCAACCATTGGAAGAACGTATTGAAGTCAAAGAGGGTGATGCAGCACATTTGATTTGTCGTGTTGAGGCGAAACCGAAGGCCGATGTGCAGTGGCTCTATGAGGACAGACCTCTTGATGTCACGTCAACAGTTGCTTCTACTGTCTATGAGAGTACGATCACGGACGATGGAGATATCAGTCTGGTCATTTTGGAGTCATTACATGAGGATCAAGGGTTATACCGATGCGAAGCGGTCAACGAATTGGGCACAGCCTATACGCAAACCCAACTGGTAGTCACTGATGGTCAGTTCTTTGTTGATCCACGCAATCAGGACCCGTCTAGCCTGTTTAGTTTGCTGATCAAAGTAGGCTTAGTTATCCATACTTGATGCTGTCCAGGTCATTGTTACTGGATCTGTTTTACAGTTTTATTACCCCCAATTTACACAAACACATCAAACACATCCTTAGTACCCATCTTTACCACCTTACTACAGCTGAGCGTGACCGATTCTGGCCGCAACACCTTTTGTCGTTTAACGGAGAATTATAAAGCCATTTGAGAATAAGTTGACAAATACCAAAGTATCAATAGCTATACGTAGCAGTGACCGTTGTAACTAGTATTTACCCAAAATATTGTGCCACTAGTTTCTAATTCACGGAGTTGTCGGAAGGACGTCGAATCTCCGTGTACTCAGTGAGAGAACAAGTGAATAACCCAACAGCACTAAGCTTTTATGCAGGATCTGGTGGATCCTGTCGGTAGCTAAGTTTCTATTGGACTAATGGGTACCGAATATGGGCGAATCCTCGAGCTTGATCATGAAATGGACAACGTACGGTGGATGATTTAGGTAACGTTAACCCGTACCCCTTTTAGGCCATTCTGTACGGATTAATGACATTCTCTACAACTATTGTGTGACGAAACTACTGTGTGATCCACACATTATGGACAGGAACACCGTAACTGTACAACTAAAATGATGCACTCGGGCGTGCCAAAAACAAACATCCACTTGCATATCTGGGGACAATTCTCTTCGTTTATGCCACGAACATATGGCATTCGCAGGTTTTACGATACGCTTTCTTCATTACGACCTGTGAACTGTACTCTTGAAGCGGGAACTGCGATGTGGTGACCACCAGTGCTGCTTTGAGGGACTCTACCCAACAACAATCTCACGCCACAGACCGTACTCAACAGATCATATTTTTCGTTGGGTTCGACTACGACGACGGACATAAACAACACCTGCTTCTATGTAACGCAACCTTTGCCATAGTTACTCCTCATATGTATGTTGTTTGAGAGTAAGGTGTAGCTGTTTTTGCCTATTTGAGTTAGAGGAATGCCCTAGATCATCGGCTCTTTAAACTTGTAAGCCCACGCCACTGGGTCAGATGAGAATAACTGTAACAGATTTATCGCTGTTTCATCAATTAAACTTTGACCCATGGTCTTGGCCAACTGGTAGTACGAAAATTCAGCTATTCGCTGGTTGCAGACAGAAGTACACGTCTGTGTTCCTCCTATTCACCGCTTGTCAGCCGATGGATACAAATCAACAACTCAGCAAGCTTTTTTCCGCACTCGAATCTTGTATGCGCCCAACCAAGAATGCCAATTAGTTTTCAAAATTAGGCAACTGCGGTAGTAATATAACTACATAACGTAATAATATAACTTGAAGTAGTGTTCAACGATTCACTAAATGGACGTCATCAAGTTAGGTGTTGGAGTGTTTTGCGGCCAGAATTGACCGCTGATAGTCGCGCTGACTACAGTTTTCCTGCAACCTTTGTCGGGTCGGAATGAATAGCCGTACAGTATTTTCTGTCATAAGTGTATGGGTTCAAATAGAGTCTGCTATCCGAATTGTCATCTTAAAATAATATGCCCAATGGGAACGATTCCTAAAGCGAATACATTCGAATCTCATGAAGTTCACTTCTTTACTGAGTCTCTTTCGCATTTCTGGTCGATGTACACTGCTCCCTGACCCTCTAACACACTGTGCCACCAAGGATTTCACAGCGAGGACTGGTACCAGCTGAACACCGCTCTTTCATTTTCTATCGGCTAGGGAGTTCTCAAACTTTACTCGGTGCAGTATCAGCTCAGCTAACTTTGAGAGAATGGAATCCAGCTAGAGAAATTCGTAAAGTTCAGTAAACCTCCGTCGTGCCCCAGGTCTATCACCTTGGTGCATGCCTACGCACCACCTCAGTGTTCTTCTAGTCTGTTAGTTTGTTCATACATCTTTTCCGCATAGCTGCTATGGTACCGAACCGTAGATGAGGCCAGATTGCACACAAGCGCCGCACTTTCTTCTTTGATTGACAACCTGACGTCGTTTCAACGCCCTGATAGTTGGAAAAAACGGAAGTGTCTCAAACATGAAGCGGCATTGCTCAGTTTCTAGTCTACCATTCTAGGCATGAAAACACTAGAACACATCATAGCTCAGTTACCTAAAACAACAGTCTTGTTCTATTAGAATTACAGAAAGCAGAGTGGTTGCTTTCATGCCCTTTTGGGGCACATAGTAGTGGCTGATGCTCCTTATTAACACGGCTTCATTAACAGACCGTATTTTTTGCTCGTAGGAAATGCCTGACTATAGCAACTGGTTCTCGTGTAGTACCAGGAGATCTCGACTTTGTGTGACTGTGTTACTGCTTTCATGACATATCATATTCAGCCATACGTTTTGATGGACGTCGACACGTTCTGCCTAGGTAGGTGTTCGTAAGAGCATTGATAAACTGAATGAGCGGTAGAGGATTCGGACTTACTACACTTGCGCAATTACAGAACGAACCCCTTCAGCAGTCAGAATCAAAACGATTTCAGGTGAACTGTGGCTTCTCTCATTTCGAAACGTACTGCTGAAAAACTTAAAGCAAGCGATGTCCTTCACCCTTAACCTGTTCCTCGTTTGTTTCGTCATCTTCGTTCCTTTTAGTAAACCTTATTTTCGTTTTTATTTCTGTTACCAGAGGATCGTGTTCAAGAAGCCCCAGTTGAAGTGTGAGTTTAATCTCTGAGTTTTTTATGAATGAATGGCTTGTGGGTCCTTTGTCACTCGACATGGCTTTTGACCCATAGTTGTAACGACTAAGCCTAGTTGTACCAAGCGTTTCACCCACCTCAGACCTGTGTCATAATAACAGACCCGATGAGCCCTCGTTAGTTTTCGGTGTACGTTGCAAATATAGTATTGACAGTTTATCTTACTATGGTAATGCACAATATACAAAGCACATCTGAAAGGTCATCACATTAGACAAAGAAGGTGCTACCTATAAAAAACTGAGGCCGATTTGATGAACAGAGTGGGTCTCCATTACTGCATACCAAACCAAAAACCAGTACCAGGTGCACATGTCCCGGGGGAGTTTCTGGATGCAGTAAGCCTTTTACAGGTAGCTACTGGGCACTTATGATTCCATACCACGTCGTGCATTGTCTGCAGAGCAGCGCATATGATACACAAAGTCCTGAATAAATTGCTAGTGTGCAAGGCCGCATATGCCCTCGACTTAGTAAACAACACAGCCATTGTTGACCAGAGACTGGTGTGACCTGCAGTCAACCGGTAGTCGAACACACGTAAAGTGCCGCATTGAAACCTGTCATTTAAAGCGTTTGCAAAACCAAGTGTCAGGATTTAAATCGGTTAGAGCAAATGCCTTGAGAGTGGCTCCGTCAAACAGTTAATCCTCGTGTCTACTACGCACAACAACTAAAGATAATGTTTTTTGTTCGTTGACCAGACGGCTGTTACTTTGTTCGCCGGGCTTAGCAATCGACTTACTAACATTTCTTCACCATACGAGGCAACATCATCAGGGCGTAGTGGGGCGGATACTTCCTCTTTGCTTGAGTGTGTTCACATAGCATCTGAAGACTCTCTGTTATCTTCTGACGTAACTGGTTAGTTGGGAGACAGCGTTCTTCGTGAAATTTTGGTCCGTTTGTGATATGTAATGCGGTGTGGTCTGAGTTACTTTGGGTTGATTGAACATCTCATTGTCTTCTACTTTCAGTAGTTTCTTCCCTGATTTTGACTGGCACTCTACTCGATTTTCATTGCCGTGTGGTCTGATCATCTGGAGATTGATTGGTTGGCTGCACTGCTCCATTTTCTCCATTGTGACGGCTAAGGTCCCTGTGTCCGCCGGTTAATTAGACATTTTGGTTTATTGACTAGATGCCTCCTCTAATCAAACTGATGTATCCATCTGAATCGAGCTTTCCTGTTTCGCTCATGAGTTCCTCTCTGGTTGCTTTTGAAGCTCAGAGCTCTGGGGTTCTGGCGTCCTCTTGATCTTAGTGGCTGATAAGTGGGGTCAATTTTGATATGCTTGTTGATAGTTTCTTCAGTGGAGTACCACACCCCCATAAAATCACGTTCTTTCTTCGTACTTGCTTGAGCCACTATGCGAACGCCGCTCTGGTCGAACTTGCGTCTTTTCTGATCTTTATACACGTAGATGATGGAAAATCGATCGCAACTTTTGGCAGCGAGTTTGTGTTCATGTATTCTGGTGGAGATCTTTCTTTCCGTTAGTCCTGTATATCGTTTATCGCAGTCCGTGCATTTGGATCTTGTGTATGAAATTGTTCTTCATCGTTAGATCTAAATTTCCTCTTGCTTTCGCTAGTGTCTTCCGTAAAGTGTGCGTAGCCTTGTAGGCGACCGTCATCTTGTGCTGTCGTAGTAGCCTTGCCGTCATTTTTCAGCAATATTCTTGAGGTATGGGGGTGTGACCCATTTTCTTCCATTTTGTGCTGTTGCCTTGGTCATATTTAGCTTCTTGGGTGGTCTGTAGATGCAATTCCGTGGGTATCCGTTTTTCTGGAATAATGTCTGCCTTTCGAGGTCTACCACACGTAAAGAGCTCTGTTTCTGATTCAAATTGTTTACCATTTCAATATCAGCACTACTAAGCCTTTTGTTTCCTCACAAGCATATCTGTAAACGGATTTGCACCGCGTTTCCATGGACCTACTCCCGTAAATCCATCAACTTATTCGAGCATGTGTAGGTGACAACTCAAGTTTCAATAAGTAATGATAACGTCTAACAACGCAGCGGTTTTATAGCTCACGAAACGGGATTGTTCTTAAGTAATCTCGCCTTTGTTACTGCGGAGGAATTGTCAAACAAGATCAGTTGGTTCACCTCTTCCCGCAAACCAGAGGCCACGTCGTCTGTGCTACAAACCCCAGTCTCCTAAACTTGGACCCCACAAAGGTCAAGGTTTCCCACTATTCTGTCTCGTGTCATACCAGAGCCGATAAGCTTTTGTCATCATTATCCTGTTCTTCCCATCCCTAACGCACTGTTTTTCCTACCTTTTCAGTGTGCAGGAAGAAGTAAGCGACAAACTTCGTAATAGTAATTGAGTTATTTTGCTCAACGCATTTCCCTCTGTAGATACCTCGCGTAGCTGCAACCAGTTGGGTTAGAGATGATTCATTTTTTTCCACATGTGGGTGCGATTTTCCTCTCATCATCATCATCATCATCATCATCATCATCATCATCATCATCGACAGAATGACATCAGTGTTCAACATCGATGCTTCGCTGCCGTACAACCATGTTTTATTTGAGAGCCTTATTGTAGAGAAAAGAGTAAAGGTGGACGGGGAAGGGACTTAGTGCTAGCTTACCACAATCATTCCCAGGTGCCTACACCTCCAGAAATTCACTCAGGCGATCTGGATAGAAACTGACAACAAGAACGCCACTGACATCGGTTGGCAGCCATATCTTGTAGTGTCCACAACCAGGCATATCATAGTTTGAAACAGTGAACTCAAAAGATATCAACCCCATCGATATGCTCTATCTTCTTCTAGCGTCAGTTAAAAATAGCCTTCACTTCAGCTCTGTCATTTACCTTGATTTCCAGCTTCGTCACATGAACCACTATTTCTAGGCGCTATGGACTGCGCACGTCTGCCTTTTGTTATGACTGTGTGATAGGATAGAAACAATCATTTAAATGTCCGGGCCTAGTCAACAGCCAAACTGGCCAGTTGTATAGATCTACCAACTCAAACAACTTAAGCAGTGAAAGACAGTGCGTGAAGGACGAAGTGAAAAGTTGTGTAGCCCTCCCTTAGCCTTATTTTGGACATTCTTGTGTATCTACGCATGAAAAGCAAATGAGAATTGCTGACAGGTTGCCCTGTAGGCTTGGATCTGTGCAGGACCAGAGATGAGCACCGAACAAATTGGCGTGAGCCGGACATAACTTGTGTATGGTCAATGAAGTGTGTCATGAACGCTGTGAAATGAGTTGCCTTTAGCTAACGTCACACACAGGGTATCCCCAGCCTGTTCATTTGATTGCAAGATATCAGCCTCTTGAAGAAACTGCTAATAAGTCAGTCACGTCACACCGTTACCTCCATGTGTCTCCACTCACTTGCAAAAATCGATAGTACCAGTATAAAGTAAAATTGCGTTCGTACCGATCAAACACGAAAATGACATGCGTTTATCTGAACTGGTTCGCGGGTCATGCAACTTGTTTCTAAGTGTCTATCACCAGCTGAAATGTGCATTGTTTTTGTAGTCAAGGCCTTATGAAGCATGAGTGCGCAAAGTTGTCATCTGCTTGCGAGGTACGCTCACTTAATTTCCCATATTCTTCTCTTGCTTTTCAGAAACCGGAGCAAGGTGAGTCAGTACATGAGATCCTATTCACCATACGTGGAAACATCTGTTCGTTTGGCATTGAACTTCAGACCACATATACAGCGCCACTGTGACAGACCTGGTTTGATAATTATTTCGAATGCGCTTAACCGGTCCCAGTTGGCAGAATCATAATCGGAAACCAAATGGTTTCACGAATTTTTCAGCATCAAATATTCTTCTGAAAGGTCTACAAAGTATAAGTAGGTACTTTGGAGCACAAATTGTCGTGCGAACACACCTCCAGGTGATGCTTGAATTTGATTGGTCGATATGTTGACCGAAGCTCGGATGCTGCGGCCAAGTGACAGACCACACCACCGATTGCTGTTACTCTTGTGAAGTGACAAACAAATATACCACAAACTGGTCCACCTCAAAACGCATTTCGACACCAGACGAACCTTCTTCCCACTTTGTGATTTACCCGTTATATTCAATATATTGATCAACAGTTACATGTGCTGATGTAACGTTCAACCACTGATGGACTAAATTTATCAAACTAGACTACTGTAAATCTTCCTTGAACCAGAGTATAATCCGGTGCCTCATTTTTGCCGACTTCACTAGGCCTGCGTTCAGTCCCTGAAGGTGATTTTAGAATTTTTTTTAAATCTGGGCTGATGATAAGGACTTTCGAATCTAGATGATTCACATGCGTGATGGACCGGTTCAAATCAGAATGACCGTAAAAATGTGCTGGAGTTGGAAACATTTGATTTCCCATCGCGTGTTTCTCTTTCTTGATACGTGTTTAACTCTACAAACCCTTTTCTGTTGACTTTCACCATACATCTCAATCGGTTACCTTCCATATGTTTTATGCTACGCTTGCCGCTTACGAATCTGAACGCAGCAGAAACAGCTCACCTGGTACACTCCACCAGTCACGTTGATTGCACTAGCTAGGAATGGTGAAAAAGCCTCATGGTTTTTCGTAAACACTCGATGCACACAAGCCTCTTCCAATGACCTCAACTTTCAACCTAGGACGTGATTGATGTAAACTTGTGTTGTCTTCAATTGAATCTCGGTTAATGTACGGGAAATAATCTCAGCTAAATTATTTTATTTGAAAAAAAACATTTTCTGTGATGGTCGCATTTACTGCCAACGACTTCCTGGTGGCACGGTTTGGGCCTTTGATTTCCGAACTACTAGCATGCAATAGATTTCGTGTTTCCGATCTATTTTCGGTTCTTCTGTGGCTTTTTCCTCGTATCCCTTTGTTACAAAGTTTGGGTATCGGAAAATTCATTTCCTGAAATGAAATCACTACTTTGAAAATTCACAACATTCCTCGCACTATTTATCCCCTCGTGTAGTTGCACTCCCGGTGGAAATCGTCAAAAATTTGGTAGATCAGCAGTTTTCTGGTTTGCCCCAAGCGATTCGGTTTGAGCTAACTTTGTCAGTCGAAGTAGAGGCTCTGGTTTGGTTGAAAGACGGATGTGAAGTTCCAGTGGCCGACAAACGCTTCAGACTGACGCACGTCGGCCCAACCTATCAACTGATTATTGAACGTCCCACTGAAGATGACATGGGGCGCTACGAGGTGATCTACGACGTCCCTCGCGACCGGAGAACCTCTGCTTCCCTGACACTTGAACGTGAGTTTTTCACAACCATCGAACTGAGGTAGTATGAGGGGAACTCACTGACGAATTATCAGCTGGCTTCTGCAGGATATCAGGCATACCTGGGATAAGGAGAATTTGCTTGTTTAGCTTTCGGTGACCGGTTAAGGGGATAGGATACTTGCATTTGGGTTTTGATATAAGTGCTGCTTTGTGTTCATCAACATTAGAATGTTTGCGTCAAATGATTCCGTAAAATTCAACCAGCTGGTTAGTTTTGTACCATTTAATGATCGTAGATCTAGTCCACGGGTGTTGATCCGTATTTCGCTTGAAACAACACGTATTTTGGAATGATGGAAGGTGTGTACGGACACTTGTGATGACTACTCAACCCACAGTGCGCCTTTGACTTTCACACATTGTTAACATATGTGAAGCTTTGTATCACAATACTGTTTTAGAGAACAGGCCGTTCACCAGGAAAGTCCACAACAAGCATTCCTCGCCCGATTTTCACAGGATTTCTCTTCTCCCAGGGGCTCATCCCCCTTTGGAATCCACACTTTTATTTTTCAACGAAGGAATACATCCTTTAGAGGAAGGATAACTCCAAGAAGCGTCTTTGGTTAACCATATGACGGACTCGAATGACATGAGTTTTGGAAGCAAGCTGACGAGCCGATGGCTTCTAAACTGCCTAAATTTTGACCTAACTAGCTGGAACAACTTGATCAAGAATAAAGTCGTCACTGACCGAAATGTTTTGCAGTTCCCGCGTCCTGTTGCGAACCCTTTGCCTCCTTGATTCAGGTAACGCTAATCACGCTACGGTTGCTTATCACGAACTAGTTATGTACTACTCACTGGTTTTCTTTCGAGACGAAAACATAAAGCAACGTTATAGCGAATGTGAATCGCTTCTCCATAAAGCTGAATGTGACTTGTGATGAAGGTGCAGTGACTACTTGTGATTAGTGATCGGATGGAGAAATGCTTGCTTTGGACTATCCTGGAAAGTGGTTTCACTTTAGGAGGTCTCTTTTGTATGGTTTATTAAAACTCATTTTCATCTGTCTACTGATGCAAAAAGACCAGCGGTGCTCAGTAACTCCAATATTCCTTCTCATATCGCACGATGTGCCTGTTAGCTTGACTTGTTCTGTTGGCGTGCAATTCATGTCGAATGGTCCTCTGTTTAGTTTCCTTGTTGATTTGGAATGACACTGTTCTTGAATGATTCGGAGAAATTTGCTCTCACATGTTTTCACATAAGTTACTCGGATGGGTCTTGTATGTGCGGTACATTATGGTCACTATATGTGATCGAACTCGACGTTGTGCGATTGGCAGGTAGTGTCAAGTCCGAGTTAGTTGTGTTTGATGCATGCGCACATTTTCTGTTGGCATAGACGACCCTAACCCTGATTTGACAAAAAAGCTTTCATATTTCGTGCCTTTCATGGTAGAGGAGAATGACGCATATTATTATCAGTGCATAAGGTGTGTGGCGATGAAGTAGCACTGAAGCATCTGAGGTTCTGTCATACGCCTCTGTTGTTCAGGTCCCCCTGGGAGTCCAGAAGACGTGGAAGCTTCTTTCACAATTCCAACTAGCCCAACCGCCGGCCGACCACAAGATGTTTGCATCACGTGGAAGCCACCGGCAGAACAGGTTGTGGACAATTATATTGTCGAAATGAAGCCCCAGGAAGGGCGATCCTGGTACCCAATTCCTGTGGAGGGTCCGATTCACGACCTCAAAGTTATCGTGCCTACCAAGGATATGAAGGATGATGTACCATATGAATTTAGAGTAACCGCAGAGAATAAACATGGCAAGAGCCAACCGTCCAAAGCATCTGTGCCTGTTACGATTGGTGAGTTCGTTTCATGGTTATATCTTACCTCGGAGTTCATGAGGCCCATCCTCCATGGTTGTGTCAAGTGTATCAGTTCACATTCGTCACACGACATACCGAGGAAATTCCCGTATCGTCCGCTTGTTCCATACCTGTTGTAAGTGCAGAAAATATAGCTCAACTGCTACGACAGGCAGGTGCAGCGTGATTACACACACATCAAACAAGCACTGTCACCAGGTGCACACTAGTTACTTTGTGGAAACTGGTTTTCTTAATGAATATCGGTCATTGGTTTACTTATCCTCTCCGAGGACGCGAAGTTACTGTTTTTTAAACGCAAAAATAAGACTGTAGTGTTATTTTGTTAATCATATCTGGTCTATTAGATAGGGTTCGCTCGAACGGCAATTTATGTATTTGAAAGCAATAAACTTCATGCATAACAAGGCAAAGTAGACTTCGGTTACCTGAAAGATCTCTTTTCAGTATAATTTTGGTTTTAATGAGTCCATTATTTCTACTGGTTACTTCCAGCAAATCCCATCGACTTCATCAAACCTTTACAAGACGTGGTCGTGACTGATGTCAATCAGACACCGTTAGCCGTACTGGAATGCGAGTTGACCAGAGCCCCGAGAACTCCAGTGGCTTGGACAAAGGATACGAAACCACTGGTGTTGCGAGGTCCGGATACGGAGCGTGTACTGATGGAGGAACTGGACGATGGACGAACACAACGGCTAGTCTTCAAAGATGTGATTGAAAGTGATCTAGGACGATACGCCATCCAGGCCGAGTCCATCTCTTGTAGTGCCAGCCTTGAAATGAAAGGTATGAGCCCCTTTTCGATCCACTCAGCTTCAAAAAATCTACCAAGTCCTCACATAGTCTGCGGTCTTGTTAAAGTTGCTTTGATGTGACTCTGAAGTTGGGACGAGATGGCTCAAGTGGTTAGAGCGCGAATTTACCGACCGTAAGGTCCGTGGTTCGAACCCGACCTCTGCCTCTCGACTTTCCCTGTCTAGGCTTGGGCAACCTGGCAGTATCCCAGCCCTCGTGCTTCCTTCGGGTGGCATGGCAAATAGGCACCGGAAGGGTGTTACAGCTAAACAGTTGTTATTGTTGTTGTTGACTCTGAAGCTTTCGTCATCTGGTGGATATCATAAACGTAAGACTATTTGTTTGACCAAGTCGGTGATACTGTCTATGGTCTAAATAATTGCGTAGGGAAGTCTGTACCCACCAACAAGAAAGTCACGATGAATACGGTGTTCTTGATATTTCTGTATCACTGACTTTCAAAGTACATGTCCGATATTTGCATGAGCACTTATCGCATGAATCAACCTTTTGAAATGCAGTGACATCTGATTGGTGTGTCTATGCGAGTGAGGTTGTGAAAAAGGTATGATGCAGAAGATGGCCGACACAGAATAAAGCAATATGTGACCACATCGAAATCTTTCTGTATCCCACCAACAGCGAAAGCATAAATAACGGCAGATGGATTTTACCATGTAGGACCGAGCAACAGTGTCTCAGTAGTTCACTACAGTGCTGGCCGAGCCAAATGGAATTTCTATTCCATGGACGCTGCATTGATATGAATCATTGTAGTGAACAGACGTTTTTACCAAGTCTATGTCAACAAACTACCTCGGTTTTGTCCTAATTCTTCTCCTATTACAGTGCAGCCGACACTACGCCTCAGCCAAGACTTTAGTTCCAAACTGCTCATGAAGGCCGGAACATCCAACATTATTGAAGTACCGTTCGCAGCCAGTCCAAAACCTAAAGTTACATGGACATACGGTGCTGTCGGAGACCTAGTTCCGTCGGAAAGACCAAGATTCAAAACCGACACTGTGTCCGGCCTAACCTCGATAGCCTTGGCCAAAGTCAAACCGGAAGATGAAGGTCTCTATCAGGTGACGATAACAAATGAACTGGGAGAAACCACTTGCACTGTGGAACTGATCGTTCTGGACAAGCCGTCTGTGCCCAGGAATCCAAAAATCAGTGACAACACCGGTGAAAGTGTGCTATTCAGCTGGGAAGAGCCACAGTACCCCGGTCACGGAGAAAAGCCGATCGAATATGTAGTCGAAATGCGTGAGCTCCCGAAGCAGTCCCAAACTCCTGTCCTCAACACGACCGAGCTACAAACGCCGATTGATAATTTGTTGACGGATAAGAGTTATGTATTTTCCGTAGCTGCTCGAAACGAAATGGGACAGTCAGATTTCGTGCACACACAACCAATTACCACAAAACTGCAATATGGTAAGTTCAGACATGATGGTTATGTTGGTGTTGTATGTTTCGCCTATTCGGTAGTGTAAATTTGCCGCCATTAAACAACTAGTTACTTCGAATCCCGTAACGCAGTTTAACTCTGTAAACGTCAATCACTCGAAGGTACCCAGACAGACGAACCTGTTAAACACTATTTAGTGGATTCATTTCCCGTCCGGCGGGTGGTGTATTTCCGTCCATATTTTGCGAGCGTGGACAGTGTTGCAAGCTTGGTAATGGTCTATAATATAGTATGGTTAAACTCTTCGGCCATCCTCGCTTTTGTCTCAGACTAGATGGTCCGTTACAAATTATGCCCATATCAGTCGTTATGAGATTCACATTTTAGACAGGACATTACCAGAGATAGTCTTTAAACCCGAGTAACAGAGTGATTTGTGAGGGTGGAGCGAAACCAGCTGATGCGCATGGAATGCATGTGTGTTGGTCCCTACATGCTCGTAGCATAATACAGCGAAGTCAGAATACTGGAAAAAGCTCACAATGTATGGGTGGTCGCTCTGTCCCCGTCTATTAACGAATTGTCAAAGGACTCAATTGGTTTAGCCTGCAGAGTAATCGAGAAGTGGGTCCTTAAGCAGTGCGAACAAAGCCGCTTCTCTCCCGGCTCGGGTTTGATTCCGATCGCTTGGTATTACTCATGATGCTTGATTAGTGTGATAACCTAGTTACCCTTGAGACTAAAGAAAAGTCTAAACATGCGTGAATCACTTTATTTCTTTGGTGGATGAAGAATCCTATGCTACAAGGAGTAGATTATGACACCCAACCCTATAGGTCAAAGCTACAGCTAACCCAGAAAAATCTCGCATCATATAGCAACGTACCACTCCCATCTGTATCTATTTGAGCGTTACTCAGCAACATGAGAAACAACAGTAATCACAGGTTTTGCAGCCTTAAGTTTTGCTAGAATAAGGTACCTTTGCTATGTCTTGAAAAGATGGTGCAGCCTGCCGAGGTACCCCCAAACACTAACTAGAATCTCTTTCGTTTATGTACCACACACAGGACCACCACCAAGTCCGGTTAACGTAAAGGCTACAGTCAACCCAGAAAAAGCTCCCGCCGATCAGCAAACTATTGAGCTCACGTGGGAACAGCCGACTGACCAAGCGACCAGTGCGGACCTGTGACCCAACTACTACCTCGAAATGAAGCCGACGGATGCAACACGATGGCAAGATGTGTCCGCTGATTTCACCATCACCGAGACGCATTGTACGTTACCGTCAAAGGGTCTGAAAGAATTCACGAGCTATGAGTTTCGCGTGACAGCTGAGAATAAGGCTGGCAAGAGCAAACCATCGGGACCGTCTAATCCAGTGGAATTGGGTAAGCCGGCAATCCTCATCTTCTGTGGCTTTCTTGGCCCTTGCGCTAGAGGGTGACTTGCTTTCTAATACTCTTAAGATTTCACTCGGTATTCACTCGGTATCAATAGTCTCCACGGCCACGATTCAACTGACAATTATATGCCCAACCTTCCCTCTCACCTTTCCCTTTTCTAGGTATCCCGCTAGAGTTCATTCGCCCACTAACTGATGTCGCTCTGACTGAAGCAACAGAACAACCAGTTGTAGTTGAATGCGAGCTGTCACGTACTCCACAAGGGAAAGTTCAATGGCTGAAGGACGGAAAGCCACTGAGCCGTCTTCCAGACCGCGTCCGAATTGAGGAAGACTCAAATGGTACTGTGCACCGACTAGTATTCCACCCATTAACCGAAGAAGATTTGGGTGTCTACACAATAAAAGCGGACAAAATAAGTAGTGAGGCACGAGTGGATATGAAAAGTGAGTCCGATGGTCGTTAGTTGTCTTTGAAATCTAAGTGTGCACTTCTCTCAACCGCACTACACAACAGAATAACCTGTGCTTGTCGCCTCATTGTGCTACATTCGGTATCAAGCAAAACATATTCCTCTTATGATGTGCTCACGAAATTACTGTTTGCCAACTTTCCAGGATATCAGACGAAACTTGGCAAAATATGCGAATTTATTTCATGCCACCATTGTCTGAAGAATCCTCATATCCTAGAGGAGAATGGGATTTCAAAAAGTTGGGAAGAGTGAGAGGATAGTCCTCTGTATACGTGAGTATTGTTCAAATAAGAGTGACGAGAAATGGCACTTACCGAAATATCGAAACCAGAAAGCCACAGAGCGTTGTTTATTTGTTTATTCCAGTTCTACATGCAGCTTTTAGAACGGTTGAAATGTCAATGGCATCAGGCGACCTGATTGTGAGCCAATCAAATGAAACGCTGGCAAAGAACTTTTTCAGTCCTGATCACTAACAACAACGTTGAATAAATGAAAACCTGTAGGAAACTCTAAGGTAAAATAACTTCCTTAATTCTGCCATAGACAAAGGCTCAGAATGATACGGCTGACCCTTTGCTGTAAACTCTCAGCACGTTCTTCGATCTGGAGCAGTATATAAGGTATTTCACACAGCTAATTTTTGCGGCTACTCTATCTTAAGCGGAGTTTGACGTGACTGGACTGAGCGTCGAGTGGTTGCAGATCCGCATCTCTAACGACGCATTTCATGCAGCCCCGGAAAACCCGAGCAACTGGCCCACTTTTCCAATCAGCCAATTGCCACGACGTGCGTCGCACTCCACTCTGCTTCGCACCGTCGTGTGGGTTGGGTTGACATCACACTCCCCTCGGTGTGCGTTATAGCACCCCTGCTTCACCTGGTGCGTGTTCATGGTGTCAGCCAACCAGGTTTGAGTGGGCGAAATTTCCTCTCTAATCCGGTAGTCCATTTCGGTTGTCTTGGCTGTCGCGAATGTCTTAGCGGGTTCAACGTCAGCAGGCGAGATCAGGACACACCTTCACTGACATACGAAGTCCGGATGATGTGGTATTTTGGCTTCAGGGAATGGGTTATTGTGGGCAAAGGTGTACAGCTTACTGGGAGCAGTTAACCGTATGTCTGCGTTATAAACTTTAAGAACGGGAGATTTTGACTGCTGTTGAGCAAAGTTGGCATTCTCGTGAATCTTCACTTAGATTCCTAATCCTTCCGTAAAATTGCACACCAAGAGTCAAAATGCTGTATGGAGATATTGAACGACGTCTTGTTATATAATTTTGAACTTCTCGGATATTACTAAATATCCAGGTCAAAGTATTGTCGAAGTATTGGGAAGTTGGGTAAGTTTGCTGTTTGATAATCAGGTGGCTGTTGATTTTTTCGGTAAGCATTTTAATCGGGTTGCAAACGTTTCGTCACCAATCTAAGGGGCCCCATCACTGTGCAGTTGGATAGGTTACAAGCTAATTTCTGTTATGGCTTCACAACAGTACAAATAAATCTGGAGAATACGCATAGTTATTCAATTCTGGTAGACCTCGAGGGCAATCGCCTCAGTCGCAAGTTCAAAGAGGTTATGTCCACCTCTAAGAAGCCCTTTTATGTCCCCTATACTCACTTCCAGGGGAACGCTATGTAGGTGGAATAGTGGTGGTGTTGGAGGATAGGCGCCCACCGTACATCGTTGAGGTACACTAGAAAAGGCTGGGTCACCTTGAACAACGTGCATACCGTTTTGGATGTCAAAGCAGATAAGTTGGCTCCTGGATTTCAATCTGGTCGATAACAATGCCCTCATTTCCTGTTCACTAGGCTTTCGGCTGATCCATAGCTCTATTGGATCGTCGTACACTTGAGTTCCGGCCTGCCGTTTGAATGTTGTTATTCTTAATGTTTGCTCCATGTGGCGAGCATCTACCCAAAGGATTCCAGTATGTATTTTTGGGCAGCAACACATAGTCGTATCAGTTCACGGTTAGAAGCATATTATACCATGTTCACGTAATAAGAGTCGCTTGTGTTTTTCAAGCCGTACTCAAACTGACCGAAAGTGGTTAAGTTTTTTTGCTGTTGATGAGAATGTTGGCGAGTCATAGATGGTCGCTTGTTCATTCGCTTAGCTAAACAGTCTGGTTGCATACATTTCACCAACTGAGGTGACAAAATCAATGCGTTTTTGTGGGGCGATGAATCATCCGTAGTGCATAACCACTGAAACGTATCTGCTGTTCCTCGAATTTGGGTCGGAAGACTTTAGTCATTATTATTTTTAACGATGAGGACTAAATGGTGTTCGAATCTGGCAAATCACATTCGTGGCATTCTGGAGTAACCTAAAACCGTTCCATTGAAAAACTTAGGTACTCGTTATTATTTTCATTAAACATGCACATTGTGTGTCGTAGTCTACCCTGAAACTTCAATCGACGAGTCCACTTAACTCATGCTAACCCCGGAATGTTTGCGGTCTGATCGGTAGGCTTTTCTCCCAGCAATGCCACCGGGACAGCCGACTATCGGCCGTCATGTTCCGGCTCTGCACGCAGCTCATCGTAATCTGTCGATCGTCCGGTCGGCAGACTTGGGTAGGCGTCGTCAATTCTGTCTGTCCGCTTGCACTTGTCACCGTGGCAACACTCCAAGTTTACGGGGCCTGTCTGTGTCATAGCCGTGAGATGAGCCGACGGTGCACTTTGAATCGTCCGAGCCCGGCGAACTGTTGTGTGGGGCCTACAGAAGTTCTGAGCCCCCATCCGTGTCATCCATGCACTCGATGGGGAATGCGACGGTTTGTGCCGGTCGCTGGTGTACGGTTCACATCTGTAAACATGTTCAATACACCGACTGGGCGATCGGAAACCTAAGCGAGCTGCTGGGCTTTGAAGAGTTGCGTGAAGTGTGGAGCTGATTCCGCACTCGGACCGTAAGCCCATGTTGAAGCGGAATTACCGCGGAGATTCGTACTTTGGACATCGGGTAGATGTACACAAGTGTTAACATGGGCTGTAACACTGCGGGGACGGTGGACGGTGAACTAAGAACTACAAGTCTGGTTTCAAAGCAGATCCTGGATTGATATCAGAAAACTGAATCGATCCAGATGGCTGTGAAAGAATATACGAACACCCAGTGTGATGGCCACCTCATGGAAAACAAGGCAATATGCCGTAACATTCAGTCTAGACCATTTGACAAGTGAAGCAGTGTACGGACGGCGTTTGCGATAGCCCCTAGACTAAAAGAGGAGATCAATTAAGCTGTTATTAATGAAAGTAGATATACCTAACAGACAAGAAGGACAAAAAGTGAAAAACGGTCAGCAAGCACACAACTCGTCGCGTAACGTGACGGTTCAAACTGGTCAACAAAAGCATGAATCGACAAAGACTTATGAGCTGTAGCCCGTAGTTGAGTAAGTAGTGTGCCCTAACTCTCCAACTTCTATTGCAGGTCAAACTAAACCCTTCCTTCACTCAGTTAAAAAAGAAACAGTTCTGAAAGGGGTGAACAGGCATACGCTGATCCGGTACTAGTGACTGTGGTATCCGCCGTATAAAGTACTAATAAAATTACTTACCATATAGAAATAAAAAGTGAACTACGGTACACAGAAAGATGTGGATGGAACACTGACTTGTAGATAAACTTGAGATTTGACTCCGAGGGGTTAGATAGCCTCGATGACAACAGCCTCAGTTTGCCAACCGATTTCTATGCGCCCAATTGATGAGTCGCAATCAGAACAAAAATGCTCGACTGGCTGAGTTTCTTTAAAGGGTATTACAGCTTTGTGAAGCAAATAACGATACATATGTTAGAGACTAGCTAAGGCGCTTACAATTCAGCCGTTTCAATTATTGTAGAGCAGAGAAAATAGAGCTTTTGCACATGCGGGATGTGTTCACTACATGGTCCTCAAATGTGCTATTTTAATTGCACTACGTGTGTTTGAGATCTAATACAGGTTAACTTGTGTGCAAAGGGTGTTCCTTGCATTTCTCAAAACGTTTTGTGGTGTTACTGCAAAAAATATGGCTCATAGGGAACTATTTACTATGTACCGCATTCTGAAAATTGTGGGATATGGTCCAAATTTATGTTCCTCCATTCCTCAGGAACAGAGTAGACCGCGTCGGACGCATACGAATTACATAATGGCTCAGCTGCGAAACCGTTGCGATAATTTGCCCAAGTGTACTTCCTCATCAATAAGTGTGACAAATGTAGCTAAACTATTCCCTCATTGCTATTATATTGAACTCCAGTTGCACCAGTTCTCAAACTTTCCGAGAAGTTCACCGATAAAATCATCCTCAAAGCTGGAGCATCCACCGTCATCGAGGTACCGTTCGCCGCCAGTCCAAAACCAACAGTCCAATGGACATGGAAGCCGAGACTGCGTCCTGATGCCGAACCAGGTGCACCACAAGCTCCTCGATTCAAACCAGATGTGGTCTCCGGAATGACGTCGCTACCACTGGGCAAGGTGAAACGGGAAGACGCTGGTGACTATGAGGTGGTGATAAAGAACGAGTTGGGCGAGGTGTCGGTGACGGTGCAGTTGATAGTGTTGGATAAGCCATCTGCACCACGACAACCGGACGTGAGTGAGAACACGGGAGAACGTGGAGTGTTCCATTGGATTGACCCGGAATTCCTCGGTATCAGTCCGGATGTCGCTCCAACTGAAGGTATAACCTACATTGTGGAGATGCGTGAAGCCAATCAAAGGGCAGGTAAACCGGTAACGACGACGAAGGAACTGAGTACGCCTATTGATGGGTTGCAGTTGAACAAATCGTACATTTTCAGTGTGGCCGCGAAGAACGAAGTTGGTCAATCAGACTTTGTGGATAGCAAGCCAGTGTCAACCAAGCTCGAATATGGTAAGTGAAATAATGCCATTTTCAGTACATCTGAGGTTGGATTACAGGGGAGGGTGGGTTGTTTATTCGAAAAAAAGGAATGAAAAAACAGTTGAGGACAATTCAAATATGGCGAATATCCAAAATGATAAAGTGCTTCCTGTCGGACACGACTTTGCGAAAGCCGATCGAATTCGGTCGCATCAGAGAGCTGGTTATTGCAGGGATGCTAGTGGCTAAGCATACAACTATTCTGGTGAAAGTTTCGTTGCAGAGAGGGAGTGCTGTTAGAGCACTATTTGCCAGATTCTGTCGCGTACTTCAAAACTGCTTCAGCTGTTTGTTTCGGAAGTTAGTAATCATGTAACATGCGCCAAACTGGTTTTGTTCAATCTCCGAGTTATACACACTGATCAGTCAAACCGGTGTGCAGTTCTGCATAGAATGGTGTTATATCTGACTGCTGTTTCCGCTCCAGTGTCCAGTGTCGGAAAAAGACTCACCGACAAGGAACACAAAAGCTCAATTGCGAACAAGCGAGTGCGAGTGCGTGCGTGTAAAATTACAGCGGCCTCAAGCTATTTTATTGGAGGTGCACTGTTTGACCTTGGTCCAATGCTGTTTCGCGCTGCATATTGAGGAGGCGTTTTCTGTCGGTTCAGCATCTATTGGGGTTGAGGGTCTCAGTGGATTTTGGGCATTTGGTGGTTACTTTCAGGAATCTGACCTTCCTGATAAAGGATCATATTTTATGGAAGCTTTTAGTTGATAAGTTTTAGCCAAATCCGTTCGTTTCAACCGGCTGCACTGCGTAGCTAAAAGCATGTATACGCTATATTCGAATCAACAAACATCAACAGGTCTGGCATGGATTATGGAAGGAAACGCATGTGAGGACGTTTCTCCACGTGGACAGTAATTCGATGGCTAGGTAAACCATAAATCATTAAAGCAAGTCTGGGATCAGGGGAGAGAAAGTAACCTTCGGAGTCAGAGAATTCCAGGTGCATTAGCTCAGTACGCCGTCAGGGCTGGCCAGAATTTCTAACATCCAAGTTCGGCTACTGCCTTTGACCAGCGAATTTTTTCATATTGCTCTTGTGTTTGACAGTTAAGCGGGAAGTGATGATATGCTCCGCATCACAGAGTCCACTTCTCACCTAAGATAGCTGCGGCACCGTCCGTGAGGTTATGCTTTGAATGGCTACTTCTTGCAACAACACCCTCAGCCTCTGGCAAAGAGCATGGTGTGAAACTCATGTACTGGATACTCTTGTATTCCTGGATCCACTACCCATCTGGCTAACAGCCAGATTTGTTCCTGAGATAGATCCCGTTTGCACAGCGTTATTTTCGTTGTCTCTCGAGAGAAAGGTCACATGCAAGGACCGAGCAGGATGGTCCCTTACCTTATCAAGGATTTTTGGGACCAACTAGACCTGAGCACTGTTGAGTTGCGATTTCTCAAATGATTCTTGAAAGACGTTGACAAAGCACTAAAATTGAGGTAATTATATGTAGTAACTATATGGAGAGTACACAGCAGCACGTTCCATCGTCCACCACCACTTTGATCTTCATATGTGGAAGTATTGCTAACTTCTAGGAATTAAAAAAATCAATACTGGACTTCCCTTGAACCACGGCTTAATAAACCTCTTGTCCTCCTCTAGAGAAAGTGTTCTCAAGAGAACACCTGTTCAGAAAAGATCGATTTTGATTGATCACCCAAAGCTTTGGTTGCCTCCCTATGGAGACACTAACTCGAGGAAGTGATGAAAGCAAGTATCTTCTGAAAACTGAAGTCATTCTCCTCCGTGGTGGGTTTTTCCTGAGAATGGTCTACTAAATGAGAACAGATTTTTATATAGGGAATAAATCCCTCTGAGAAGAGGATACCTCTAAGGAGAGCACATCTTAGGTCGGTCTTCGGTTGACCTTTCCAAGCAGACGAAAAATTATTTCGGGAGAGTAGGATTAGGCTGATTGGTTAACCTATCGACCAATCAGGCATCAGTGCAGTACAACATGCCGCAAAATCGAAAGATTGGTTTAATTGTGATAGGTAGACCGTTGGCCCGATAGCAGTTGCTCGCGTGCAACCAAGCTAAGAACCGCCCGACAATGCGGAATGTCGGTAGCTCGGATGGGCTTGACACCTCGGCGAAGAGACAGCAACCAAGATGAATTGCTCATTTTCCACCGTGCATCATTACTGGGATCTATAAACCCCAGGTAAAACAAAGCCGGCTGTTGGAATTTTTTAAACACGCTGAGGAAATTCAACGCTTGTTGTGCAGCAAGGCACTGGCCTGTGGAGTGCCATGTTGTTCGATTATCACTGTGACAGCCGTTCTGGGATACAACACAGTGTAACGGTCCCCGCTTTTGACCAGCCAAAAATGTCAAACAATTTTTGTAGCACCCAACGCAGACCTGATCATGCTGGCAAAGGCAAGAGATTGAGCAATGCAATGGTCCCTTAAGACAGTCCATTTGATTGCCGGAGTAAAACTGATTCACTGGTATTTGAATATCACAGAAATGCCAATAGTTGTTGATGTATCACACATAATGATGTTACTGTAAAGGTTAGAAGCAGTCAACCGACATTTGACTTGTAAATTATCGGTCTATTCTTTCGACGAGGTTTGAAGAACGCTCGAGAAAATTGGGAGGTGCACTTATGAAAGTCGAGTTCCTCAAACTTTATGCAAATGGGTCTTTCGCCTCAGCATCGGATGTTTTGTGACCGATTTGTTCTCATTTGTTGGCTCTGATTCCAAAAGCCCTCTTTCTTCAGCCGGGCCCATGTACATTTTTGCGACCTCCCCATCAGTTTTGTTCGTAACCGGTCCTCCAGTGAAAGTATCAGCAGGACTGTTGCGTATATTCAAAGGAGATTTCATGACTTTACTCCCTATCTTCCTAAGTTTCTTCGATATACTTCTGTTGCTGTTGTAAAGTCACTTGTAGTTGCTCCGCCGAAAATGCTATCGTGGGATCAGGTTGCCACCGGCTGTTGTGAACTGCAGACATTCCATGATTGCGTGTTATGCTCACTATGGTATACCAAAAGGTACGGTAGCTTGGGAAAGTCTATTATGGCATATCATATGGTTATTATAGGATCTTTCACAAGGCCATGCTGAACTCTTCGTGAGGGGGTGAGATGAGTCGGAGTATAAATGCTCGGTCCTGATAGACTGACATTTTGACTAGTCAGTGCATGTCTTCGTCCTCTGCACCGCCGGCTCGCGAAACGTCCAACCGCCATGATCGGTTGCTAAGAACGACTGGCCTCTGAACAACCTTGAACGCATATGACTGCCCGTTCGGACTTGGCAGTGGGTTCTGGAGAGATACGACCGAGTAGCATCAACTGTGAATATATATATATATATATATATATATATGAGTGGTTACATTCTGTCAAAAGTGTTTATCTTACTTGGTAAACTACGCCATACTGAAGTGTTACAGGGGATGATTCTGCTCGATTTACATACTCGCGATTCGCAGTCGATTGCGTTGTATATATATAGTTTTAGCAATTCGTGAGGGATGAAGTTAATTTCAATGTCCAAACATATACAAAATTTTCGGTCCTTGCTAGGCTTTTTTGCTACTGTCACATTTGTCAGGCATAAAAAACAGTATAGTCTGTTCTATATTTATCAAACAGGACCACCCCCAAGTCCCGTTAACTTGAAGGCTACAGTCAACCCAGAAAAAGCTCCCGCCGATCAGCAAACTATTGAGCTCACGTGGGAACAGCCGACTGACCAAGCGACCAGTGCCGGACCTGTGACCAACTACTACCTCGAAATGAAGCCGACGGATGCAACACGATGGCAAGATGTGTCCGCTGATTTCACCATCACCGAGACGCATTGTACGTTACCGTCAAAGGGTCTGAAAGAATTCACGAGCTATGAGTTTCGCGTGACGGCTGAGAATAAGGCTGGCAAGAGCAAACCATCGGAACCTTCTAATCCAGTGGAATTGGGTGAGCTATTTTATCACCGACTTCGGAAAATGTGGTTGTTTTTTTTTAAGTTTTTGCCGTTCTGCCGTGCGTTTGTACCAAACTGTCGTCACTATTGGCCTATTCTTCATTTTTCCCTAATTCCTTGAAATTTGTACTTTTACTGGTCAGGCATTCCACTGGAGTTTGTTCGTCCACTAAATGACGTTACCGTTACTGAAGTGACAGAGAAGCCGGTCGTAATAGAATGTGAGTTTTCGCGAGCCCCGCGAGAAAAAGTTCTGTGGCTGAAAGATGGGAAACCCCTTGGTCGCGCCCCTGAGCGCGTCCGTGTTGAGGAGGATGCAGACAGCACAGTGCATCGGCTGGTCTTTCAACCTTTGCAGGATGAGGATTTGGGAACCTACGCAATTAAAGTGGAGAAGCTCGTCAGTGAGGCAAACGTTGGTATGAGAGGTCAGTGTGCATTCACGATTCCTTGCAGTTTATTTGATTTTTCTTCATGGATAAGATAGATATGGGAACCTAATAAGTTACGCTAGATGAGAGCAAAAGTTTTAGGTATAGCTGAATAACAACGGTGTGGTGGCCGTTTGTGAATATGCATTACGTGATACAAAGACTTCTGCCAAGATTTCCAAAGATAATTTGGAATGCCCTTGGTACAACGGTATCAGTAGATTTCCGTTGAAAATAATTCGACAAATAGTGATGTCCACAATCTTAGAACTATTTCACCAATCCCAGTAAACTTAGCTAGATTCTAAAGCATTTAAAGTTTGAAGGTAATATCAAGCTACCTCTCGTTGGGTGAACTGAAAGAGGTTACAAATTAAAATGAGTACGGAAAATGGATTACAGCTATCGATCAAGTTCATCTGGTATTTTGTCACGATAATCTATTGCAGTTCCTTACTACAATATCATAATTTTTGTCATCCAAGCTAGAGAATTTCCAAAGCACGTGACCACCGGAGGTCTCTCTTATAAAGTGCCTTGCGCTCTGTGGGGACGAAAGCTAAACTCATGAAAAACTACCCCACAATTTCTCATCCATTATCCTTTCTGATATTAGTGGCACCAACACTGAAACTTTCCGAGAAGTTCACCGATAAAATCGTCCTCAAAGCTGGAGCATCCACCGTCATCGAGGTACCGTTCGCCGCCAGTCCAAAACCAACAGTCCAATGGACATGGAAGCCGAGAGTGCGTCCTGATGCCGAACCAGGTGCACCACAAGCTCCTCGATTCAAACCAGATGTGGTCTCCGGAATGACGTCGCTACCACTGGGCAAGGTGAAACGGGAAGACGCTGGTGACTATGAGGTGGTGATAAAGAACGAGTTGGGCGAGGTGTCGGTGACGGTGCAGTTGATAGTGTTGGATAAGCCATCTGCACCACGACAACCGGACGTGAGTGAGAACACGGGAGAACGTGTGGTGTTCCATTGGATTGAACCGGAATTCCTCGGTATCAGTCCGGATGTCGCTCCAACTGAAGGTATAACGTACGTCGTGGAGATGCGCGAGGCAACTCAACGTGTGGGCAAGCCGGTAACGACGACGAAGGAACTGAGTACACCTATTGATGGGTTGCAGTTGAACAAATCCTACATCTTCAGTGTGGCCGCGAAGAACGAAGTTGGTCAATCAGAATTTGTGGATAGCAAACCGGTGTCAACAAAACTGGATTACGGTGAGTCGCCAATCGGTCACAAATCTATCCATTAGCCCTGCTCTTCGGGTGTGGTAGCCCACAGGTTTGCATCTTCATGTGCGACAAATTACGGCCTATTGCCTGAGTACAGCCACTGCATCCAATTTTCTGATGGCAGTGGGGAAACCCACCAAATAGACCTAGCTTTTCTCTCGTATGAGGATTTCTCCTTAAAAGAAGCCTAACGCGTTTAAAGGATTTCTGTGTGGCGCGCGTTCATTCAGGTTGATATATGGGTGACCCACAATAGCTTCAAAGTTATTTTGCAGTCTACTAACCATTGATCAACGCATATTTGGATTTTAGGACCACCACCCAGCCCGATCAACGTCAGGGCTGTAGCTAGCCCAGAGAAAGCGCCTATCGATCAACAAAGTGTCGATGTGACGTGGGAACAGCCGACTGACCAAGCGACCAGTGCCGGACCTGTGACCAACTACTACCTCGAAATGAAGCCGACGGATGCAACACGATGGCAAGATGTGTCCGCTGATTTCACCATCACCGAGACGCATTGTACGTTACCGTCAAAGGGTCTGAAAGAATTCACGAGCTATGAGTTTCGCGTGACGGCTGAGAATAAGGCTGGCAAGAGCAAACCATCGGAACCGTCTAATCCAGTGGAATTGGGTGAGTAACTAATCGTTTTGAAAATGTTTCAAATATAAAATACTAGTCATCTTAGAGGTTGCCATTTTGCGTTCCATTTCGGTCTGTCTCTCACATGTATCCTCCAGATTTGCCTCCGTTGTTTGGTAAAGCTGCTTCGTTTGTTCCTTCAGGTGTTCCGCTGGAATTCGTCCGTCCACTATCAGATGTGCTTTTGACAAAGGTGTCTGATGGACCTGTGATATTGGAATGTGAGCTATCCCGCGCTCCAAGAGATAAGGTTCATTGGCTGAAGGAGGGAAAACCTCTTGGTCGCCTACCTGATCGCATCCGCGTTGAGGATGACGCCAATGGTACTATACAACGTTTGGCTTTTCAATCACTGCAAGATGACGACCTGGGCGTATATACAATCAAAGTGGAGAAGCTAAGCAGCGAGGCACGTTTGGATATGAAAGGTATGTGAAGTGTGTAAGCACAAGCTAATTCCATCACCATGTATGCTATTCTACATGGTTTCTGTACAATCTCCCTTCCTACATTCCACAACATTGCCAATCTCCCTTCCTCTTAGGTTCCATAGACGTAATTTGGCCTCTCTCGTAGTGTCCTTTCACAGACACTGGGATTATTAACTCGGTTATTGGACGCGTGCATTTGGACTGTGTAAGCATGGTACTGCTTGAATATGGAGAAGCGAGCACCACGCTCGAGGGTACTCATGTTTTCGACCGATTACGGAGACAAATTAAACCAGGCGTCTAACCGAATGTGTCCCTCAAGGAATTTCTTGTGTGGTAACGAGAAGATTACAATTAAAAGCCGAGTGCAAAATTCTCAACTCCATTAGCTCGAGGTGTCGTATGTAAATTCCTTAAACGAATACAAAGTGACATGGTGACCAGATGACGGTCTTATATACTTCGAAAGCGTACATAACGCTCTCATTTGCTTGGTCACTTTCAAGGGTAAATGCCATCATGAGTGAGCCAAATTTGGGTCTTTGGAGGTTCATTACCACTAGGGAAGACTGGGAACAAGCTTACCTCTTGATATTCTCCAGAAAATCTAATGGAACGTTGACTGTACAATTTCTGATTCTGGGAGGCGGCTGCGAATTTCTAAATGTAAATATCCCACATAAATGAAACTACTCACAGGGTTACTGAAAACTCTTCGACAGCCCACGACCGGTTTATGAAAATATACTGCGATATCTCGAATATCGTGCCAAATGAAACGTGAGGCGGCCTGTGTGCGGCACATTCAGTTGGAGAATACCATAAACGGGAGATTCAGTTGAGTCTCTCGTGAAAACCTAATTGGTTGAATAACCTCTACTTGCAGAGATCTCCATATCCTGGTTATGGTTAACGACACTTGAGTTTGCGTGTACTTTCCTGCCGGTTATCACACCGGATTTGGAATTCTACCAGCGTTTGCGCGTGCTTGTGCACCACTGAAGAGAGAGATGCCTAATCTCCTCCATTCTTGATTGAACTGCAACGTCTGTATAGGGCGCTATCGTTCTTGTAATGACCAACTTGGTTACTAACTTCTAGCACCGATAAGCAATGGGAGGGATGTGAACGAAACAACAAGCTGAGTTTAGACGTAATACACTTTTCATAAGGTTGCTGAAAACTCTTCGACAGCCCACGACCTGTTTCGTCTTTCTTCGGGCTCATCAGGTGGGCGCAGCCCCCGAGATTCCGTCAACCTTATGTTCTACTTGAACCCGAATTGCACGAAATTAACGCACTACACTCAGTTGCAAACCAATTTGGTTTTGCGGGAGACTCACCTGGAACCCAACTGAATCTCTCGTTTGTTATGTTTTTAAGCAACTGAATGTGCTGCACCACGCCGGCTTATATTTCAGTTGGTACGATATTCGAGATATCACGTAATACACTACTCGAAGGGCTTCAAAGTGATTAAAGAGAAAGTATATAATCGCTCTGATTTTCCAACTCAGATTTGTTGCTGTTGCCCGAAAGCAGCTATTTTCGTGTTGGTAAGAGTTACTCATCTCCAACCCTTGGACGTTTGGACTGTGTTGGTGATTTTCGTGAGATAAAATCTAGTTTCCAAAAGATCACGATTCTCTTTTTTAGTTGGGTAGTGAGTTTCTACGGATCACGCTATCTTTGGGTAGAGCCGACATTCGCGTGTGACCTCATTGCTTAAAATCGATCACAGCTGTCTACAATCAAGTCACACTGACCATGTGGCTTCTTTACGCGGGCTGTACTCTTCGGGCATCACCTGAAGGTAAAGTCCTTGAAATTCGGCACTTTTGATGTGATTGAACTGATGATCCGAGCACCAGCAGAGGCCGCCACAAATCTGACGCCGCACTTCGCGCGCTCCTACAGGGCCCTGACAGCTAACTCAGTTTTCCGATCATCCAATCGGTACGTTGAGTTTCGTCACGGCTACGCACGTAGGAGCATGCGTTCGACGCACACCCTCGCATGGTGAGCCATCGATGCTACCCCCACTCTGGTGCGTGACGTCACAGTCAGTCACAAGCCCGAAGACTAGTCCTCCTGCGGTTCAGACACAACAGTTAGCTGGTGCAATAGGATCATGCGATCCAAGCTGCCCTGTCAGCTCGTCTCACGGTTGTGACACAGACAAGCCCCGTGAGCTTGGAGCAAGGGGGTGTAGCCTCGGCAACAAGGGCAAATGGACAGACTGGATTGACGAAACCTACCCAGGCTTACCGACCGAACGACCGGTGGATTCCGCTGGGCCGCGCGCGTAGCCAGAGCGTGACAACCGACAGCATGAGTCAAGTGGTCTCGTTGACTGAAGTTTACGCGTACTAGGTCGCGACACGACAGTAGGCGTATGTTTAGTGGAAAGCGCAACAAGTACTTTAAGTTTTTCAATAGAGCAACTTGAGGTTCTCCTAGAATTCCACAAATGCGATCTGCGATCTTCAAAGAACGTTGAGTTTCCTTCGATGAAAATAGTCAGATATTTCCGATCGAGATTCGACGATTTGTTGTTTCCTTTCGTTGAGTACTGGTAGGGTTTCGCATTCAAATCACTCGTCTGAGCAGTCTTCCTCTTGCCCTGACGAAATCTTCCCACTACTTAGGAGACTCACGAAAATAATTACGCCAGGACAGGAGGAGGACTGTCCTAATGTGATCATCATCATCATCGGCAGCATGACATCAGTGTTCAACACCTCACTGTCGTATACTGAACGTAGGTATCATGGTTGTACGTGGGCTGGGATACTGTCAGGGCACCCACACCCAGACAGGAGGACGGTTAAGGTTCTCAACCAAAGCCTTTGGATCAGAGGCCTAACCGCAAGGCAGCGGTGTTTGGCGGGAGATGCAGATGCATTACCATTTCTACGGAACAAGTTGTCACATGTTTCAATCCCTCGAACTGGAGGACCAGGAGACCGTGTTTGTCACACCTCTAACCATTGACCAACCTGGTATGAGAGACTGTGAGTGCCGTGGTGACACCCGCCAGTATAGCTCAATGGGTTTCTGAAGTACGCAGGCCGTCACACCACGGTAAGGTCCAGACTCTTCGTGACGGCTGTTCAAATGTAATTGGTGTGAATGTGAACTCCATGAACTCCGCAATCACCTACAATTAACGAGAGTTCCTTTGTGATAAAATAGGTCAAATAATACGTAGGATCGAGTGACCTGAGGTTTTTCCGCCTATCCCTATATGTCCTTAGTGTGTGCGCAAGGTGCTGCACCTCCGACGGCGGACTGGCTGCATTGATGCTCAACCGAATGTGTGGCAACGATTTACATGTTTAGAGAGCCAGTACTCCTGGTTGCTGTTGTA